GGCCTTGACCCTGCACAAAACACAATAGTTGTTTACTCCGTACTGAGGAACTAACCAATAGAAACGTGCTGGTTACGTAATTCATGCATAACGTATGAACGCAAAACAAAAGATTGTGCAGGGTCGTGGACCTTCTAACATAAATCTTGGCATCTTTGTTTGCTCTCTTGATGTTTGCCGGGCTTCATAACCAGTCACCTCCATTAACTATGCCCTGACCGGAGGCGAAAACAAGCGACATTCCTAAGCAGAGTCCCAGTCCACTGCATCACACCTTTTTGCTCGGACGCGCTCGTTTCACCGCCCAACCGGCCGCCCAACCTTTATCCGCCCTGCTTCTGTCAAGTCTTTCGCCGCTCGTGGCTTCGGCCTAAGGCCGAAGATGTGTCGGCCTTCGGCTAACACCGGAAATTCCCACCGCACGCGAGAAAAACCTTCATCGCTTCTTAATAAATCGGTTGCTAAGATAGGGTTTTAAATGCATGTATTGTTTCTTATCAAGGATACGTTGCTAGTGAACAGGCTAGCTCGTGAGGGATAGAGCGAAAAGGCTTGAAAAGTTCCTAACTCTTTACAAAATTGCTGCAAAGTACGAGTTTATACTTCACATATACTCAAGCCAACGGTGAGACACTGGCAGAGAACAAACTTTTCTTTTAAGTTTATTTTCCCAAAGAATGTTCCAGAGCGAAATGTATTTCGAAAAACTATGGTATAAATTTTGATCACCAACGAAACTAGTTTGCTCTAATTTTAAGTATAGAAAATTCCAAAAACACTTGGTAGTTTGATATTAAATATACCGACTTTGGATTATCAAAACTATCATTTGCTAGTATATATCTCACACAAGTAAATATTGTTTCATGAGATCTGTGACTGACTGGTGAGAAGCATTTGTTAATTTATCTCCGAGCAACATTCTCGTACACCAGAAGGAATATCACGCAAGATTTTTCATATCTATGCGTTAAAATCAGTGTTAGAAGATAAGTTAAAGATTCGGGTGGATAGATATTAATTACACAATTACACCGCGAATATCTACCATTGTTCACCTCCAGTCTATAGGTTTATGATAACAATAATTATTACTACAGTTGACAATTGAGCAAGCGATTAAATATTCTTTGGTTCAAAAACGGGCGCAAACGAGGTTGATGGCTTACTCGGCAAATAAGTCAGCTGATAAAGTCGATCACAGAAGCAAATCTTTTTTATATTAAAACTGTTATCCGAAGAAGACGCCTTTCAGTATAAACCATGCACAAACATTTAAGTATTTTACCCGATTCCAACTTAGGAAACATACCATTAACTCTTAATAAACCCACTGTTTTCTTACTATTAAATTAAATCTCTTTAAATTTTGCAAAATATTCTACATTTTTTTTAACTTTCAGTTCAAATACGAGGTTTTCTTCAAATTTAGTGACCAATTCACACCACTACACTTTTAACTATATACTGAATTTTTTAGGGCATCAAATACCCTGAACACGAAAACGTTTTAATTCATTTTGACCAACGCTAGCGATAAAAACATTGAGTGCGCGCCAGGAAAATATGAACGAACTTTGCTAAAATGATTTAAAATTCCCAATTAAATTATCTATTAAGTTATATAAATTAACCATTGCGTTATATTCCTAATATATCTTTTCCTATGTAAATAACATGCTAACATAAACGTAAAAGAAAACTTTATGCAATAGTCGCTTAGATACCTTAATGAGAGGTTCAAAAACTATTTTCGGTTATCTTTTAAGAGTGAATGGACGAATTCTCTTTCCTTCCTATAATAAAGCAACTTAACTCTAAAAAAATTATATTCTACGAAGCGATTTCCAGTTGGCATTCGTTTGTCAGATGTTCGATGACTTGCTTAAGGTGGCTGAACACAGATTTGCGGGCGGTCTGCCGTAACTCGCGTGACGGCGCGTGTTTTAAATTAAACCAATAAATATGGCGAAAAAAGCAATGGTACACAGAAGACGATTTCCCAAAACCTGCTCATTAGAATTTTGTGATATTTGGCAGAATTTTTATTTTAAATAATGAGAACTTTAAAATGGAAGTTGAACAGACGAATTTCGTGACAGATTTAATAATTTCAGCACAATTGTATTATTGATTATCTAAAAACCCGTCTGTCAAAATTTGGTCAAATGAGTTTCAAATGGTAATGATTAATTATAGTAAGCTGTGTGCAAGTTTATGGGAAAAGTTTTACGTAAACTGAGCAAAAGTGAAATTTTAAGGTTGTATTCAATCGTTCGTGTTGCCATGAAAACTACAAAAACGTCAAATTTTACCTGTCAATCAAAATCTTTCAACAGTGTATTTTTCACTCGCCAAGTTTCAGCTTGTGAGCTGCAACCTTTCTCTTGCCACGATTTGGCAAATGACATATACTCACAAACTGCCAAAACTGTGTACAGCCACCTCAAACATATTTACATGTTCCAGTCAATCAGAATGCACTGACTGACGTTCATGTCAAAAAGGAAATGTTAAACCATTCGTCCCTTGAATTACGAAAGCGATTGAGCGTTTCCGTGTAGACTACTTCTTTGCACGGGACAATGAATAGCTGAAAAACAGGTGAAGTTCCTTTAAAATAAAACTCATGTAGTTTTGTACGTAGGTGCGCAAGTGACTGTTCGTTTTGACAGCACACGAATAAACCTCCCTTTACTTAAGGTGGTGTGAGATAACTCCGTAGATAAGCAATACTGAGGGGCTGTCTTTTGGATAGCAGATCGATTAACCTCCACGGAAGAGATGATGAGCCTAGATGTACCTACGAGAAAACAAAACCAAGACTTACAAAACAAAGGCTATACAAAATTCTCGGGGACAAACAAGGTGCATTGTGGCAGATGTGCAAGTGGCGAATGTCGTCGAATTCTGACTTTGTCTTAACCTTTTATTCAATGCACATATATAATTACCTTGGTGATGTACCACACAAGAGAACAATCTTTGCCATCAACTTGTATCGGCTCGACAATCCATCCACTGGAAATAATCTATGGGAAAACGAGAGAGAAAACTTAGATGACGAGAAAATGTTACGTGACTGTGTTTTGGTTCAATTTTATCCTTTTTGACTTATTTTCCTTCTCGAACCCTTTACATACATTGCCTTATTCCAAGACAAAGGAAGTAAAATTGGTACCACAGACTCGAACAGACGAAATTCGCCACTTTAGAAACGAGAAAGGAACTAGAGCCGAAATGCGTCCCGCAATTGTTTCCGGGATCACTAATAGTCCCAGAAGTCATTGCGAGAGATCACACGGCCTAGATTCCTTATCGTTTCTAAAGTGACGAATTAGAGAAGAAAATACAGTCGAACATACCGTCCATCCTGTAAGCGACCACCCAAAATGCAACGACTGAGTGGTCGCTTACGGGAGATGGTCGTTTACAGGAATCGAACCACGAGATACCTCTTCCGAGAAGAGGTCCAGGCACATCTGCTTTATGGAAGATAATTTATTGCATGCAATGTCTAAGTTACGACATGTGTAGTTCCATGTTGTCACTAAAGTTCTTCGTATATTCTAAGCAGCATAGTGCACAAAGCAAACATAGAGATCAGAGAATGCGTCAAGTAGTCGCTTACAAGAGGTTAAAAACAATAAAAAATCATTAACCGTCAGGCCCAAAAGGTGGTCGCCGTTGCTTACAGGAGGTGGCCGTTTACTAGAGGTTCCAATTGTAAGGCGTATGGAAGGTGGTCGTTTATGGGAGGTGGTCGCTTATGAGAGGTAGTCGCACATGGAGGTTCGACTCAGTGTACATATCAATCATGTACCACGTGCCTACAACCCCTTTGGTCTTGGACTTACTAACCTGGCCACGAATAATTGAAGGCGACAGTGGACATTTGGGATGTTCGATTGACTGAGATGCAAGGACATACTTTTCGCCCTAGAATAGCGGAGAAAACACAGTGAGTTAGGACAACTTAAAGCTTTTTTATGAACAGAAGCTTAAATGAAAAAGAAACGTTCGTGTTAAACAAGGATTGCAATCCGCGAAATCGTAAACAGATACCGGATAAGTAAAAGGTTCGGAGGAAATTACTCACCTACCCCTCCCCTAAACCAATGTTAAGTAATGATCCCGGTTAGGTGGATAGCAATTTCTTTTGTTATGCGGCAACGGTGCTTTCCCCACATGTTCTAATTTTTACACAGAGAACGCATAAACCTACACGAAGGCCGTTTACGCAATAAAATGCATTTACACTCCACTTTGAAAGATTGTTTTTTTGTGTTAAAAGATTTTGACCAATCACAAGAGTTGAAAACAATAGCCACGAAAAGTTTACAATTTTACATGTTCCCCACATAGGATTTCTTTTTAATTCAAACTGAGACCAGATTTTGTTATATGGAAGATGGTTGGAAAGTAAGGATGAATATATGTACTGCTTTATGAAGTTTTGTTAACTTTTGCTGTTTAAGCCAATCAGAAGTAAGTACAGACAATAGAAAAGTTAGCACCTTTTTTGCATTCCAACATGTTCGTTGCCGTTGTTGCCCTCGTTCTTATCTGGACCGTTTCTTAAAACTAACTTCTCACTCACTCACTCACTCACGCAAAATCAGGGTTAGGGGGAGGGGTAGGTGGGCAAATACCACATTTACTCACCTCAATACGTTCTTTGCTTACGTAACAAAAATCACGTGAGTGAGTCATGAAGCACTGCGATGTCTCGTGAAGCATGTACACTAAAATAGAAAGAAACATAATAAGTTGCCCATAAAAGGTAATCCGGATTCAGGAATCCGGGAAATTTTTGCTTGTGGAATACGGAATCCTGAGCTTAGAATCCAGAATTCAGCTTAAGGAATCCGGAGTCCAGTGCCTGGAATCCAGGTTCCAAGACTATCTTAGATTAGTAAAATCAAACTAGAGGTCTATCATCAATGCTGCGTTCTGATTGGTTGAGCTACTACTGGACTATATATTATAGCCCACTAGTAGCGAAAAGCGCCGGCTTTGAAAACCAAAATAATGGCGGCTGAATCGCGTTTTGCTAGCTTAAGTTGTTTTGTCTCGATATTTTTGACAAACTAGTTGGATTTTACTAAAACAATTATTCCCCTCGCCCTCATGACCCCTGAGTCGATAGCCCATTTGGCCTTCGTCCTTCTGGGCTGTTGACTCAGAGCCCATTCGGGCTCGAAGAATAATTGTTAATTACCTTAGATGGGGCGAAATGAGCTATGTCTCGGGGGGTATATCCTTATAATGGACTGGAAGGAAAGGGATGACATTGGAACGGGAAGCGGAACGACAGACACTGGTGGGAAAACAATCAGTTAAGGGCTGATTAACTAAATGAGGATTCCTGTCGATAACCAGTCACTTACCAATTTTAAGTCCTTCTTCGACATGCTCTACAATATTTATTTTCTGCAGGAAAATGGAAAACAAACACAGGGTATAATTATCTCAAATATAGAGTAAAAGCATCTTTAATGGTGTTTGAAAGAACAAAGTCGGTTGGGACAAACTGTAACAGGTAAGCTCAATTTCAATTAACGTTTTCTCACCTACTTTAATGCCGCACGTCTATACAAAAAGACCGAAAAGTCATTGATTTGATTAGCTGTAAATTCTTTGCAGTTCGGTCATAACTTTGCGGTGGTCAATGATATAGAATGGTATAAAAAGTAACATAAGTTTCCCTTTTGTCGAGTTGAGCGCTCGCAATATACCCCGTGGCATTTCTAAACATGCTTTTCTCCAAAGCGGCAATAGGACTTAACGAAACGACCGGCTCTGGGGCCGGAAGATCGCGGACGTTCTATGACGTATTTCACCCAAACACCAACAATCGCGTTTCTTTCTGCTAAATGCTCGTACCCTGGCTTCTCGCGCCTTGAGTTCTGACGACGACATGGAAGTCTTAGCATTACGTCCCATCCGCTTGTGAAAATAGATAAACGACAGTACCTTGAGCATATTGTCATAAATATATCTGGATAGTGGGTTCTTGACAGCCTCCCATACAGTCAGTGGTGATGCTTCAACGATTCCTCGACCCATGAAACTAACAGAAGATAAAGAGTAGCTTTATTCAGTGAAACCTGTTTTAACCGCTTTAAGTGTCGTATTAATAGGAAGGAAGGAAGGAGTCATGGATGAGAGGACAACAGAAGTGCCCTCTTACAATGTACATTAACATGTGAACAGTAAGCTTGGACATCAGCATACAAAGGCGCCACTGGCAGCCGCTCTCAGTCCATTTATGAGCTTACTGTATCCACCCAACCCATGATGTGACTGATGTGTGAAAATTGGCCACATCACCGGGGTCTACGTCCCCTACTCTTATCGAACAGTGGTGTGGGTTCTTTTATGTCCCACAAGAACCAGATAAGTGTAAGTGCTGTGAGACGGAACCTGCGGTGTTTCGTCCTTATCCGAGAAGACTAGAAAGTCTAACCGTTTGCAGATGTCATTACAAAGGCAGCTTTTTCTTCTCAGTTATTTAAAGACCCTGGGTGTTGGTTCGGCGGGGGTTCGAACCCGCGACCTCCCGCTCAGTAGAACGGCGCTCTACCAACTGAGATAACCAGGCAGCGGTTTAATACGGGATCGTTTTACGAAAAATATGGGAATAAACTGGACAGCTCGTGTCTACTTGAGAACAAGATGTCTGACTACCACTGATGGAGTTCGCAACACAACAACCTTGTCCCCACGCGAATTTTTGGGGAAATTGTGAATTTTTCTTTTTCTTTTTTTTTTTTACCAAAGTGTACTTAAGAGGGACTTTAATCGGTGCAGTAAAATTCGGCCTGGAATAATTCCTCTCGTTTCTCTTTCCTTACTAACGATGTTATTTATTTTTTTGTAGTGCGTTTTAATTCGCTTATCTTACCAGTGCAGAAAACCAGCAGGTCCTTCTTGTCGTTTCCTCGCTATTGTAACATCCCTCTGAATGCTATGAAACCTACGAGTGCAACATAGCAATGATTACAAAAAGGACGGTGTAAATATACAGTAAACTTTATCGAGTTCTCTATTTAGGTCTTGATTGACAAGTCCGGCTGCAAGGCAGGTTAAATTTACAGCTACGCTTTGTGATTGGCTGCGGAAAAATCTCGCGCTTTCTCAATCAACCAATCAGAAGTTAAACCTGTCTTGTCTCTCTCGCACGAGTGAATTTCTTTTCTTACTCTGACTGACCAATCAGGAATAAAACCCAAACTAGTCGACTTGTTCACCGGCGTTTTCCCGCGCCTCGCGACAACTACATATAACTGCTTCTCCCCTGCGAACTGACTGGTTAATGGTTTATTGACTGTCTGTGCAGTTCTGACAGTTTACTTTAGATACAGCTACTCTGACTGATGTTTGTTTCTGGGGATACAGGAATTAGAGACCTTTAGATTCGAGAACGAGATTTGACTTCAAGATTTTTTCGCGTACTCTCAAAGAATATACACCCCGGAAAGCTTTATTTTACTATTTTTGTTCACCAGAATAGTTAACAGAATAGTTTACTTTTATTAAAGGAGGTTAAGCCCTGCCCCAGTCGCAAAATGATAGCAAATTGAAAACTTGTTTCCGTCACTACGACATTTTCGCTAAAACCCGTCGTAGAATGACGGCGACTAACGCGTTTGCCCGCCAAAATGACGCTGGTTCACGTGACAGCAATACTTCGCACTGAAAAAATCTCGATCTAATAATCGTCCCCGTCTGAGAATCTAATAATGACCATTACCAACAGTAGATACTAAGCAATAAAAAAACTCTCAACGCTCTGAAACAAACAAACAACACAACAAAACAAACGGAACAAACAAATGATCCTTACATCCAGCCACCGTGAGACGAATCCTCGGACACTGGATGAGGAGAGGAGACTGGAATCGACCTGATCATCTCGGGGAGACTGGAAACAAGTAGTGCCTCTTTAAGAACCTCTGCGGCGGCGTGGTTTCCAAGGACACGGAACTTTATGTGAAGCCGATTGACTGCAAACAAACAGGACACGACAAAGTCTGAGAATAAAGGCCTCCTTTTAGTCACTAAGTTTCAAAGTTTGCAAAAATGTAACTTACCAAGAGGTTTCTCAATAACCTCGTAATCTCCTATCCTGGAAAGAAAACAAAACACGAAAACGTTAGAAAGACAATACAAAATCTTTCGAACTTGCCGAGGTCCATCCTCGGAGACCCAGGGGCAGATAGTGGGAGCGAGGGAAAGTCTAAACGGGCGGAAAAATATGGCACCGAGAAAAGTAAAGAACGACGAGAAGAGCCCCTGGGGACAATGTCTTACCAGACCAGTTCCAAACGGTCGCCGCCGTTCTGACTTCTGATTGGTGCCAGAAAACTTTTGTGTTTTTCTGCCCAACCAGAAGGCAGAACGGCGGCGACAGTTTGGAACTGGTCTGGTAAGACATTGTCCCCAGGGACTCTTCTTGCCGTTCTTTACTTTTCTTCGTGCCATATTTTTCCGCCCGTTTAGACTTTCCCTCGCCCCCACTATCTGCCCCTGGGTCTCCGAAGATGGCCGAGGTCAGTTACTTAAATTTCTTCCTGTCTCTCATCTGATGACTTAATTCGAGATCTTGTTCCTGAAGCCATCATACAAACTGTTTATTTTAAGCCAATGATATCGCTCGCAAGCGGTGAGCCATAATAATGAGAGAACAGGGAGTTTAAACGAGAGACCTAAGACTGTTGAAAATCAGACTAACGTGTCTACTTACTTCAACAAAAATAGAATCTTACTTGAGGTTTTCAACATATCTCTGTTTTTCTTCTTCCATTTTCTCTTTCAATTCAAGGATTTCCTTCTCCTTCTGAAGTTTTTGATTTTCTAGATCCTTAAGTTTGTCCAGGCAATCCTCTCTGTCTTCCTCGCTGGTCCGAAGCTTAGCGCGCGCTTCCTCCAGCTGTAGATTGATGTTTTCTCTTTCCCGCCGCTCATATAGAAGCCTGGGAAAATTTATAAAACCACCACCAAGTTATACTGGAAAGGTGACATGACTGTACAATCAAAGTCAAGGACTCCCAGAAAACCAACCGAAGGCTGAAGTGAATGAAGTGAGATTAGGGAATTTAAGCGGATATGGCAGATACTATCACGGTTAACGGTCGTTTCGATGCAGGTTAATTCCTTCGAGGTGTAAATAGTTTTACGTACTTGGCTTAAAGAGCGAAATATATTCACCCAAAATGCTTTTCTTGTTCAATTGCAAACTTAACTTGAAGTGATCGAAATCTTTGTTTCGAAACGACCGGTTTCCGATATCACGACGGCGAAGGCAACGAAAAGGTCAAGAAAGCAATCCAGCACCAACAAATTTACACGTGTAGCAGACTTGTTTAGCACATTTCTTTGCCGCCACTGCACGAATAAGACGTGAAAAAGCCTAATCAGTTCACTTTTCATCGAGAACGTAAACAAACGACGACGAATTGTCATTTCTCTCTTTAAATTTGCACATTTCTTCATTGGAATTCGACTACAGAAGAACTCTGCTCTACCTATTTCTACGAGCAGTAGTCTAACTGACGCAAACGGAGACGTCTGTATGTTGGCTAAAAGACGATAAAATGTTTTAAACATCACAAGAAATCTTACCTGCTCTCACTGTCATCGACTTTCTCAAACGCCTCTCGGAGTTTTCTTGCCTCCTCCTTGAAAAACTCCAACATTTCTTCGCTATGAAGATCACCAGACGACTTCACACGAGAAAGCCGCTTTATTCTGGCATTTATTAACCTTCGCTCCCTCGCTCTTTCCACATGAAATCTCTCCTTCTGCCCTGAAAGTTTAAGAATTGCAATTTCTTTTTCTTTAGCTCCATCTAACATGTGGTCTGAGATGCGTCTTTGTTGTTCATGGACTCGTTCTTCATCTTTCTCAAAATGGGCACGTTTAGCAACATACTCAAGGAATAAATCATCGTTTTCTGAACCTATAGTAGTCAACCTGCTTTTCACCAATCCAAGAACTTCCCCCTTTTTCCTCTCCCTCTCGCCTGAGAAGTTTATTTCTTCGTCTTCTGACAAAACGCCTGAATCGGCACCAGAATTCTCTGTCTCAAACGTCTCCACAATTAAATTCTCAATCTCGCCGTATTCCTTCATTAAAAGCTCCCTGTATTTTTCGCGTTCTTGGTCTATGACGCTTATTTCGTCTTCCTCCTTATTTTTTAAGTTTGCCAAACACAAACGAATTTTCTCAGCGTGCTGCTGCCGCGTTGCTTTAAAGCGTTCTTCCAGCTGCGTAATTTTCTCTTCATTTTCCAAGATTTGTTGGCCGTAAAATTCCACGTTCGTTATCTGCTCTGCTAAAGCACCTCGCGTTTTCTCAATCATTTCTTCTTTTTCCATTTTAAATGTCGTCAAGCTATGTAGCTGTTGCGCAAGAACCTCTTCAACTCCTTCCGAATCAGAAGAATATTGGCTGGATTCAGTGAAATTCCAGCTAAATGGTCGGGAAGTTCGCAGATCAAATGCAACTGGTTGACCCCTTGGTGGACCTACATCTGAGATGCGCCTCCGCTTCTCGCTGAAATCTAAATTTGTCATTGTATCGGCCTCTCCCAAGCTTTGCTCATCCTCTGCGCCACCTGGGGAATGTTCCATAGAGCTGAAATATTCCAAGTATTGATCGTGCTTTTCCTCTAGCAACTTAATTTTCTTTTCAACCTCTTCCAGTTCACTCAGATCTTTCTTAATCGTGTGCTCGAGCGTTGATTTATCCTCGTTTAACCGCTTTTCCGCTTGCACCTTTGCTGTTTCAAGATTTTCTCGCATTTCTAACAACCTAACCTGTTCATCTTCAATTTCTTTCAAGTCTCTGTCTCGCACAAAAGTATGCTGCTCTCCCTGCCTCTCCCGTTCAATCTCTGCTTCGACCAAAGCCTTACGTCTCTGAAGCTCAATCTCCGCAAGTTTCGTCTCATATTGTATGACCTTCTGCCACTCTCCCTCCATAAACCTCGCAACCTCCTCTCTCTCCTTCGCAATTTCCTCGGCAGATTCTTGTACATTTTTTTCATGTCTATATTTCATCTCAAACAATTCTTCCAGCTGTTGCTCAATTTCGCTTTTAGCATCCTCGTGTTTCTTGTCCATGTTTAAGCGAACTAGCTCAAGTTCCTGCCTTGCTTCTTGTGACTTAGTCTCGTGCCCCTCGCGTAAATTTTGTATGTAATCTTTCTGTGCGTCGATTTCGTTTTGTTTACTGTCAATTTCTGTCTGGAAAGCTTTTTCGATCTCTAGTCGTCTTACTTCAGCTTCTTTGTGCTTAGCGATCAAATCCGACACTTGATGCCTGCGGAAAGAATCAGAAAGTAAACTATTTAATGGAAAGGATTATTAAACACATCAAAAGATGACGATCTACGCGTTGCATTTAAACGTTTCCAGAAACGCCTTGCACTTACATGACTTCCTCCAAAGTTTCGCCAGAAACTGGAACATCCACTTCAACCCTGCGAAAGTTAACAAAAAGGATAACAAAAAACATCAAGGAACTTTAAAAAAAAAAAGTCACTTAAAGAAAAAAGAAGAGAATGTGTGCATAGTGCAGGCTTACCCAGAGTCGAACGTCATGGGAGACGAGGAATCAGATCTCATACTCAGGTCCCCATGGCTGCCTCGGACCGGGGAGATATGCAAATTAGTCAACGACTCTGTGGATTCCTGGAAAGAAAAGGAACGTAACCAAAGGTTTCGAGTGTGTTTGATTATTTCTCTCTTTATTTTTAAGACATAAAGACTATCAACAGTGTCGATTTGTAGATTTTACCTCTATGCGAACAAAGACATTTCAACAACAAAACGTACCATGCCGAACAATCCTGATCGTCTCTTCTCTCTGAGTTTTGCCGCCTCGGTTGGATAGTTGAACTTGAAAACATCACTCTTGCCAAGGACGATAACATCACCTACGAACAAGAAAAAGCAAATCTCATTAGGCCAAGTCCACACTTTGAACACGTTTCATTACGTGTAAGTCTGGGTTCGTCGTCGCAAGTGCAACGTGCTCTAATCAGTACGAGCTGGGCGATATATTTTCTTGATCTTGGCGCCGCTTGTATGAATCTGAATCTGTGTGACAATAAAGCACTATGAATTAAAAAAGGAATCCGATCCATAGTACTGCTTGCAAGTTTTCCCATGGTTAGCATGTGGTTGTGTCTTGTTATTCTAGTCTTGTGGCTAAAATCCGACGCCCTGATCGGCAATGTGAAAGTAAAGGTGGGCAAGAGCCATTAAGGACCCCAAGGTCCTGATTGCTGACCTGTGATAGAGTGGTTTTCGTTTGAGTGTCGTAAAACCAAAACCAAAGTAATTACTCTGGCCAATCACATAGGACACAGACAATACATTGAACCAATCAAAACTCGAAGTAATTACATGTGGCTGACGCAAAGTGTCACAATTGGCTTTGGTTTTACTTCTGATTGGATGAAAAGGTGGCGCGAATCTTTTAAGCCAATCGCATCGTGTAGAAAGTGCAAAACCAATTACTTTTCGACACTCAAATGAAAACCGCTCTAACATTGTTTTTGGTCTTGTGCAAGTCTTTAGCAGTACATCTAAAGAAGCAGTGTACCTTGATTGAGTTTGGTGGACTGAGATATGGCCACTCCGTTTACCCAACACCGTGGAGAAATCGGCAAGAGAGAGACTCCTTTTCCTTTAGTAAATTCCAAAAAGCAGTGTTCCTTTTCGACCTCTTCGCCCTCAAGAACTGTAAATACAATACGATAAAACATTACTCACGTGACGTTCTTGTCTCTCTCGATCACTGAAAAGCCGACACTTTGACTACAGAATGTTTTAATTACATCTCCAGTTGACCTGGCGCCCACTTTAACTCTCTACGTGTATTAAACGTATAACAGCGTTAAAAGAAGAGAAATAAAATTAAATTCTCTCTCTCTCTTAAAAGAACATCGGTGAGGGTAACACTTAGTGCGGCCCGCCTTTGATAGGTGCCGCCTTACAGAGAGGAGCAGTTCTTAGGATGAGGTAGCGTGGCCGAGTGGTCAGCGCTTCGGACTCGCAATCCGGCGGTTCCGGGTTCGAATCCCGCTCTGGCCACATGCTGGATTTTTTCTCGGTAATCCCGAGTTTAAATCCTCAGCCACGCTTGTAAATAGCCAACTGGTTGGCTCCTGCCATTTGGGTGTTTCAGCCTTGTTATGTTGTATTTGTACGTATTTTTTTTAAAAGACGGCCTAAAGAACAGCAGGGTCCAACTGTAGGTGTGAGTTTTAAGGAGGTCTTTTGAAAAGAAAAGAATCAATCTCTGCATGTTCGAGCAGACTTACCAATGTCTTGAGGGTTTGGAGCGTTTTCTAGTCCGATATGCGTTTTACCAGGCTGTGGGCAATAAAAGACACAAATGATATTTTGTTGAAAAACGGCAGGTGCTCGTTTTAGGGTAATTTACGTCTTGAAGGGTTGTCAGTTAAGAGTGTAGGCAGAAATCAAGTTTACCTAAAGTATGAATAGGCTTCAATCATCTTGCTTTGTAGTTCGCAATTTATCCGAAACGGAACAAAATCGCGTGTCAATGTATTTGGCACAAAGTACTAGAACGACAAAGCCATTTCCACGTGGTCACGAACCACTGAGTAAAGGCAGTATATTGATCTTATTTCTGAGTTATTTTGAGACCCATGACTGTTAGTCCTGCCCCGGGGATCGGACCAACGAGATCCCGCTCAACAGTCCAGCACTCTACCAACTAGCCTGCGAAAACAGCCATCTCCAGTGGCGGATCCAGGAGAGGAGCCTAGGGGCCCCGCCCCCCACTAATTTTTAGACCAAACTGAGGCCCCAAGGACCGAAAAAAAATTTTGGAGACCGCCCCCACTTTATCTCGAGGTCTGGATCCGGCACTGGTCTCTCCTGGCCGCTAGGGACGTTTCACCAGGACAGACGGCTGTTTTCGCAGGCTATCTACCAACGCGGCTAAGCGTTTTTATTTCTTGGTGTTGTTTTGTTCTTACCAAAAACAAAGACGAATTACTTACCATGATACGATAAAGCATTATTTCAGTTCTCAGTGGATCTTCTTCTAAGCGAACCAAGTGCGGAAGCTCAAGATCAACAAGAACAGCACGGGAGCCATGCCGACGGAGCTGCAATTCGCTCTCCTGCAAAACAAACCAAATATTTCATTAGACTGCTGGCCGTCCCTTTTCAGTTAGAGGTGAAAACAAGCTGTTACTGCCAAACAGGAAGGAGCGAACGAGCAGAGGAAGAACTGCCTCTTTCCGGTTCTCTTGATCCCTCGCTTGTACTTTGTGCCCCTTAATGAAATCCGTAGGTTTTAACACAGGTGGCCCTGCCTCGAAATACGACCATCGGCACTGTCCTGTGTTGGCTAACGTTGGAAATACAAGGATTTATATGGGGGTACCTCGATCTAGTGAAAACCAGATTGTCGGAGTCGGAAGCAGAAGCGGAAAGATAAACCAATCACAATGTTCGTACCTACGCTTTGTAATTGGTTTAGTCCTTCCGCTTCTGCTTGCGACGCCAACAACGTAATTTTCACTAAATCATAAGCGACGGACAGGAGCCAATAACCCGGAGTAAGCAACACCCATACTAGGCCTATGTGACGGCGTTTTTACGAACCAGTTTATTTTTAGATACATTTTAGGGCACCTTTTTCCGCAAAAATAGAATCTCCACCATGTCTATGAGCGCTTTGGCGGTATAAGACATCAAAAAGTTAAATTAAACGTTATTGAAAGGCAAAAAATATTATTATTTTTAGGTCTGTAAGTTTTGCTGACTGGCATGTGGAATTTAAAAGATATTCAAAATTTTGCCAAAACCGTTCTAAAAATAAACTGGTCCGTGAAAAACGCCGCGACAAGAGCGCATGGAAGTTGCTCGCTCCGGATTATAATGGGAATCAGAACGCTGACTTTGACTAGATCATAACTCTCTACGCTTCTGATTACTGAGGACGCCAACTCTCAAGAAAGTGAAAAACAGCCTTAAGAAGAAATGTCCTCCCCACCCTACCCCGGACCTTCCTTTCGGTCACAACCCCACCCACCTGCATGATGGATTGCGCCTCCTTCCATTTCTCAGTCCATTCCATTGTCAGCTGTTCCACGCGGGCTTGGTTTTCACTAAGCTTTTTCGCAGCTTTCGCGGTGTCAGTAACCGCGGTTTTCTTGAGGCAAAAAATTAACGATTGTTACACTAAAGGCAATTTATACCACCAACCGGTTTCAAACCAACCTACCTGATCTCCTGTTTTCTCTGAGGTCCTTATGATTCCTTTAAGACGCTCAATTTCAAGCCTGAGATCTCGAATCAACTTCACATTTTGATCCTGCAAAACAGAAAAAAAAAAAAATCTCGATCAAGGCTACGTTAAGCGAACACCGAGGCACCGGACGAATTTTCGACCGGCTGAAAAATTTGTTCGGACACAGTTCAATCACACGGAGCTGGTCAATATTTTCGCTCTGTTTATTAGAAACCGACGATCCAGGTTGAGGTTTAACTTTTTTCAGTGGTTTTACCATCTGTCCACGCGCAGAGCACTACTTAAGTAATCCAAAATGGCGTTTCCGTTTCATGCCGTACAAAAATGTAGACGTTTATGGTCTTCACACCAGGCCTGTCTAACTTCCGACCGTATCGGCTAAAAATTTGACCTTGATTTTGGCTTTCAAATTTTTGAACGGCCAGGCGCCTAAATTTTCGTACGGTTAAGGTGGTTTCGTGTGAAATAAGAGGCCGGAGCTTATCCCGGTTTCCTTAGCATGACACATGTGGGGCAGTATTGCTACTCCCCCCTGGATGGGATGCTAGTCCATCGCAGGGTTTCCGTGTGAACGGAACACCTAAAGGCACGAATTTTTACCCGATAATTTGTTGTTTAATTGTGTCGATAACAAAATGCTTGATTTTGATTGGTTCTTAACAGCCCATATTTATAGCTTAATTTTGCTATTGTAACTCCAAAACTGTCCAGGAGCTTGTAATTGGACAGGCCAAATCGGACAGTTAAAGAACCAATGAAAATCAAGTAACAAATGCCACTGGCCAATGAAATTTAACGTCATAGCACATGATAACCAATCAAAATCAATGAATAAATAGTGACCAGGTAAGCTGTTCAGGTTCAACTGAAAAGAAAAATGGATGAAATTAACTGGTCCAGTGACTTTTATTTAGGTACATTAATAAATATGTCAAGACTGAGATTCTCGTATTGTTTTATTGACACAATTAGTTGGTAATAGGACTTAGTCGTGTCGTACAATTCAGGGGTAATCGGGCGAGTAATGACTCCCTGAATAATTGTACTCCACTCAGTCCTATTACAATTACTAATTTGTTCCTTGACTTTACCTCATTGATTGTTGGTGTGTTAATAATACTCTTCGCTCGGTGAGCATATCGCAGTGTGCTGAGCGTTTCTCCATAGTTGCATTCAGCTGGAGAAATCGCTGAGAAAAAGGGAGAAAAATATTATTGGAGCTGTGTCACGAAATTAAGCCAAATTCAGAATGTCGGAACTGCCTGCCAAATTGAGCAAAACCATAAAAATAACCAGTTAAAACATTGGAGAGAGCTTTGAATTAAACAGCAAATTCAAAACAGGGCAAGGGTGGACAAAATTGAAGACAAAAATTGATTGCAAATGGCGCTCCCCAAAACTTGATAACCTACCAGTTTTTTGAGAGCTCGTCCCTGCTGTTTAGAACACTAAAATTTTTACGATTTGGAAACTGGAAATTTGGAAACCTGTGATTTCGTCTTTACAAGTAGTTTCTTCGCGAAACTAAAACGTTCAGTTCCGTAGCGAGTAAGCCGGAGAGTTACAGTCAACTCTCATCATAGCGGACACTTTAGGACCTCGAGTTAATGTCCACGTTAGCGAGAGTCCGTAATAGCGAGAGTTTATTTCAGTCAAACGTCTGTAATTTATTTTTGCCTGGGATGTAGCTGATGTCCGTATTATCGAGCTGTCTGTTATATCGGGGTGTCCGCAAGGCCAGAGTTGACTGTATTTGCAACACAGTCAACTATCGCCTTACGGACACCCCGATAATGCGGACAGCAGCTACATCCTTGGCCAAAATAAATTACAGACATTTGACTGAAATAAACTCCCCCTATTACGGAGTCTTGCTAATGAGGACACTAACTCGAGGTCCCGAAAGTGTCCGCTATAAGAGGAGTTGACTGTAACAAACAAAATGGACAGGACTGTTAAGACAAAAGCGAGGTTGCGCACTTTTCTTCAGTCATCGCTTATCAAAAGGAACTTATTCCAATATGCTGACCTGCAATCATGACGGTTTTTGAGTTCCCTCCGAGGCTGTCCTTGAGTAGAAATGTCAACACGGAGTCCCTGTATGGCACGAATAGCTTTTTCCGAAAAGATGGGCGCTTGGATATCGTGGAAGAATTAATGGAGTTCTCAGCTAAAAGAAAAATAAATACTACATGTATATCCTGTGTGACAGACGTTTGAAGGGGCAACAAAAAGGACGCTCGAGAACAAAAACGGACGCGAGAGGGAGGTCATCTTGTGCCAACACGTAGCCTACGAAAAAATTTTCCGTTCCGAGTGGCGAGGGAAGCGAGCTGCGGGAGAACGCTCGAGCAAGCGGTGAAGCCGCGAGTAGTCTCCCCCCTCTTTTGGGGGAGCGTTGCGTGACGTCCAAAAAACGGCTGCGAGGGAGACTAAGCCGCGAGGAGCTCCTTTCTAATCTTGCCCCTAGCTCTCGAGAACTCGCGCTCGCGCGTGGCTTCTCACGACATCCCCTAAACTGCGATCAGGCGTTTTTTGGTCTCCTTCGGCAAGAGGTATAAACAGATAATAGGGAGAGGGCATGCTCCCATGCTAGATATCCCCTAAATGAAGATGAGAGCTTACACGCCGGATAAAATCGCTTTTGTAGTAACTGTATGAAAAGCTTAAATAAGATTTAGAGGCGTAATAAAAAAGGAAATTTTGTATTCACCAAGAGTGGATATGACAATTCCTAAAGTAACAAGAGACTTGTTGATGTTGGCGCCTTCCTTCAACCTGTCACCGACGGCCCCACTTGCGCTTGCGCGCTCGCTACGAAAAAGAAAATATATGTCACAGAAAAGCAAAAAAAAAAAAAAAAAACACTAGGATTCCCCAGCTACCGTAGTATACAAGCGACTAGAGTTGCTACTATTCTCAACTGCAAACACTACCACCCTACACTTGTCCATCAACGCCGTGGTGGTCACATGACCTTGTACCACCTGGACCTAGTTGGCACGCTGTCGTGGCTATCTGGAGGCCCAAGTCACTCAAGTTGGGGCACCATGTGTGTCTCAGACGAGCAATACAGACTACGCGGAATTGCAGTACATTGCAGCATCTTCTCCTCCAATTACCACTGGGACTATGAAACCCCTATCCATCTACCAAGTGAGTTTACTGCATAAAAACTAAATTTTAGAAACAGGACTAAACCACTATTTCTCTGCATATTCTACATGCGACTGGATTAAATGCAGTGTAATATACCAACCTGCCGGCCAAATCAACCAGATGGATCTTGCTGATGGTTTCACTTGGCATGTCTCCTATCAACTTGGCCTAAAAATACCATGATTTAGTATAAACAAGTTGTATAACAGAAAACTTGACTAATTAAAATTAAAATGCCCTCAATACATCACCCATAAAAACTCCTTCTACCGTTTCCTTGGACTACCTTGGAGTTATACATGGTGGAAAAATAAGTGCGTGCCACTTCTTATTCAAAAACTTTTCATCTTGATTTGTTTTACTGTCACCTTGATGGAGGTTATACAAGACTGAACCAGGAATTCAAAAAAAGAAAACACAGCACAGGGAATGGGGGTAGCATTCTTTCAATTCCTTCTTTTTTATCGAACACTCTCCAGTTCGCATCACTCTCCACCAACTGAATGCCTGTAAACAGGCTAAGGTTATACTGCAGTTCAGTTCATAGCGTATATAAATCAGAGAGTTTGCGTGGGTCTAGAATAGGGTATCATTTTCAGGGAAACTGATCAATTAGTTGAAGATTTTAGTCTAGACAAGGGAAACCAGGAATTGCCAGTCAAAAATATAAAAAAAATCAAATTTACACAACTTAGCCTATAGGCTACTGTAGGATGGGGTGGGTGGGGGGATTTGGGTAGTTTAGTCTAGTATTGGGTAGCGAAATTCAGCTGAAATAGTTCTGGAATAGGCAAAGGGTTCCAGGGTCCCAGCAGCACATTTCCACCCCAAAATTCCTAAACTACCCCACCCCCCAGGCAATTCAGCTTTAATTTACATCTTAAATATTCTGTAAGTTTCATTAAAGGCAATTCTTACCTGTGTGAATTTTATTGTAAAAATGGCATGGGAACGACTGCTTGCGTTATTCATCCTCGTTGAGGCAGTTGCTCTGAAAACAGAAAACATCATAGTTAAATTCAAACATATCCCATATATTTGAGACTCAAACAAGATGCATTGTGTGAACATTTTCATTTGTCTCTTTGCTTATATGTAATTGCTTGTTTTTTCCCTGTGTATATATTACAAAGCATTAACCCTTTAAGCCCCAATATCCACATACAAATTCTCCAAACTGATCTCTATACATTTCCTTTAAGAATTAGTTAAGAGAATTTGATAAAAGATCAAAGTATTTTCTTTTAGGTGATCATTTTATTAATTCTCATAACCTCATCTCTTGATAAAGTATGGATATCGTTAGGAGAAAATTGCTGTTGGTCACTATTGGGACTTAAAGGGTTAATTTCTTCTCCCTAAGTAGCTTAGGAACAGTCACTAGGTCTAACTACCTGGCTGGTATTTAACAATGGAACATTGAATAATCATCTATTTATTTATCCATGTGGCTTCTAGGTGAGCTGAAAGCTTGTTAAAAATGTGAAAGAACTTAACTTATGCACTTAGACAAGAAATATCGGCAAGCACCATGGCCGTACAAACCTGAGCTTGTTTCCCTGTTCAATAAGAACTTCAATTGAGTCTAAATCAGACACATGCTGCTTTGTTAATCCTGCAACAATAAAAAACCACACATTTTAAACACAACCTAAGAAAATGGATTTTCCACCAGAAAACAAAACTGCCTTTACCACATGCGGATTTCAAATGCATAACTTTTAAATATTGTTACCTACCTTCGACATATGGACCCTCTTTTGGATGTTCACGAACTTTTAAGTTTTGCTGAGGAAGCTTCTTAAGTTTCTGTGGCCTCAACAGGTCACGCACATGCTCATTGTAAATTTCCAAGTAGCTAGATAGAGTAGAACAAAAATTTACCCAATTTTTCTTGTCTTGCCTAAATTTCTTTACAGTTTCAATTCCTATGTAGCTTTGGTTTTTGGGTCTATGAATCTAATGCTTATTTGATAAAGAAGGTAGACATTTTCTTAGGTGAAAAGCTAGTAATTCAGTAGAGCTCAAGAGATCGACTTCTCATATGTCTTTTGATTATTAAATGAAAAAAAAAAAAAAACAGGTAGAGCAGACAAGTAATATCATATATGTCATGAACTGGCTAAATAAAGCCAAACTGATGGACATGGAGATAATTTCTACAGGAAGCTCTTGAGAACTTTTGAGTCTATGTTGAAATTATGGTGAAATGATTTTTAAAAGTTATGTTATACAGTACAATTTGCAATGGCAATTTATGGCACAACAATGTCGGAAAAATGTTGCAACCATTCAAAACAATGCCACAACAATGTTTTTGCCCTAAAAACTGCTATTGCAAATTGTTCCATGTACCATCACCATAAAAATTTGAAACTTTCTCATATGAAACCTGAACAGTAAATGTACTTTCTCATGATGCTTAGGTATTTAATTTTTTCTCTGTACTAAAAACTATTTACACATTCAGGTGACAGGATCAAAAATCAAACTTGCCTACTGTCAATATTAAGCCCACCGAGGGGCTCATTTATTTCAAACCCATTTGAGGGGGATGGGAGGGGGGGCTCAATAGAGACGTGGAGCTTATTTAATTTACAAACGACGATGGTATCAGTTCTCCATAAAGAACTAGAATACAAAGTGGAAAAGCTCAAGTACAAGAATTAGAAGTTTTAGGTCATGCAGCTGAGGATCAGAATCAAATCCAAACTTCCAGTTGGTAAAGTAAACCATCCCTAATCAGTCCACACAAAGTTATACAGTAGTGATTGATTAATACAGTCTATCATTTATTAGTGAAGAATAATTAGGAGAGCGGAGGGGGGGGGGCTTTTTAACTTTCTTCCCCTGAAAAGGGGGGGGGGTTATTAGAGGGAGGGGGTTTATTTGAGAGGGGGCACTTAACAGAGGATTTAAAGTAATCTAAATTACCTGACTTCAGTCCTGAATGAAGAGTTCAGTGATGTGTTCTGATCAATGTACCGGAACAACCCCTGAAAATAAAAAAGACGTACAAATTGCTATGTTGAGAAGGCTGGACTGGATAACATGACAATGGTAAGTCTGCTGAAATAATTTTGCTTCTAAAAGACTTGGGATTTTTATTAGCTGCAGTTAAAAAACAAAAATGAAGTGATCATGACAGTACCTTACATATTCTTGGAATAAGTCCAATCTCCTCCTGAAAGTGAATAAAGTGTGTCATTAAATACTGACATATGTGGCGGGGAAGGGAAATTAGACAAGCCTGCAAGCAAACTCTCCTTTTGGGGGAGCTGTGAGAAGTCATGCCAGAGCTGCACGCGAAAGGATGTACAAGTGTGTACAAGGAGTGGACCGCTCGCTTGGCGTTCTTTGAAGCTTGCTGTGCACGCTAATTGAAATGGAGATCTAACTGATGATCAAGGCAGAATTAGAAATGTTACAAAGTTAAACTGCCATGGAACACTTGAAATTTCTAACAACTAAGCAGTTGGTACTCAAATGACAGTCAGAATAGGCGAAAGACAAAATACTGACCCCCAGTTCCGATCGACTACCCATATAGACTACCTTTTGACTAAATTCGCTGCTAGTAACTTAATGTACATGTACCTTCCATTCAAGTCTATTCAAAAGGTATATTTGTCTTTATGGGTATAGTACATTGAGCCAATCCATGGACTGGGCATCAGTGTTTTGTCCAACAGGCATCAAAGTATGAAGGAAAGAGTTTGTACTTACACTGGTTCCCATCATTGTGTATGTTTTCCCAGCACTTGTCTGGCCATAAGCAAATAAACAGGCATTATATCCTTCAAATGCTGAATCTAATACTCCCTGCCCAAGATCATTAAAGACCTGCAAAATATTGTAGAATAGTTTAGGGGGGTCATTAGGCATAGGAGATCACAGATACATTATATGTTGCATTTATCTATCTTAGTCATAATGTCTTTTTAGAAATTATCTATTATATTTTATCCTAAATTATCTTTGAAAATGGTATATTTTATAGTTTTTAGTTGTAGAATCTATATTTTTAATTTGTATTGCGGGCCACAGAGTCATCAGTGTCTTAGGACTACTGTTAAGTGTTTTACCCTCTTTAAATAAAGCCTATTATTTATTATTTATTTATTTATTTATTAGAATTCTCCATTTTTGTTTTTTTACACGGAATTCTCTGGCTAATGTTCGGTAGCCTAGGACGGTTTTTTATTCAGCTGTGGAGCTGCTTTCAAAATATTCTCCAGTAACATATTACATCTTTCTCCTGCTACAAGAATTCTTAAGGAAAACCCTGATAGTTATGACAAAATTAATATTTGTACACAGGATTGTCACAAAAAGCTGGATCAGACAGGAAATTTCCCTTGGTCACTATAAGCATAAACCCCAACCAGAAAAACAAAACAAAAATAGAACCAAACTAGGACCCCCTGGTTGTTCAAATTTCTCTGCCCTCCAATTTATGACAGGCCTGGTATAATTAACTATGCAGACCTTTCAGTGTCATCATGATGCCGTGCAGTTTGAAGTTCAAATTGATTAGAATAAACTGTCAGAAATAATTCACTAAAGATTATTTTGGTTGTCATGACACAAGCTCAAAATAGTTCGAATATTAACCAAGGTTAGAAAGAAAATCATGATTGCTTAAAATATTAAAAATACTGGCCTGCTTTCAATGAGTTCTTCATTCGACATCAAGTAATGATTAGTGCAAACAAAAAGAGTGTTCGGAAATTATATGAAAAACTGCTTATTTTCGCATCCTTAATTTCTCCTTCTAAACTCATTTTGTTTTAGAAGTAATATATAAAAAAATTCAACCAACAATTTAATTATCAAACTCCTCGAAGTTCATCAAAAATTAACTCAGCCAGCTCAGTTCAAATATTGAGTAAACTGTAATACAGAAAACCAAAACTAAGTTTATACCTGTCTGTATTTCCTCGAATGATAACCAGGGATTATTATTATTATTTTTTTCACACCAAAAGGGGGCGATTATTCAAGGGAGACGATTATTTCAAATATTGCTCACTGGAAGTTGTTCCCAAAATATTTTGTTTTATTATCTCATTAAATCAAAAAATTATCACATCAAATAAACTGAACATATTATGGGCTTTTTAAGTGTTCCGAAATAAATATGGTTCCTTGATTAATCTTCAGAGCTTGAATCGTCACTGATCAGTTTTGCTGGATCATTATCTACACTTCAACTTGACTGGGAGGGGATAAAAAAAGAGGAGATGGCAAGAGGGGTGGGGGGGGGGGTACAATGTTTGACGGAGGCATTTGCACTAAAATCTTTGTTATCGTTGTAAACACATGTGTCTGTAGGCGCTCTGTTGATAATAGAGCACTTATCCTATCCTTATCCTATCCTTATCCTATCCTTTGATTGAGGGACAGCTATTATTCAAGAAATATGGCGCTGTGATTGCCCAGATAAGATCCCACCTTCAGATATAGGCACCCCCAGCCCTGTTTAGCTGAAGGATAAAGGTCGAGGCTGTGCTCTAAGGAAAATATAAGGGAGCCCAGTGCTCTGAAACTGTAAAATCTAGGGTGCCCAGCATATGATTTGTATGAAAAATCTGAGATTTTCTAGTAGCCCGAGGGCAAAAGTTAGGCGCCAGGGGCCACTGGGCTCTGCTAGAGCACAGCCCTGAAGGTGGATGCACATTTCACCAAACACCATCCTTATTCTGAATTATACAAATATAACAACATCACCTGATGGGGAGTGGACCATCAGTAGTTGGTTGAAAAGTCGCGATCAAAAACAAAGCCAAACCAAACAATGGCTTCTTTACCTGTTCCTGTTTGATGAAGTGTCCATCTTTTGGATCTGCTGACCAGTATGAGTAATCAAAGAAGAACTCTTTCTTATAATCGCGCCCTTTGTCACCCTCCATTCCAGCCTCTCCATACAGCTGCAGATAAAAAAAGATACATAAATGCATAAACTAGTACATAATAACCAAAGGTTAGGGAGTGCTAGCCTGCAAAAACAGCTGTCTCTCAGCACTCTTTGCCACTTTTATAGGGCATTTCACAGGGAGGGAGATCTGCACCTTAGCAACAGAATTCCATACTCAGGTGATGTAGATCAATGTTTACATAAACCTGGTAGTCATGGGCCGGGGGTTCGATTTTAAGTTTCTCCTGGGCGATTATGGTAAAGTTTTGTATTCTGCTGGGAACGAGCTCCAGCAAAACTCAAATGCTTCTTGTAAAGTCATCGAAGGATATAGTATATCACAACATTTGTGATATACTAGTATACGAGTAATAGTTCTTAAAAGTGGTTTGTATCATTTAGTAAATTATCAGAAGTTTGGTTGCTCAATTGACCAATCATTAGGTTAAATACAATAAAAACCCACGACTAAGAACCTGGTTTTTAAGAACCCGTTTGGCTACAATTTGTCAGTTAGGCCCCCTCTATAGAAGAACCGGTTTAGCCTAAAATTTGAAACAGGTTCCTCTTTGGAGACATAGGTGCCTTATCACTCCAACTGCATATGTACTAGCATATTTTTTATAAGGAATAAGCTGAAGAACACTAATAAAGTACTGTTAGCTAAAAAAAGCAGAAAATAAGAACCTAAATTTGAGCTTATTACCATTTATCTAAGAACCTGTTTAGGCTAACTTGGGAAAATGCAGGTTCCTAGTTGTGGGTTTTTACCCTAAATATTGAACAATTAACTGGCATTTATGTGTTGATGAGTTTCCTGTACAGCTGAAAAAGAAGCTGGAGTTGACCTTGTTTTGATACAACCCTTCCTGCTTTATTCAAAAATCATGTTGTTCTTATGCCAACTAGTATTTTTAAGCATAATTTCGATAAGAAAAGAAAGAGGTTTGTATCAAAACAAGATCAACTTAAGCATCACGTTCACTCAAAGGCTAGGATACTACGCCCACAACTGTAAAATGGTCTATCGACGAACTCAACAGCAATATCAATCCAGTGGCTGTCAAGTTCAGTTAGGTTCAACTACTGAATGTTGGACTGGTTACCCTGAGATTTTTTCATCTTAATATAATAACAAAATTTCACTTTATTAATTTATAAAATTAAATGTATTTGAACATGCAGTGGAGAATGCATGATCAACAGAAGGATCAATTCAATTTGGACTGAATTTTATTTCACTCAGCTGAACTTTAATCATAGGGTAATAATGGTCAGAAAATATGTTACAATGTGGAACTGGTGACTCATAATAATTATGTACACTAGGTCAAGTTTACATCATTTTATTCCACGCACACACAGGGTCTTCATATTATAAGAAATACCCACTTCACACAATTATTGTAACAAGAATTTCTTCTTGACATAATAATTATAAGATGGAACTTGCTTTGTTTATAATCAAAGGGATACTCATCACAAAGAAATAATTTAGGAAACTGGAAATTAACATGGTTCGTTTCTGCTCACCACAAAAAAAGCATCCTTCTCAATATTATGATCACAGAATCAAGTGCAATATAGCACCTTAAGTGTTTTTGGAAGGTTCTTTGCATCAAAAGTATGTCTAAGTTGATATCTGTCACACACAATATCATGTGCCGTGGAAACAAACAACAGGCCCTCATTTTAGTTATTTCTACAATGTTCCCCAACAATAGATGCTTTCTCTCACACATATTTAACCGACCTTTCAATACAAATAATTATATTAGACTGACACCAGTGCGAGTTCCGTTACGATCATGGATTCAGACATTTTGCAAATGCAGAATTACTTAAAAAAATCCATGATTCGAGTTACCGCACCAGCTAATTGCCTATCAAAATGACATTCAGATGTTGGGACTGTCTAGAAGACTTAATAAATTAATGCTTCATCATACGAAAAACAATATTATCATAAAATGCATCAATGACAATAATAATATCATGAAATTAGTTTATAACTTATAAACGGTATTTTGTCAAAATTTCCATGGTAAACTTGTTTAAATTTTTTCATGAGTACATTTGTTTAGTACACATTTTTTGGTTAAGACCTCTCAGCTTGTTTCACATAATTTATTGCTAAGCTTCCAAGAAACCTTAACTTTTATAAACGCCACAAAATCAAAGAATTTTTTATTTTTTTAACTGGAATTAGATGCACTATAGTGGCTGTCGGAATAGTTCAAAATTGTAATAAACGAATGAACATATAAACAAAAAATTATACAGAGCTACGTAACATCAAGTCACAGCAAGTAAAATATTGATCACGCTGTGACTTTTTCCGAATCAACAGTGTCGACGAAAATTAGCAACACGTACAACAAAGTACAACATTAGCACTTCGCTGCTAACAAGTAAACTTTTTAGCAAGAACAACAACGTATAGAATTTTGTTATGGTTATAGCATTACATTCACAAGTTCACATGGTTGACCGCAAGCAATCGAACTTTGTCCTTTAAGAAGCTGAAGTAATTAACAAGGTGGCAGGTTGTGGCATATATTTTTTAAATATCTTTCGTAAAACAAACAATCCAGTGCAATTTAAGCTTATATTAACAACTTCGACAATCTCGTGAGTGGTACAACGTACGTGTTTTCTTTTTTTTTTTCAAATGCACCACAGAACAATGATTTTCAAAGCGAGTAAAAGAGCAATTTATTTTGAGTGCAGGGCAAGGAAGAAACATAACTATAACGCTAGTGTAACTATAATGAACATTAGAGACGAAAATGATAATATAAAGCAAGCTTTTTCTTGCAGCAATTCACAAACTCTACCTTAATATTCGTCTATTATTATTTCTATTACTGGGCCTTTTGAATACTTCACACGTCAATGAATGACATGGGAAATGAAAATCGAAGCGAAACAGTTGCAAAGATATGCAGTCGACTGACAGAAGAAACTTTGGAACGTTTGAAGTTTTTGCAAATGAAAATACGAATAAAATTGCTTTTTATCTCGTTATAGTACTGACGTCCGCCTTCTAAATAGATCGTAAATAGACAAATTTGAAACAGGATACTTGGGGGATTATCACGCCAGAAAGAGGTACTTTATTTTAGCTTAGTATGTATTATGGAAGCATTCTCATTCATGGAAAATTCTGAACCACACCGAAAGAACTTCAAATCCACGTTTGCCTTTATACGGATAAAACACTCCAATTAAAAGAAAGTCGAATAAATCTCGGGATTAGGGGTATTTTAGAAGACAGAAGAAATGTTTACACAAGCTCGACAGCAGTATGTAGACTACTTAAAATAGAAAGTAAAGATCTTAACCAAGCAGATTTCGCGAATAGGATATACGAAATGCACGTAAATATAAAATCACGTCAGCACATGACACGGAATTTTTGGGGATAGCGCTAATGACTTCAGCTTATTTCACTTTCGACACAAATGTGTACTTCCCTAAATAAGCTTTAGTAATAATTTATACGTACGCCGTCAACAACCTTACCTTAGTGTTGAAAATTGTTGTTTTCTGACCCTCCATCTGAATAATACATTTAGAACCGAGCTCTAATTCCCTGCATGATGAACAAAAAAAGGGAGATTAGCTACACAACGTTTCATTTTTCCACAAACCTACAGAAATTTTGAAAGCAACGATGCAAAAAGCACACTTAACAAACGAATTCACCTGTTGTTTAACGGACGAGCACGAACGGCTACTTTCAATGAAGCCATTGTAGAGCAACGTATATCGGCGCCTTCGATTTGACGTTCGAAGTAAATTGAAATAAAATAGCTAGTAACAAATCCAAATAAAACGTCGTTAACAAGCTGAGAGGATCAAAGACATCCGTGCAGTTCCAAAATAACCCATATTGAATCAGTAGTGTGTTAATTCAAGCATACAACTGGTTGTTGTCGTCCGAACAACGGCTCTCTTTCTTTGTCAACCTGAACTGCTCGTGTGTACAATCACATGCTTGGATGACATGTTCAGCAAAAGTCTTGTCCAAGTGATTCCAATTCTGTCCGCTATGGGGGGCTATTAAATTAGCAACGAGCGAATCAATTTGCCTATCAGGTGCCCTTCGCGTGAGGAAAGGACGATGGCGTTACAGCGAAAGGAAATACAAGATTATCTCAGAACAAAAAAATTCCTTGCGGTTTTTTAAGTGGGTCAGGAAAACGGCGACATTAGTTCCTCTTATGCTAACTCCTGCAGAAAGTTCAAGACAGGAGTTTTGAGGCATGTTCATTCAAACATATTCAAGCACTCGTGACGATCGAGTTTTCGAGAGTGTTCATTTCATTTCAAATTCAAGTACCCGTGAGTAACTAAGCGGGCGTATGACCAATCAGGACAAAGATTACATAGTCGACAACCAATCAAAAGAGCTGTAATTGTCAAGGTTTTGATTTTACATGGAAAAGCCCGCCATGTCTAGGGGAAAATTTATATGGAAACGCAAAAACATGCGTAGCGTCTTTATAATTTTTATTTTATATATTTTTCCATTGTCGTTAAGTTACTAATTCAATTCAGGATACGACGCTCTCGAATTTTCTTTTTGTGATTCAAATATTGTCATTCTTGAGTCAGCACTAAAATGAGCAGTGTTGGAGAAGAAAAATTACAGAAATAAGCGATTACCTACTTGCTAAGATTGTTTCAAATATCGTTCAATACTAGTATGCTAAATCATACGATCTAAAGAACGGAAAATGCAAGGTTACGTAATCACTTGATTTATTTTAACTGATCTATTATAAATTCAAAATTTGATAATGATGGTGGACATATTTTTTATATATTCCTTTTTTTTTTTTAGTCTTTGGACCGATATACCCTATTTACTTTTTAAGATTCTGTATTCTATTCAGCTAGAAAGTAAAAATGACATTGAAAAAAGAATTGCATCAATCGTTCACCTATGTTTATAGATAGGACCTCTTCTTTATTTAACCAGCTGTAATTTGCCATAAATCGATTTCTATGGTAATGAAAGCAGTAAGTTTTAATACCAAGGTAGATGCTTACTTTTCCTGGATGGCAGCTCCGCCGCCAAAAATAATGTCCTCGAATTCGCACAAGTGAACCAGTTATTTATATTTGTGTTACGAACTATTATTTATCGACCTTAATATTCAAATTTCGCGCTGTATGCCAAATCCTGGAAGCTGCTTGTGTGTCAGGGTGGGTAGGGAGGAAGGGAGGGGAGTGGAAGAAGTCGGTTTAATCATGGGGCAAAAAATTTGATGACGAGTGTCCCGGGGAGTCATCTGTGTCAAGATAGTAATAGGGATGTTACAATGTTACTAACGTTTTCTCATTTCGTGTTAATGTTATGACTACTATAATTTGAAATTGAAAACGCCGTGAATCATCTTACTCCGACCAAAGAGCCATGTCACCTGGGGGAGTACATCCTATGATGGCCTATCACGTGGGAAGCTTAGGCTTTACGTATATGAAACTGTAGGGATTTCCGACTTATTGACGTACAAGGAAGGGTAGGGAAATCTGTCATTTCGGTCGGCTCAAAAGGGCAGTGAAAAAAGTCGAGAAAACTTTCTGGTTTTGTGATTTATTCATATTTGAAAGCCAGTGCATTTACAGCAGTAACAGCAGTAAAAGTGATGCAAAGTTCTAAACTAGGTATGTGAAAGGGGTACCATTTGTCAATAGAAGGCATACGAAGGGTACCTTTTCTGTAAAAAATGGTATATAAAATGTTAAGGGGTTGGACCTTGGGGACGGAGCGTCTCCGCATTAAACTTTCTTGAGTACCCCCCGGGCCATATCATCGGAATGATTGCTTATAAGACTACTGTAGGGACTGATCAAAAAGCGTGAAAAGTCTGAACACTCGAGTTACAGTATTTCGACTGGTCAAGCCAATCTTCAAGATTTTTTTAATTTCCCCAGAAATGTCGGAAGTCACGTACAATATTATATATGATACAGTTGGTATGATTGCGTGGCTACTTAGAAAAGATAAGAGAAAAGTAAAAAATAATATAAATAAAAATTAAATACTATTTATATGGAGACAGATTACAGTTCATCTCGTTTATCTATGCCTCTATATCTGTGCAACTAACAAGGTATGTAGTGTTGCTTTTTTTCTTTTCTGCTATATCTTGTCTTTTTAAGTAGCCACACCAAAACCCTTTATACTGTACGTGACTTCAGATCATTTTACTTCGTGGTTTTTGTCAACCCGTGATTCTTCCTTATATTGTCTATTCATGTTGTTTAATCAGTCCCCAGTGTACCTGGTAATTTTGGCTGGTCGATGACGATTTTTCTCTGTCTTTAAGGAGGGTTGAGCGTACAGGGGTGGTCAGGGGTTTTGCAACCTTTTCATATCGAGCAGAATCAATAGCACGGAAACCGTGCTCCCTTAGCTGCGCCCCCGGGCTGCTCAGGCCATATTTAGCCTAAGTAGTCACTGGAAAGAAATATGGGCGTTAGAAGAAATCAATGGAGACACGCGAGGAGACACGCGTTTGCACTCAGTAGTCAAGTGAACTCACTTATCACCCGTACGTATGAACTATACACAACCATGATTTGTTGAAAAAAAAAATTTAGGGATTACAGAGGTCTTGCTATTATACATAAGCGAAATTTATCAGAATCTTACAAGGTTAAACAAGACAAGCTGAGAGACTAAAACCTCTCACTGGGCTCTCAGTGACCTCCCTCACTCACTAAGCCTATTTAACTCTATAACCATATTATGCTTCTAAAGGTATGAGACAATTGTACACTGAAGTGGCGCAATTGATAGACTGTTCAAAGTCCGCTATTCTTCCGTGGGATCAGTCGATGTCAATCTTCATGTTTCAGAGGTCGCTAACTTGGTTTTTAGCTCACATTTCGAAAACTCAACTAGTTAGAAGAGTGTAAGAAACAGGGGTGGAACATGGTATGAGTTGGGGTCTCCGTACCCTCGATCAGGGAATTTGTACCCTTCGGCCAGCGATTGAGGTGGACAAAGAGGACTGGTAAACAGTCTGCTGATTTAACTGACTCATATATTTATTATATGGTTGGGGGCTCACGCGCCTTTACGACTTCCCTTGGGCGAGCCATCTTTTCAAACATTTCCTTACTAAAAGTAGTGTACCGTTTACCTGAGAAACAAAAAGGACTGCCTCGGCTAGAAGGGTGACTTTGTAAAACCCATTAGACTCTTTTGTTATATGTTTTTGTCGCCTTTTTTGGACCTGACTGTGCACAACGTTCAATAGCATTCCTATCATTTTGAACTTACTGACTGATAGAAACATCGCATTTAATTCATTCAGTCACAATTGCTGAACAAAAAACAAGGGATTAAGTACGGTCTAGGAAGCAGCGTTGTTTTCAACTTTGATGTTTGCCGGCTTTCCTCTACTAATAAACTATGGTCGAAATTAAAGATCAAGGACATTTTAGGAAGTTCTATTACCACCAATTCATTTCTAGCTACTTGTAGCTACTATCGGATTAGCCCCATACTACTTGCTCGCTCGGTATAAAAATTATAGCGAAAAAAAAAAGAGATGATAATAAAGGTCCAAATTAAAAGTCACTAACTTTATTCACAAATACCACTAACAGAAGCTTCCGTATTAAGAAAGGATTGTCTGAATTAAGCACAGACGCGACTTAATCCAAACAGGACAACTGAAAGCACCCTTGAGCTGACTTAAACCTTCAAAAGGATTACACAAGGGATCTTCGAAGAACGTCAGCGTGTCCATTCTTTCCACAGGTGCTTGTTTTCTGAAAATACGCGCTCTCTTATTCACTTTCTGGGCCCATTAGGACACCTGAGAAATGGCCGTTAATTAATAGAATACTGATCACAAACACAAAGTAGAGTTCATTTTGGCTTTTTTATTTCTTATATGATGTAACTATCAAGTTGCCTGTGAATAATCACTTAGCGTATTTTCGTAGCAAGCCTTTCCAGTCGAGTTATTGCGCGAAAGTTGGAGCGAAATACCCGAAACAAAAAAGGAAAAAAAGAAGGGGAAGGGGAGGGGAGAAGAGGAAACTGTTTCCTCCGCTCCCTGCCCTACCCCTTCATTTCTCTTTTTGCTCTCTTCCCAGCTTTCTCGATGAACTCGCGCAGAAAAGCTTGCTACGCGGGCGAAGGGCTAGCACAACGCAAACACAGGAAGCCGAACCAGATGTCCGGCAACCCTGCTTCCTATGAACTACCACCTTATGACATTCAGTCAAAATTCGAAATTAATAATAAAACTAATAAATAAAATCTGAATAAAACCTCACAATACTTTTATATTCAACTATGAATAAAACCTAAGTAACTACTTTTCTAATTTTGTGGAGTCATTATTTAACAAGCCGTTGCATATTTCAGTGTTAAGAACCCGTTTTGAGCGTTTTAGGTGCTGCTCTCAGTAAAAAACGAAACCGGCAAACCGCAAACCAGCGCTTATCCAGCTGAACTTACCGAGCGGCGGTTTAAGAAAATGACTAAAGACATTGTTTGTGTTTCCTCAGAGGCAGACTCTGATAAAATACATATTGATTATTTCGACAAAAGAAAGCGTTTACTCCCATAGGACTGGTTTGGGCACCAACATGGCCGCCATTTAACTGTTCAGGAGAGAAACCAACATGGCCGCGGTGAAGTCACGTGAACAGGCTCTATACACCCGGCCCTTATCATCCCTAACTTCCTCTAGGGCACTCCTTTTGTGGTGGAATGGCACCATCAACGATCCAGTCAGTCATCTGTAATCACAATGACTTCTTCTGTTGGCTGCAGCGTACTCTGAAAGATAACCATATTTCTATGTCAGACGGAAAAAACGGTCGGAACAAGTTGTTGAAACATTGCAATCGTCCGTTAGAGGCCAACGACCCCAGCGGGGGGGTACTCGGGATTTCAAGTGACGGGGATGATCGGAGGAATTTTTTGGGTTTGAAATTTCCGATTCCGGGATTTTTTGGGTACGAAAATTTGGCTTAGGTAGCTTGATTTGAGTAGGGATTTTTTCGGGGTATTAAAAAGAATCGGTAGTGCCCTGGCTACGTAGTTCTGCGAATAAAGTACAAACAAACGTGTTTTTCTGTTACGTTGTTTCATAGTTAACTATGGTGTCGCTTTACATCGCACGCGTTAAACAATAGTCTGCAGAAATTGGCATAGGAATTTTTTGGGGGTTAATTTTTGGTCCAGGGATTTTTTTGGGTTTTGCTGGTAGCCCTAGGGATTTTTTGGGGTCTTGACTTTTGGCTCCATTCGATCATCCCCGTCACTTGAAATCCCGAGTACCCTCCCTGGGCCAACGACACACTACCACTAGCAGATGAGCTTCCAAAATTTCGCGCAGAACACGAATTTGAATTGAATTTCTTCATAGTATGTAACAAACGCTCAATAACCGTGGGTATCCGCTGTTTGGGAAATAATCTCGTGCTCAGGCTCCTCCGATCACTTCTCGGACCGAACTCGAGCGGCACCTAAACTAATAGTAAACTAATGGCTGACTTACCGTTTTTGTTCCATTAGCGGTCAGCCTCAATTTTTTGACACTTGGAGTCTCTAAAATAACTTCGCTTTGTTCTCCACTCTAAAATAATACATATTAAAATTACTTGTTTGTTTTTTTTGCTTTTAGCAGATTCATTAAAGACTCACACGGATACTCACCTTATGTAACCTGTCCCGGGAGATTCTACCGAAAAATGTTGTTTTGAGCTAGTCAAGTCATTTTACGCTGACTTGCGCTTTTTTGTTCTGGTATGCACAGAAGCCACTTCTTTCGATTAATTTGCTCCTCCCGATTTTGCTTTTGATGGGCATTTACACTGTACTAGGGTTCATTTCGGTGGTGAAATTTTTAACGAAACCCGTTAATAGTGAAAAAGGCCATTTCTGAGTTCCCCCGGGCTCTGTATCAAAACGAGGTTAAGTGCTCAGCCTTTGATATGGAAATGATTTTTCATTCTCACGCAAATAAAACTCATTTTCACAAGAAAGGTTGTGCACTTGGCATCATTTTGAAAATGAGGGTTTTCGGGACTCGGAAATGGCCTATTATTTTTAAGGAAGTACTGGTGTGCAGTGAAAAGAGATTTTTCGGGTTTAAATGTAACCGAACGCATTGTGGAATTGCACACATTTTACGCATCCTACAAACAAACAGTTACGACGTATAAATATTTCCAGTAACATCAATTCGCCGTCTGCTCCCTTCGAATTACGTAAATGTTTGCAATTTTCGTTGTTTGCTTGACTGGATCGAGTTCATTTGGATGTGCTTTAAAAAATCTCTTTCCAGGTTTCCCCTGAAAATGTGAGGTGACAAAGTTGCCTGCGATCGTTAAATTTTATGACCTCACAAGTGGTACAGGGGACGTGGTTCAACATGGGCGGTTAAGGTTAGAATTCGCCACTAAATTGGCCAATAGGGATCCAACGACGCGACGACAACGAGAACGTCGCTTAAAAAGAAAATTTGCGTTCTTTTATGCTTTATCGCGATTATTCCACTCATTTACTTTGTCAAATGTAGGCGAACCCTCCTGAAGTTGAATTCCAAGGGACCATATCCAAGTTAAGAAAGAGAAATAAAATTTGGTCGTCGCTTGTAGAACGCGAAATTAGCCACTTTCACGTTGTAGTCGTGCAAAAACGGCAAAGAAATGTACAAAAAAGTGTGATGCACGTGCAAAATTGTTTTGCTTATTAAACCTGTTGATTTTTTCTTTAACGTTATGGTTGCGGCCAAGTCGTTGGATCTAAAAATTCCCCAAATAGCTGAATAGCACATCTCCAGTAACGATCCCAAAAGTCTTTGAGAAAGGTAACTCGACCCAGTTTCTTTTTCGTTTTTACGTGAAAAACATCAAACAAGAAAGAATTTCTTGCTTCATGATTAACACTTACAGGAACTCCTTGCCCAACTTCTTGTCGCTTTGATTCTTTCTTCCGTTTTCTAAATTGAACGTGTAAAAAATAAACAAAATATTTTCTTTTCTTGAAGTACAATAATTACGTAGTCACTAATCAATCTGCACAGGAGAAAAAATAACAATTATCAGTTACAAAGAAAGTGATTTTAAGATTTACTTACACATTTTTGAAAAAGGAATCAATTCTAGGAGTGCTCTGCGTTCCTAGAAAAAGAAAAAAGGACAACCTGACATTACTCTATGATAGTTTTAAAATAACAGTTACACAGCACAAACTTTTCTAGTTTTTCTAGGTCATTCTTAAACATGATAATTTCAGTAGTGGACGGACCGAGTCCAACCTTGAACGAACGAAAAAAATAAAGAAGAAAAACAAACAAAAAAACTGGAAAAATGGATGAGCGAATGAATGAATGAATGAATGAATAGATGGATGGATGGATGAATATCTCCGTGTCACACTAAAATAAGTGAGCGAATGGTTCTCTCAATGCCAAACTGTCATTTACAAATCTTCAGCAGGATTCCATAAGTATCAGCGGATCAATGGTAAGGTGTGTCGTATAATTGATTTTTCAAATCCTGTGTTCTTTATAACATCACAGCTCTGAAGCTATAACTACCCCATAGGTTGTTGAAATGCCAGTCAGACTCAAGAACAGTCCTATTCAGAACCACACTCACCTGGACGATCATGCTCCACCTACTTATAGGCCACTTTCACATTTCCCATAATGCATCTTATTTGCCCCCCCCCCCCCCCCCCCCCCCCCCCCCCCCCCACCCCCTCCCAAACTTCCTCTCTCTCTCTCCCCTCCATTCCACATCTCATCTAACTCAATTAAAAAAAATAATACACCAATAATTCTAGGGCAAAAAACAAATAATATAGACGAGAGTGTGTGCGTCTTGCTCACCCATTTCCCCCACCCACCCCCACCCCAAATTTTGCATAACCTTTGTTTTTCATTTCTCCTGGGTATTACAGCTGTCCCAAGAGAAATTTAAAAAAATGCTTCTGCAAAATTCTTGGGAGCAAATAAGGTGCATTATGGGACATGTGGACGTGGCGTATCACACTACTTTTGGGTTCAAACTTGGCTCAGTCTCTAGGCCTCATTACTCCGCGCGACCTTTGTGTTTTGGATCACGTGGTCTAACCTTCTATGAAGTGCATTGACCGAGAGGGGCTAGGAAGATGCCATGCAGGAACTAGGCAAGGTTTAAACTATTCACTGTATAAAACAAGGGTTGTATCGGGAATTTACAGTCACTAACCTTCAGGTTTTGAATTCTTTGTTCTGGAGGTACAGTTGGATTTTTCTGTGACCGAAGAAGTAAAAAAAAAAATGGTCAAAAGATAGATACCCGATGACAAAAGAGAAGCAGGTACTGTACATACATGCAACCTTTTTAAAGAAAAACTCCACCACCTTGTCCAATATTGACCAAAACAGTTCTTAACTGCCATCCTGTCCCAAAATAATAGCTGAATTGTGTAAATTAGCCTGTGCCAGGCCGCGAGAAAACGAGCAAGGGAACAAAGGTAGGAAGAGAGAAGCGAAAAGCTTGAGCATCTTTACAAATATCACAGTCCCCAATCTAACAGAAAAAACCTTTTCTCATGTCAAAATGACAAAATTTAAAATGTCAAAAAGTGCTGAGTAGGAGATTTTCACACGCTTGCTACAGTGTTTTTTCTTTGAGTCAAGCTATTGACACGGTTGACGTGAATGGTCAAAATTGATCAATCATAGGGTATACCAAGAGCCGGGTATACCGGAATGACGTATTGAAAATAATGCTTACAGGTTCCACTCACTTGTCTCTCGGTCTGGAACATGCTAAAGTGTAAATTTGATTATCTCTCGGTAATTCAGGGGCACCCAACGACAATTTTCGGAAAAATATCTGTTCGGAAGACGATTTGAGATCTAGAATTTTCGGAACATTTGTTGTAAAATTTCTTGCTTGCATACCTCTCCTATGTTCACCTAGAATTTTCGGGAGCCTATTTTCTGGCTAAAATTTTCGAAAAGGTAAGCTTTGATCCCTATAACTTTCGGATCACTAGACTTTCAGCTAGGAAATCCGAACAGATGAAAAATTTTTAGGGGATAAAAATATGCCTATATCTACCGTTGAAATACTAAAATACATTCACCAATGCTATGTTTAAGTGGTTTTGAACTATATTCTCGTTGGGTGCCCCTGGTAAGTACCCACTTTACTGCACGGGAGGTCGGACCATTTTTAAGTTTTTAAAATATAAATCTTTGTTTGTAGGCCTAAACAAGAAAAATACCGGCGGCTGGTATTTTGAACAGTCCAGCTCCCTTCTTGACTTTCAACGAATGCCAGATCTTCGAAACAACCTTAGAACTGACGCGCATTGTAGGTCGTATAGACATTCACCATCGGCTTGGATAACAGATTCGTAGTTCTTCCCTCGATGTAGAGCCCAATTCTTGGGCGATGCGACATCCAGTGGTTGCAAAGAACTTGTTAAATTTACAGTCAGTTTCGTTGACAGTGACTGACGTTTCGACAACCTGTGCGGTAGTCATCTTCAGAGTCAAAGTGAGTTGTATTACGTCAGTTGATCTTATTATACTCTGGTTATTGATCTGATTGGTCAGTTACGTCGCGATGTTATTAGTCGTCTGTCAGTTAAACCGTGATGTTATTGGCTATGAAGACTAAAAGTGAATTGTTTTTACTTCGAAGAATGACAACAGCTGGGGAGGCCGAGCGTGTGAACTCGTAAGTGAGAAATTTATTTGTACGTATTTAGGTAAGGCAAATCATATATCTTTAATATAGAGGAAATAAACTTTATATGGAAAACAGCTATCACATCAGAATGTCTCTTTTCCAAATCTAAACCCTGACAGACACTCGGACTCGGTCATCTCATTCAGGTTGAAAGTTGAATAATCTTTGTGTGGAAAGCAGGTGTTTTTCCACTCGACAAGGTCAGACAACACAAAAAATTCACCATCGTCAATGAAATTAGACATACGGCTTAAAAATTAGATCATTGCGAAAAACTTTGTTGCGAACGAACATCACAGTTTTCATTTGTGTTTACATTCAGTGTCGTCGTCGTCGACCGACCGATTGGATCTTAAGTTTCCTTTGTCCTGCCGAAACTGACGTTCTCGTTCCAGTCTTTTCCCAGTCAACAGACGTCGTCGTCGTGAACTTCGTCGTGGTTCTTTAAGTTCCCTATTGTGCCACTAAAGGTAACATTTCTTTTCCTTCCTTGCTCGGTTTTGTTTTAGGAGCGCGGACTTCGGTTTCTGTGAGTTTCATTTATTTCTGATTGCAATTTGTCTTTCAAATTGTGTTGGTAGCCTCTGTCCATCATCAACCATCAAGCGTTCTTTTGAATTTTGAAACACTTTCCTCAAACTCTTTTGACAAATCGGTGGGTGACAAGCCGCAAAATGTGTGCTGGAAGGTTTCCGTAGTCTTTACATCAAGGATAACTTTTTCGTTTAATCTTGTGCCTTTGTATACAACTATGTCTAAAAACATTGTCTCAGTGAATTTCGGTGGTGAATTTAATAGTAGGATCATGTAAGTTTGCTTCTTCGAAGAAAGTTACGATGTCTAGTTTAAAGACGGTTTAGCTGCTTATAGACTTTGTGTTTCAATATATGACATGAAAATGTTGGCAGAGGAAACTGCTGTCTTTGTGCCCATCGCGGCACGGTGGGTTTGGAGGTAGAGCTTTCCATTGAACTGGAAAGAACTTTCTTTGAGGATTAATCTAAGCATTTGTCGCATACAATGTTTAGGACTAGGCGGGTTGTAGAAATTTTTGGCATACACTCTGCAAACCGATTTCAACTGATCCTCGTTTTGTGGTAGTGACTTGTAAAAAGACTTGTGACGTGGTATCTTTGGTTACTTCCTAGAAAAGTAGAACAAATACAATATACTCTTCTTTCTGAAAAAAATATAGATAATGTCGGTCGATGTCGGTAGTCGGTTAATAATTTTCCTGTCGGTAGTCGGTAATTTTTTTCGCGTTTTGTCGGTAGTCGGTAATTTTTTTCGCGTTTTATCAGTAGTCGGTAATATTTTTTGCCCTTTGTCGCTAGTCGGTTAACCCCATTCACACCCTCCAATAACCTTTTTATGGAAGAGAACTACAGTTGATAACACCTGACGACTGAACATATCCAAGATCATCGTCATCTGCATCGTTGTTTACTTGGCTACAAACCGTGTAACTGATTAGAATCACGTGGAGAACTTGTCTAAACAAAGCGTGGCACAACTAAGGACTCATTACCTGACCCCGGAGCGCCGGCTCGCTCTGTTTGCAGGGCTGGGACTTTTTGTCTAGTTGGCAAGCTGGTTTTGTGGTCAAGAAATAACAAAGTTAGTTCTGTTAGCTGTACCTGAGGTCCCGTGATCCCAATAAACGAGGCTATTTAGCCAAGCCAGCCTGGTTCATGTAATCAGGCGCTGAACAAGACTCTGGAGTTGTCAAGTGCGGGATTTCAAGTGACGAAGGTTGATAAATAATTCTTAACATTTTATTCGATCTTGAGAATAACTTCAACACTCCATCAGCAGGGAAGATTTCTTCTAAGCTCAACTCTTAGATTTACACTGTCAACGCAGTTTACAGAACAATCAGCTTGAAACGAGAGATGTTAAAGTGTTGTCACCAGCCGAAAACTTTACAGAAAAAAAAAAAAGAAGAAAGAAACGAAAAGTAAGGGGCCATATTCATGGCTAGGCTCGAGTAACTGATCTGAGTGACTGACTTTCCGAAGATACACTGTAAAAGATAACGTGAGTGGTTCGTGACGATAATGATAGGCCAAAAAAAAAGCGATTTTACATGCAAGGATAACTTGGAAACTGAACTGTTTTCATAAGACTCTCGTCTCTTGTCTAGTTTAATGTATAGTCCATTATGAGAGAAACGAAACGGCCTTTGTTATTTAACTGATTTATAACACAGCAATATTCTCCTAATCAAATTCAAAACCGCGAGTGTGCTACATGTCCTCATTGTGCACGCTGGTTCAAGGAACCTATTCCTCGAGTTTTTGAGAGGCGCTGAACCGCTTAATGTGTGTCATAAACATAAAATATGTCGGGTATTCTAAAGAGAAAAACTCTAAAAGTTAGGGAGATCCGGAATGGGATGAGTGTTGTCATCTGCGCTTGCTATGATACATACTCGGAGATCCAGGGGTGGTTAGTTGGGTCCGATAAAACGGCGGCAAAAGTTTTCAAGAACAGACGAGAGAGCCCTTGGGATACAACTCTTAACGAACCATTCCACGTCTCAGGGCCTGTTTACATAGAGGTGGGGAACCCCAGGTAGGTGAGGTAACCCGCTTAGGTGAGGCCAGACCGGGTAACCCTTTCAGCCGGGGTCAAATTTTGCCATGTAAACGTTTCAAGGTGAGGTAACCCGCCTACTCGGGGTTGGATTCGTGATACATCAAATTCGCGCAAAATTCACTTTGGTGGCACGGTGGCTTTGCATCATTCTTAAAGGTAACAACAGAAAGCCACAGCACTGAAGGTTGCAGCAACAGCAGCAAGTGAGTGTAGAAGAGCATTAATCGCCAAAACACGTGGTTTGCCAGCATTTTTCATGTTTACGTGCTTAGCGACCATTCAATGATCTCGAGAAAGTGCACCCCGGGATGGCGGGGTTGTAAGATTGCATGTAAAGGGGAGTTATTTTTTTACCCCACCTTAGCGGGTAACCTCACCTACCTGGGGTCCTCCACCTCCATGTAAACAGGCCCTAAAACATTCCAAACTTAATGGATTAAAGCCTGCTATGTCTTGAAATTATCATATTACTTACAAGGATATCGGATGTCGGATGTCGGATGTCGGATGTCGGATGTCGAATCTCGGATGTCCGATGTCGGATCTCGAATGTCGGATGTAGGATGTCGGATGGCACCTATAAGCTTCCGTACAACCTTGATGTAAACAAAGCGCACAAATGCAAAACAATTTGTAAATAAATTTTACCTTTTATAGCTCTCGCACGAGCAGCGGAGCACCATGGGTAGAAAAATTTGGTTACCAATGCATTCAAGAAAATTTGGTAGTCATGTGACCGTACGTCCGCCCGTCCATCCACACCACAGGCATACCAATGTTACATAACTCAATCAACAAGTATGGCAACCTAAATGCAACTCGAGGGTTTTTTTGGCGGGAAATCGCACGGCCACCCGGACTTTTAGAGAGAAAAAAACTACAAAAAAGTCTAGTTTGTTTCATGTCTACACTCACGTGGATAACAGAGAAAGAGCTAGAGAAAGTGATTAAAAACAAAGGAGACGAGTTTCGTTGGAAGAAAAACGAAAATTTCACAGCGGCGGTGAGCAAATGAGAAACGCCAGCGGCCAGCAAGGTGAAATGAGCGGCAGTGAAAAAAATAAAAGCGAACAGGAACACAAGCAGCAAAAGTTTTGGTGAACGCATACGACAATTCTTATTTTGCACTCACGTGACAAGGCGGCCATGTTGGGGATCAATACAATAGAGTTTTTTCTCGGAGAATTTACATCCCCCCGATCGGGAGAAATGGCCATTGTTCTGGGGGACATTTACTTACAGTCGGTGAAAGCTTCTAGGTCTGTCATATCGCTTATTGTTATTCTAAAACGCTGAACAGGAGTATTTTTCATTGGTTACCATGAACGCGCGGCAGTACTCTTCATCGTGAAGTAGGCGGGTGAAACTAACAGTAGCCCAATCTCTGTGTTGTTTTCCCTTTTGTGAGGCCAGATCACACCTTTACGCATTTTAATTATTCCTTACAGATAGCTGACTTAAAGATGAGTCGAAAATTTTAGTTTGTTTCCTCGCATTAGAGTTTTGACGGAGCTCTAACTGATTACCCTATGAGTAAGACAGCGGTAAAGAAAAAATGGAGTCAAAAAAGAAGTCAGTTTGCCTTTAATAAATTACATGTGGGCGAAGGTAACGCGCAACTAGAATGATCAGTTCGAAGTTTAGAATAGGCCCTTTCGCATCGGAAATTAGTCTCCTGAATATGCCGGTGGGACGCGCAATAAAGAGGCTGACGTCAAAAAAGAGGGACGTTTGATATAGACAACGATGGCAAGAAAAATTTATTGTAAAAGTTGAACCGCGCTCTATAAAGAGAATTGGAGGCTCTATGTAAATTTTCAGTCGAAAACAGAGTCGAAAATGGTCACATTCGCGCAGATGAAACCGCCAATAACCAATCTGAACCTAAATGATCTTATAACATAACCGAAACTGTATAACTAAAAAGCGCCAATCAGATATCTTGAAAGCAATTTTGTCGGAGAAGCAAACGAAAGCCACAAGAGCTCTGATGTCTTTAAATTTCGCGCAATGTTGTCGGCTATTCAAAGCGACTGCGTATTGTTTTTTTATGGCAACCGTTGTTTCGACAAAGACTGCAAAGACAATGACTTCACTCCGACTGCGCGCTAACTTTACACTTTATATTTTCAAACTTTAAAGTCTGTAACTTAATCGAGTCAAATTTTCACGTGTAGGTAAGGCCCTTGTCTTAAATAATCCGCTCTATAATCTGAAGATTTGTGATTATTTTTGAAGAAATTCGATGTTTAACTTGGACAAGGGTCGATTTCCATACTGAAAGTACTGTAAAAGCCTGATTTTCAATGTTAAAAGTCTGCACCCAATTCTCATTTATTTTACTTAAAATTTAGCTGGAATGACAGATTAATCCTTTAACTTAAAGAATCCGCTATAATGTTAAAGAATTCATCTTTTTAACTACCGAAATGACAATTTAAGTCACTCTGCTGCGCCAAAATCGCCCGTTTTCTCTATTATTATGCCGCTTCCTTGGCACATTCACGCCTGATAAGCCCACTTCAATGGCTCACTGATATACGTAAATGTCCGACCATTTCTCCCGATGCAAGACAGGCGCACCCGGCCGCTGCCTTGAGAAAAAATAGCTTTTTTGAACTAACTTGTGATGTAAAGAGTGAATATATGTAAAAATCCCTCCCGCCAAACTTCGATAGGGTTGACCATCTGTGTTTTAGCAGACGGGTTTCTACGTTTATAAGAATTCCTTATCCAAAAGAATTTCAGTAAAAGCACCCCAAGTACTTTAAAGTAACATCGCTCGACCAACTTTAGAGACGCTAGTTCTTTCTCAGTTTTACTCATGCTGCCCCCTCTCCCATTACTACCCGACATTAAAATTGAAACAAAGTTCGGATTTTATGTTAGGATGGTCGATAATATTAAACAAATATGCAACTTTTACGAAAGGGTCTCACTGAAAGGTTTTTTAGGGTTTTCCTCGACAGCTGCAAAAATGTTGCCGATAAAATGAGACTCACTGAATTTGTGTCGCAAATTACAACGAAAGAAAATATTGAACAATATTGGGCAAAGAAAACACGGCAGATCATTAAACCCTCACTGCTCTCTTTTAAAAAATGAATGTTTATGATTTATCCTGACTAATAATCTGTGTTGATTAATCAGGTGTATTGCTCCTTTGTAATGATTCTGTAATTTGCCACCCTTCATGTGTTTATATGCAAATAGCTTCGCATTACTTCGGCTTTTAAAAAGGTAACATGAGAGCGAACTCATAGAATAATAATGAAACGAGAGCACATAACTCAGTAAAGCAATACAACAACTAAACAGCGAGTTTTGTTTTTCTACTTTCAACAGAAAACGTTAATGAACACAACACTTCCACTGACGGAAGGAGCTTCGGAGACCGAAGACGACATCAAGTTAGTCAACATTCCGCAAGCATGGAAAATTCTCATCGTGGTTTTCATGACCATCGTCCTTGTATTAACAGTCATTGGGAACGTCTTGGTGGTGGTCGTTCTAAAGTATTCAAGCGTGTTTAGATCCGTTGCGAACTCGCATTTCTTGATTTCTCTATCTATAGCGGACTTTCTCGTAGCCGCGCTAATAATGCCTTGTGCACTGGACGCTGTTAACACAGGCAAGTGGCGATGTGGACATGTATGGGGCAGGCTTAATGGATTTGGAAACTTTTTGTTTTGCATATCCTCTATAATGCATCTTATGATGCTCTCAGTTGACCGTTATATGGCTATTGCCCGGCCACTGTATTATCCGATGGAGATGACAAAATCGCGGGCTCTTTTTCTTTGTTTGGCTATGTGGCTGGTTTCAGCCTTATGGGCATTTTTGCCATTATTTGGAGTGAGTTCATACGAATGTTTCATCAGTTATATCGGCACTTGTGAGGCAAAGGATTGGTCCAAATTTGGTTTGAACTTTGCGTTCGCGATCTCCGTTGTGTCGGGCACATATGGAATAGCTTTGTTGTCTATGGTTTTCGTCTATTTCAAGATCGGGCGCGTTATCCGAAATCAGCTCCAGCGTACCCAAGAAGTTGTAAGTGGTAAGGATCAGAAATCAAGAAACGAAATCGAACAGTTTGGTTTGTTTCATAAAACAGAGCAAACTAAATTTGCTAACAAAATGAACCGACACAAGGGATTGGTAACCTTAATAACAGTGACTCTGGTGTACTTCATCTGTTGGTCTCCGTTCTGCATTTTGCTTTTTATTGAGATTGGAACAGGAGAAAAAGTAAGGGGACCATACGGTACCTTGGCAATGTTCGTTGGATTTACAAACAGTTGCTGCAATCCAATTATATATTCTATTAAATACAGAAGATTTAGATCGGCAGTTATCCGCATATTGGTCAAAAAGAACTTGGTATCGGATTTGTCGCTGGCCAACGCTCAAAAGGCTCAGTCTGGCTCATTAATAGTCGAGAGCCGGCGTCGAAGAGTACTGCCTGCGAAAAAGTCTGAATCCATATTGTAAAACAGAATCAAGGCTGGAGGCGATTATAAGTTAGGAACCTGGACGACATCATCTGTTCTGTACGTTTTATTAGCGTTATTAAGATTTTCGGTATTTTGATCTTTGTGCACTAAATATGATTGAAACCTGACAAAGATGTCAGTAGGAATACGAGCAGTTTAACCAAGCAAATGTACAGCGAGTGAGGTCACGGGAGTTGAAGTTTTCCGGTCCTTTCTCCTCGGAAGTATTGGTCAGTGCATTCATATTAAGCGCAAGTTTCGCTAATCTAATTATTAAACCTGAGTGAGTTATTTGTTCATTAAAGTATGTTAGAAAACCCAAAAGCAATAACTAAGCCCGGAACTTTTGCTAACCAAGGTTTAAATTATGTTAACAATTGTTCTATAATCGGACCAAAAAGATCCCTACCAGAAGGAAAGCGCTTCTGAGCTCAGGATACTAATTCATTTGATTAGCAAAGTTTTCCGTGATCTCGAACACCCCCTCCCCCTCCTACGTCAAGAACAAAAGCATTTCTCTCCTCTGGGAACTAACTTCTGCATAGGCTGAAGCCTGGGACAGGATGGCCGTTTAGACCTGTTTTGGCCAAAAATTACACCGGCAGGCCTAGCATGCAATGGTATCAAATTTAAAATTGATTGGGAAAAAAAGAACATCTAGTGCTTGTTGGCAACACGTGATATAAGTGAAAAAAAAAACCCTGAAACTCTTCTTATACTCACTCTGTTTTTTAGAATTTTGTTCAGCTTGTTCTTCATTAAATTTTTTCACAGGATCAGGATATACCTGAGCAAAAAGCTAAAAAATACAACAATATGCAAAATAAGGTACATTCATAAGAAGGCATCATGAGAAAAGTAGACAAAGAAAATACATTTTCTTGTTTCGCTACCAGCGTGAGTGCCAGGATTTTTCATAGAGGAAAGATGCCCAAAGACTTTTGAAGGCATTCTAAAGAGTCCCAAAGTTCTCAAGACTTCTAAAATTAGAGATTTTGTTATAAAGGGCATAGAATGTCAGGTCTCGAAAAATGTGGGTCTCGGAAAATTTTTGTCCAATCTTGAAGTCCCGAAAGCTTTTGTGGTGGGTCGTAAAGTCTCATTTTCAGGTTACCGTAAAATTCCGAAAATAAGCCCCGGGGCTTAAATTTTTCAAAGGCCCTTTTTGAGGGGCTTATTTTTGGAAGGGCTTATATTCGGAGGGGCTTATCTACGGAGAGAAATTTGCGTTTCAAAATCGATTGGACTAGCCTTATAGTTTAAAGTAAATTTGCCGTTTTTGCTTTGTTTTACTTTGTATTTGAGGGCAGTTTTCCAAGTACAAGCCCCCAGGGGCTTATATTTGGAGGGGCGATTTAACAGAGGGTTTTTTGCGTTACCGGTTTGGGGGGGCTTATATTTGGAGGGGCCCATACATGGAGGGGCTTATTTTTTTTTACGGTATTTTGTGTCCTGGAGGCTAGAAAATTTTGAAGTTTCAGTCTCGAATTTTGTATCCAGGGTCTCGTAAAGTCTCGAATTTACCCCTGGTATAAGTACGAATTATATTCACGTGAAGTTTTGCTGTCTTACTTTGATTCTAGTTCGTGTTACTTAATTATGTTTCAAAAATGTTCCAATGTTGTCATTATAAGTCAAATGTTTCTACCAAGCAAGAGAAATTGGTCCACAAGCTTCTGAGATCAGGGTTATATTTTTGTTCTCAATAAATGATGCCTAAAGTGTGATAATTGGCAAGTGTCAATGGTCACAGTGAAATCCCAATATAAAGGACTCCTATATACATGTAAGAAACCCCAGCAGAACAAAAGACAAGGCCGGTATAACTGTATAAGGGGAGTCCAAAAGTGAAAAATTTCACAGAAAAATGCACAGAAAAAAATTACTAACTATAGAATATGCAATATTGCATCAAAATTTACCAAACTTTTTAAGATACAAAACCGTTTGGTCTAGTAAAACCGTGTACCAATTCTACAGAACCTCAAAAAAGAGATACAAAATTGCATCACTGCTAAGCCTTGGTTCTGCTCCCATAGATGATACAGGGCGAGCTGTACTCTAGCAGCACCAAGTGGCCTGTGGCACCTTACTTTTGCTGTTGGGCGACTAGAAAATCTTACCTTTCTCACGGAAATCATATCCTGGGCTCCCTGGATTTTACAAGTTCAGAGCATTGGGCTCTCTTCAATTTTTCTTAGAGCACAGCCTTGTGATATTATTTCGGTGAATTAACAACCAATAAGTTTATTTGTTTAACAGTTAAATATCACATTCACCTCTCTGGGCTCAACAGTCACAAAATATGCTGGACATGCTTCACCTAGCTCTAAGTTTTTCCACTCAACTTCATAACATTCTACTTTTTGCTGCACTCGAGCTTTCACTATCCTGGCAAAAAAAACAAATACACCAAAAATGATTATAAGCTTATATTAAGCATAAAATGTTGAAGTCTGTCAACTGCTTAAAAGCACTGTGCATTAGCTTATAACATATAGTAGAAGCTTACGAGAAAGAAAAAATACAGAGTTCACATGGTAGTTGAGTAAAACGGGGTTTGTCAAGGTGGCCATAAGTAGAGCTGTCCGCTTACGAGAGTGTCCGTTAGGAGAGCTTCCACAACATGAAATTGAACTACAACATACATGTTGCAGGTCAAATTTGATTTCAGGTTGATTCTCAATTTCCTTTGTGTCCTAGCCCTAATTTCATGTATATGCTGTGGATTAATTTTATCCTTATGGTTTAAAATTTTATTTTCTTTTGTTTTTGAGTTTGAAACAAAAGAAAAAAAAATTTAAACCAGGGACAAAATTGGACCACAACATTTCTAATCTTTTAACCATTAGTTAGAGTTTATTGACTTACTTTTCAGGCTGGACAAAGGTTGTTATGTTTTTTTCAAGCAATGATGTCATTTGCCAGTATGTAATCAATGGTTGAATCTGCAAGGGAGAGATGAATAAAAACTAATTACAAAACAGAGATTATCGTATTAGTTGTATGCTATCATTCATTTTTCCATATTCATACCTTTTCTGTTGTTTTTTCTTCATTCCACTTTAAATTCTTTAGACAAAATTCCTTTCAAACATGAGGGAACAGAAAAAAATCACACGCAACACATACATTACAAAGTATATACCAGTAATATAATAATATAAATATATTTGAACAATGACATTAGACGTATATATTCAGCAGCAAAAACAAAACAAAACAACAACAACAAATTCAAAAAAGACAAGGATCAGGAACCAGGATCACAACATTTAGCGATTCTAAGATTGTCATTAGGCAGACCTGCCAACCCCTGATAAAGGAAAATCTGGAGACTCATGGAAAGAATCTGGAGATTCTACGAAAAGTGGTCAGACTCTATTTTTTCCACCCTATTCATATTTAAATGAACCGCATAAAAGATTAAAGAACTGACGGTCAAAGTGATAGCCCTTAGTGAGACCAAATCAAGGGATTGCAGGTTGTGTGAGGTTCAAACAATTTTACCATAGATTGATTCTGAAGAAAATTATAGAGCCAATTTGAAAAAAATTTTTGTTATCGATTTTCAATGGCTTTCCTTAGTGCCTTAGTGAGACCTCAGATTGCAAGGGCCTGGAAAGTTCTTTTTAAGTCCACACATTTTGTGGATTATCTAACCTCTCCCTTACTTTTTTAATTCATGTCCTTTAACCTAAATGAAGCTTTATCAGATGATGAAACTTTATGGAGATTATTTTCCCTCCAACCACTAATAATGGCACATAAAATCATCTTGGGTGGTTATATTTATAATTTCAGTCTTTTTGTTTTAAATTCATTATTTATTATTTCCTCAAGCTTATCTACTACACTCCGTGAATTAAGTAGTCACCTGCAGTTTCTGGATATCTGGACAAAATGTTTGGAAAGAAAATTGCTGCGGAACTTTAGGATCCTGCAGATACTCCTGTATCACCTATGCATAAAATTATACTAGTAAAATAATTTATTACAGAAATGCATTGGGCAGGATTTCTTAAGAAAGCTCTTTATGATAGATTACAAAGCATGTTCAATGTAAATATAGAGCCGTGATTTAAATTGGCAGCCCTGTTTCCATGATACACATCATGAATTGCAAGCACTGTTTTCATCCTTTTATTGACTAAAATTTAATTCACAGCAATTTTAACTTCATACAAATGTAGGTTACTAGGTAGCAGTGAAAATACCATGTAGTGTCAATTTTCCTTATTTTCTTATATAGTTTGCTTCAGGTACCTTACAGTTAATATCCTTTCTTACTCTAAAAAATGACTAAAATCAATCAATCAATAATTTTTATTTATTCTCGCATTAAAAGATAGCAATAAGATGCTAATGTCTCCGAGGATAAATAGCAAAAATAAATAAACAAAAATAAAAATTAAAAATATTACATAAAAATAATAAATTAAAATAAAAAAATAGATATTTTAGAATAAGTGGACCAAGCAATTTTATATGAACACTGTTAGACATGTATAGCAGACACAGTTAGGTATTTTATTTAATTTCATCCTCTGATTTACCTTAGGATGTGGGAAACTCTTGTCCTTTAAGGCTTTGCTGAAAAAATAATATTACAGTAATGTTTAACTATTGAAACATACATTTCTTTCTCACACAGAATAAATTGTACTCAGGTCTTCCACCACGTGTAAGTTGTATTTTAAGCACAAACTGTACAATAACTGTACAAGCTGACATTAAAGGTTTAAAGTGCGACAAATTGATGAGTGTTTTTAATCACTATGATTTCATGAAAGATATCTTGATTGGTAGAACTGGTTTAGGAGAACAGTCCTTACTTTAATCTACATGTAGAGCAAAAGTTATGAGTGAGTTGTTGTTTATTGTCTTCACATGTACATGCAAGTTACCTCTGAGTGGTAGAAAATTTGCATACGGAAAATAAAAACAATGGATATATGATATAAATCCACATTAAATTCAGGTCAAAAAGTTTTAAACTACACTTAGGTGGACTCTTCTTTGTCTCCCCCTTCCCCCCACCCACGCTAAAAATTCATAAATAAGGGCTACGAGACAAAGGAAACTGAGTATCAACCTCGGTTAAAAACTTTTCACCTGAATTTAATTCTGCCTTACAAGAGATAAACACTTCATGCCTCAATCAGGCCAATTTGCTATTCTCTTACCATTTTATAGATTTCTCTATGCGTGAAAGATCTTGATCGGAGAATGTTCCTGTTGCAGTCCATTTATGAAACCTTCATCAAAAAAGGAACTTTTAAGGATGTTATTAATGATATAATAATAATAATAATAATTTATGAACTTATTGTGTGCAGCTTAACATGAGAATGATCAGCAGCGCATTACAACTGCATTACTTTACAAGAAACAAATAAAAGATAATGCATTTTTAAATAAAAAATAAAAAGAATATTTATGCATGCAAGTAAGAACTGAATATAAAATTGCTCACCAATATAAAGTTCTAAAAAGATAAGTCTTAATATGCACCTTAAAATATCAATAATAATGGTGTCAGGTGCTTTAGTCCTTCAGGTTTCACACCTGTACATGTACAACAACCCTGATCCATGAGATAATACAGGACTTAAAGACATTGAAGTTGGTCTTGATGGTAATCTGACTGTTCTTTCAAAATTTGTTCAGATTGTTGTACGAGTTGACATGCTTAGTGTAAGCAAATGAAATACTAGCTGTACGTGGCTCATCATTATTGTTTTTGTCACATTTATACACTTAACAGAATGCAAATAGTACCTTTGAATTAAGTTGTCAGGTTTGATATTTTGAATCAGTTCCATGGCTTTTATTTTTCCAACTTGAGGCACTCCTTGAGGAAGATAATCACAACCAAGAAGCACAGCAAGCCCCACTAAATTCTCTCGGCTGAGATCTACATAAATTAGGAAGACGAAAAGTTGTAAACATAAATATAATAAATGTGGGCAAGTTCATTGTGTTTATGTCTAAGCTACATGTACATGAATGAGGATCACCTTGATTATGTGACAGCATGAAGAGGGTGAAGTTCAAAATAACACAAGGTAGGTGAGGGGAGGTATATAATTCCATATACTAATATCAACTTAACCATAATTCTCCAATTAAGGCTGTTATCCAGAAGGAGGCTCTTAGCCTGGGCAAAGTATTTGGAACATCAACCAGCTACAATCCTGAGATAACAGTCTTCAGAGAACCTCCTGGGCTCTCCTGTGATAAGCAATATATAATGTAGCAGGTTGAATTTATTTTAAGGTCAAAGCTATTTTATCCAAAGCCATTCTTTGGGTCAACCTCAGATAATTCTCATTGCATCGTTAAGTGGTTATCATGAGCTTTACATGCAGTTCCCATGGTGGTGGATTACCATAATAATACTTGTAATAATTATAGTTGTGTGATTGCTTAGGAAAGGTACCTACTTAGCTGGCACTTGAGTTCCTCTATCCTATAACAGTCTACTGATGACCCCTGAAAACAAAGAATAAGCAAAGTTGAAATGCAATATTTTTACTGGCTTACAGTGCTACCTACATGAACCACATTTGTCAGACTGATTTGTGAGGATGACTAGGAGAACAAGATTTTCTCAGTACTACCAGTAGTTAAGTATTGCATGCATATGATATGAACCAGCATCATACTGGTGGGCAAATGTGATAGCCGTTCTCATTCTACTACGTGTTTTAGAGAATCTTGCTGTGATGGAAACAAGGAATCAAATGTTAGAATATTCATCATTTTGCTATAGGGAGAGCAGTGCTCGACTTTCAGAAAAAAATCTTGGGGCCAACTGGCCCCCAAGTTTTCATTTTTGGTCGCCAGAACAAGTATTCTAGTCGCCAAAAATTATATTTAAGAACTAATGGGATAAAATAAACTTAACATCTTTAACTTAGCCTTAACAGAAAATGAATGGTTTAGACTTCCTTTGAACTTTCTTTCGAATGGTTTTCGCTGACGCTCGATTACCAGCCGGTGTTCTGTAAAATGAATCCGCACTCAAGCGTAAATCTCCTCAAACAGGTATTCAAGCTTAAGGTTCAGGAAATGGAATACACATTAAAAAAGCAAAATTTAGGAATCACCAAAAGACTTATTTGGGTTATGAAAGAACAAAATCTGCAAAATTTGTTTTGCGTCCCATGTATTTGCATGTTCAGAACTGAACATCGGTGAAACTTCATCTATTGCGCGGTTGCCTAACACATGATCGAAAGTCTCCAGAAAGACCAGAAAGAGGAAACGTTGCTAATGTTTTCGGGCAAAGAAGTTGATTTTGCGAGAAGTCTGTTAGACAAACAGCATAACTTCAACTTTACTTAATTAGAAGTCAATAAAATACAGCAGAGCTTTTATTTGCGTCGTCACGCTCAACAGAAATTTGCGTAAAGTTGTTTACAATAATTGCGAAGCTCGAGAAGTAAGCGCCGTTCGTTCTCGATTAGCTTCGATTAGCTTGAGCTTTTATCAGACTAATCTGTTATCGAGTCCGCAATCGAGATACATGTTCGACATAAAGAAATTGTTTTAAATATCGATGCGCTGAAAGTCATTCCCGGAGAAACATGGGACGATTTGTTGAGAATTGTGATCGATTTGTCCGAAAGTCGATTAAAGTCTTCCGTCGAATTCATTCATTTCACAATCCTCTTTCAAGTAAACGTAGATTAGAGTGTTGGAAGAAATCGTTTAAGCCTTCAGACAAATCATTAAAACGTTTAGACAAACCGTTAGAGCGTTTGGGCAAAACGTTAGAGCGTTAGAAAAACCGTTAGCTATCTGTTAGTTGCGTAAAGGATAACAAATTATCATTAGTGTACGTTTACCCAAAGAAGAAAGTCACCTATCTTGGGGGCCAGGTTGGCGACCAGGCGTGAAAATTTAGTCGCCACTGAGTAAAAGCTGGTCGCATTGGCGACCCCACGGGTCGCAGCGTCGAGCCCTGGAGAGTGTTACAATATGTCAATCAAACTTCAAGTAAGTTTATCATATGTATCATGTTTCTGTTCACTGATCAATAGTTTTAGATTTGATTAAAAAAAGATTTTGTACTGAGATTGTATATATGGTGATCTCTGTTAGTACTCAGCATGTAGAGGGCTTAACCTCCTTCAATACAAATAACTGTGTTAAGTTTTCTGGGGAAAAAAAGTAAAATGAAGCTTTCTGTTTTGTTTAATTCTTTGAAAATATCCAAAAAATCTCTAAGTCAAATCTTGTCCTGGAATCTAAAGGTTTCTGGTAACTCTCAGTAGAATCAGGGCTCGACGTTGCAACCCGTGGGGTCGTCAATGCGATCAGCTTTTACTCAGTGGCGACCAAGTTTTCACGCCTGGTTTCCAACCTGGCCCCCAAGACAGGTGACTTTCTTCTTTGGGAAAACGTACACTAATGATAATCCGTTATCCTTCACAAAACTAAATCCATTAACATAATTTTTGCTGACCAGAATACTTGTTCTGGCGACAAAAAGTGAAAAATTGGGGGCCAGCTGGCCCCAAGATTTTTTTCTGAAAGTCGAGCACTGAGAATCATACCAAATAAAACAAAAAGGTGTAACAGTGTAACAGAAAATGGACCCCACAAAACGCAATGTAAAAATTTAAACTCTCTCCCACTTAAAAAAAATGACAAAAAAGACCCACCTTCGATTTCCCAGAGACAGGAAGATCTCTATAAACAGTTCTGGCTCCATATAGAAATGCATCCCCATCACTGGTAATACATCCATCAACAATCTAAAAAACATAAAATAATGTTGCATATTGAGTAATTAACAAATCAACAACAATTTTCCATGGTCTGTACTCTTGTCGACCATAGAAAACATCAAAATGGCCAAAACTCAAAAGGAACCAAGAGCCAAGGGCAAATGGTTTCACTGCAAAGTTTGGAACATTTTTACGCCATTTCCATGGTGGATAAGAGTATAGACCATCGAAAATTGTTCTGAATAGTTTTTACAATAACACTCACAGGTTTTGATGTCCATTTTCATTGAAGTTTCTAAGGACATTATGCATGTGAGAAAAAGAAAAAGAAATAAATTATTGTACCATCATCGCATCATTTCCATGGACAGTACTCTTATCAACCGTTAGCCCTTGGTTAGTCAGTGTACAAGAAACTGCTCTGTTATGCTAAATCTTAAGAATCAATCCTGACGGTCAATTACAATATTTCTCTGATTTTTTTGTACTATAACTGGTCGTCTACATGGAAAGAAAAGGCTTGGTGTTTTTTGGGTACCTACCTTGAGGAGATCAAGCCAGGCACAGAGAGCCTCTCCTTCTCCAGGACTTTTGATATAAGGTATTCCCAAGAGCTTTAAGAGAGTGCAGCACTAAAAACATTGCAAGTACATAAAAACATTGTAAGTACATAACAGTGTCTTTGAAATGTGTCTTTTTCTTCAACCCAGAGTTTGTAGTACTGATGTTGTACTGCTGCAAAACTTACCATCATACCATTCTCTAATGAAAAGCTTACACTCAAATTGTCAGCTTTTAAGTCTCTTATACATCCAACCCACACCACCAACTGTCACTGTATATATGATAACTGTTACGACCCAGTCTTGGGGGAACTTACCTCATTGACCCACTGTGCAAAGTGTGATCGCCCAATTCTTTGCCCACCTGGTGGGCTTAAATGTCCACTTTGCTCCCCATTTCTGGCTTGAATTCGCTTTACTATAGCATCCCATTTTAGTTCGGGAGGTTCTCCATCTATGACAAACACCAGCTTCACACCTAACCTTGTTGATAAATAGAGAACTCGGAATAAAAGATTTCGGAGATGAGGACTGGGGACATTTTCTTGCAGCGCCTTTGCACTCTGAAATTCACAGATCCAGCAACTTAAATCCACACAAAGTTTTTTGCCTCGAAGTGAAGAGAGGTCTTCATTTCTTTTAACTGGTTCCAGTATCTTCCAGAGATCATTTACACCCATCTGATCCTATACTGTAAATGCCAGAAAAAATTATTTATTACATTCAAAGGCTTTTCCTTAGGACAGGTTATCTATAGAGTTGAATATTATCAATATTCAACACAAAAATGCAAACTGCTAAATCTGTAAACCATTTTCTATACATTGTGTACGTGTAGCTTTGTTGTCTTTCTTTACCATCGATGAACCTAATCTTGTTTGATCAAGAATCAGTTTCTCTTTTCTAAAAACACACAACAGTACGTAACAGAGAGTGGCAGTTTAAAATGGCATATTTGAAGTAGGACACTAGAATACTTCTCTCAAATAAGGGAATTTGCTAAACGGAGAGGGACCTGAAGATGGGCTGCACTGCCCTTTGCAGATCAGACATTTAGATTTTGATTTAGACCTATTGTAAAATTCCAAGTACTTTTCAAGATGCACTAAAAAATCAAGGATTTTCTAAGGACTGCATTGAGATTTTTCTGATGATCATGTACACATGTGAAATATAAAATCAAGTTGTTACAGTGTACATATGTATTCTTATCCATTATTTATGTGAACTTATTGCAACCTGTTTACCATAAACAAGCTCAGCAGCAATCGAAGAATACGTACCACTTTAGAAAGTGCCTGCAACCGAGTTTTAACTGCACGATTTCTCGAAACAAGCTTAGCTTCCAATGGTTCTACCTCAGCTTGCAGTGGTTCGAGAAGCGCTGATCAAAAGCCGAGAGATTGCCGTAGTCAGTGTAATCTCATCAATGTGCACCGAAACTAAGGACGTCAGTCCACATTTAGTTTGAAGAAGGCCGGTAGAAAGCAATCAAGGGGTAACAAATTAGATGATCAACTCAAGTCAAACAGAAATCACGTTTACCTTAGCTGTAAGCGCAAGCATCAGGCCATGGAATTGGCCGCGCGTAAACTGAAACCTGACACCTCATAATCCTCCCTGGTGTCATCCAATCACTTTCGAGGTCTTCGATATCAGCTTTTTTGTTACTCATACATTCTGAAATATTTCTTTTCAGTGGGCTTTCAACTCTAGAAAGCTTTCATTTCGATTTTTCACGGACGACTACTGTCTCGCTGTTTTTGGTCGGTCAGTGTCAACAAATGAATAGTTTAAACGAGGTAGACTGGTTACGAGCTTTTCTTATCAGTGATTGGTCAATCTTGATCACATGGCTGTAGCGCGCAATTTTTTGTACACAAATCAACATGGCGGCCTCCAGGTGTGCTACATTACGTTTCTTCTTGTCTATCATAATGTGAGGCAATATGAAGAAAGAAACGTTTATCAATCCTTTGTTTCAGTCAAGATAAACTTGCTATCTCTTTGAGGGCTTTTACTGAAGAATGCAGGATGAAGAAATCCAAAGCGGGACAGGCAACGCTCTTTCAGAGTTGGGGACATTCAGCAGCTACCCAGGCACCTTCGAATTCCTCTTCACGAAATGCGAATTCAAACAGGGTTTTGCAGCCTCAAAACGGAGTTTACAGCGGCTTTGATCCAAATAATATCGTAGACCTGGGAGAGGATGATGATGATGAATTACTAGCTGCTGCGGAAGAAATCGCACCTTTCAACGACACCGCCAATGTTCCAGCCACCGCTCGGCAGACAATTGCTACAAAAAACATCTTAACGAATCATGACGAAGTTGAAGTCATTCCTGGTTTCGATCTTGAAGCTGGAAATGTTTGGATTTACCCTACAAATTACCCCATTAGGAATTATCAATACGATATTGTACAACAGGCTCTTTATAAGAACACTTTAGTGACTTTGCCAACTGGCTTGGGAAAAACTTTTATTGCAGCAGTTGTGATGTACAATTTCTACAGGTGGTACCCTCAGGGGAAGGTGATTTTTATGGCACCCACAAAACCTTTGGTTGCACAGCAAATTGAAGCTTGTTTTAATATCATGGGGATTCCACAATCTGATACAGCTGAGATGACAGGTGAGGGCCACACAAAGTCGTTTCTACTATCTGTGACAAAATGCGTTGAGACACTTCGCCCAAAACTGGACTTTTTCACGTTTTACTAACTTCAAAAGGTGGAAATATAGCTTTTCCTCCCCCATCCCCTCCTTGCAATGTTGTGCCAATGTGCAAGCTACCTATAGAAAACAACAAACACCCCAACTTTGAATGGAAGGGTCCGGGGAGGGGTGCGGATTCTTTTGTTCTCCGAAGTACCTATTTGAGTGCAATGTCTCAACAATAATTATTTTGTTGCTGATTGTATACAAGTCGTTTTGATACAAGTCATTTTGATACGTTTTGATACAAGTTTTCAAGGTGTAAATAGTTTCACCTACTTGGCTTAAAGAATGAAGAATATTCGCTCCAAATGTTTTTCTTGTTCATGTGCAAACTATACTTGAAGTAACTGAAATTTGTTGTTGTATATGGAATGGCCCTGAGAAATTAAATCAATTAAACTATTTAAGAACCAGCCCTCCTATGTCCTGGATTCTTTAAAAGGTGAGAATGAGTAAAAAATAAGCCAACCTAGACCACTGTATTTGTCCACTAAATTTTGGATCCTGATTGCATGATAGTTCTAAAAGGTTAAGGTTGCAGTTGCAAATAGGCCCCTCTGGTGTTTACGGTATGTTGAGTAGGATAGGCTTTGTTGGTATAGTGACAAATGTAAGCTTACAGTGTATTTCTGTTAAGAGGAATTGAACAGAGCTCCTTGCATGAAGGACACTAAAAGCATGGCAAAGATTTAATCATTCTATTTTTCTTCATTCCTGTCAGGAAACATGGCCCCTAATAAACGACAATCCCTGTGGCAGAGTCGGCGTGTTTTCTTTCTCACACCCCAAGTTTTACAGAATGATTTAAACCGAGGTTCTTGTAGAGCAGAAGAAGTTGTCCTCCTTGTGGCAGATGAAGCACACAAGGCACTTGGGAACCATGCATACTGTCAAGTAAGAAAGAGAGTGAAATGTTAGCTCTTCTTTCTGGTAATGTTCAAACTTGGAAATAATAAAAAAGAAACCGAGTTCATCTAAAAACTCTGTTTGTTTCAAATTATTTAGGTTGTTCGTGAAATCTCTGGTTACACCAGGAATTTTCGAGTCCTAGCTCTCAGTGCAACACCTGGAGATGATCTTGAGGTACTAAATTATGAAAGTACATGTACATGTACTTCCTTTCTGCATTTAAAAAGATTTTGTGTATGACAACTTGCTTCTTATTTCTGGTCGATGCCTAGAATATGACTAGATGAAAACTGACTCTTTAAGGCTCAATATCTCTTACAACTTTCTGGATCTTTAACATTCTCTAGACTACTATCCCTCACCAATGTGTTTATGTATGTATATGTAGGACTTCCTTTTGCAGGCCTCCCATGTGTAGGCACCCATGTTAGCACTCATCATGAAAAACCAGTCTAGATAGTGCAATTCTTATGTTCCATATGGTTGTGGTCACCTTTTCTAAGCTGCCACACAGCTCACTATTAATTTTTTTTGGCTTTGTAATTCTGGGATATATTTTTCACCATTGGCAGCATTCTTGTATAGACTCTTTTTTGTCAGGTTTTTTTCAAGGACCGTGTAGTGGTAGTGCCATATGATGATGTTTTAGATAGTCTTGTTTGATTATGGCATTTTGATTGCCTGATGAAGACCAGAAGTACACGGTCAAAACATTGCGATCAATATCAAAGTGTCTACCACAAAACAAGTTTAAACAAGCCTTACTTTGCTTTATAACTTTTTGGGTATCCTTTTTTTTTATGTAGGCTGTACAGCAAGTCATCACCAATCTGCTGATCTCTCACATGGAGCTTCGTTCCGAAGAATCACCTGATATTCAGCCATATACACACAGTCGAAAGGTGGAGAAGGTGGTTGTCTCTCTTGGAGAAGATATATCTAAAATTAAGGCTTCATATCTGAAGGTATGGTTAGAGGGATGTGCAGATTCTTATCTTAACCTACGTTTTGGCATTTCTGTACCTTCAATTCCATTCTACTTCTTATCAGTGAATACTGGTACATGAGAACCCATTCTTTACAAATGTTAAGTGTCCAGTGAAAGTAGCCTGCAATCATTCCCTCCCTGTATCTCTATATACGCCTTTTGTGGTGGAAGGGCATGATTCATTTGATTACTGGTTTTGAACTCGTTTTGTACTGTGACAGCATGCTTCAAAACGTTCCTCTTACCAAAAACTGTGTCATTACGTTACTGCAGGTTTTGGAGGGTGTGGTGAGTCGGCTGTTTTGTCAGCGAGCTCTGTGGCAGAGAGATCCTCAGCGAGTTACTAAGTTTCTTCTGTTGAGTGCACGAGACCAGTTCAGAAAAAGGATGAACGAGCAAGGAGGAATGGTGAGAAAAACTATCTATTTCGTTGATACTTCTTGTGGAAAGACCCAAGAGATGTTCAAACTTTTAAGGTTGTTTACTTGAATGAACATGTGTTTTTTTTTGGCATTTTTCTTTTCGGTGTTGGATATGTAATGCTTGAAGGGGAAAGAGCTGTAAGTCAGTAGCTGTTAACGTCTAGCTTTAAATTAAAGGTTTCCTCTAGGCTGAAAGTCAGACGTTCGTCAGATGTCTGACTTTGAGATGACCATGTATCTGGCCCTTAATTCTATACATGTATACATGGCCCTTAATTCTATAATTGTAATATAAACTTTTAGGAGATGATTGCTTTTTAAATGTTTCCTCATCAGTACCATTACGGTTGCAGCGCCAAGTGCACGGAATGTGGAAGCTTCATTTGACCACTTATCAAGGATAGCTTCTTTTATAACTTTAACGTTCTTGTTTCTTTCAGGACCGTAACCAACAGAGTCGGATTGAAGCGGACTTTGCCATGTGCATCAGTCTGTACCACGCCTATGAACTCCTGCTACAGCATGGAATCCTGTCCTTCTTCAACTTCATCAAGAGCATCATGGACGGCACAAAGGGTATGCCACGAGCCAAAACAGAAATCACCAAGAACTACGAATTTTCGCAGCTCATGGATGAACTGCGAGAAGAAATTGAGCCAACGATGGAGAGCAACGCCAATGAAAGTCTTCTGTTTTCGCAGTTTTCTCCCAGGAGACGCGCGCTCATGAACGTGCCCAAGCCAAGCGCAACGTTTAAGAGTCATCCCAAGTTGATGAAACTTAAGGAAATTGTTCTGGAGCATTTTCAAACGTTTCAGGATAAAAGTGGGGCTGATTCCAAGGGTGTGACCACGCGTGTGATGATTTTCTCGCAGTACAGAGACAGCGTTAACGAGATTGCGGCTTTGTTAGCTCAACACAAGCCTTTAGTGCGTGTCATGAGTTTTATTGGACAGCAGTCGACGGGGAAGAGTTCCAGAGGACTTTCACAGAAGGAGCAACTTCAGGTGTGGCTAGCGTCTCTTAACTTAAAGCCTAATGAGATTTTCCATCAAGGTCGCTCCCTACCAAGTTGGGGAACTGACCTTGCTTGTTGGCGAAACGACTTAATAGGGACTTTAAGATTCAACGACGCGCACGGCAACGAGAACGTCAAAAAACAATAGGTTTCATAAGCGAAACAACAACTTAGCACGTGCTTCACGCTCGTTTGTTCATTTCTTTCCCTGTGTTTGCACGACTACGACGTGAAAATGCCTAATTTCGCGTTTTATAGAATACGTACACAAGCAACGACGAAATGTTCTTTCTCTTTCTGATCTTGGATATGGTTCCTAGGAATTTAACTCCAGGAGGTTCGCCTACATTTGATAAAGTAAGTGGGAAGGAATAATTGCTATAAAGACTGAAAGAACGCAAATTCACTTTTTAACCGACATTCTCGTTGCCGTCGCGTCGCTGAATCTTAAGTCCCTAAAACGTTGGCGGAAAGACCGTAAATCCTTCCTCTTTCCACCTTGTTCGAGATCTTGTTTCTCTTGTTTTAGCTCATTGTCGAATTTCATTCACTGAGAAAAATGCGAAATGGAAAAGGAAAAGAGAGCGCCCTAACTCTCCTCCTTTCCCCCTCCTCCCCTCTACCCCTTCCGACGTTTGCCACTCAGACTTGGAGCTTCTGCAGGGCTGTATCGACGTTTACGCATCTACGGGGGGACATTATCGCGAGTGCCGAAGGCAAGAACCTTGTGGGGGGTCTGGGGGTATCCTCCACCAGAACATTTTCAAATTTGGAGGCTCTAAAACGCTATTTTCAGCACTTCTCATGAGATATGCCTCCGAAAAATCGACCTCGAATATGAAAATGGCAAACAGTTGCAAGTCACTATAATCAAGATAACTGAGTCTAAAGAAAACAAATCCATCCAAAGACTTGATGTGTCTGGCTCAACAGGTCCGGGGGGCAGCTGCCCCCTTACGCCCCCCCCCCCCCCCCCCCCCCCCCCCCCCCCAATACGCTGCTTCAGCTCACCTTTGGAGGAAGCTAAGTTTTAGGTAGGGCAAGCAAGTCCTGCATAAAATAACTAAGTTTTACTCAGTCAGCACTTGGTATGCCATGTTATATGACGGAACAAGGTATGACAACCACCATTACGAAAAATGTTTCTTCGTTAGGTTGTTCAGCGGTTTCGTCAAGGCGGTTATAATACATTGGTGGCCACATGTGTTGGCGAGGAGGGTCTGGACATTGGCGAAGTTGACCTCATTGTTTGCTTTGACGCGCATGCTTCTCCTATCCGCCTGGTGCAGAGAATGGGGCGAACAGGTCGAAAGAGAGACGGGCGAATAGTGATACTCGTTACTGAAGGCAAGGAGGAGCAGGTACTGAATAGTAATTATTATTTTGCTTTCTAATTATAGTTGAAGGAAAATAATGCGAAGGTCTAGCCGCGTGCAGGGCAGAAGCAGTGTCGTCTTCACTTCCTCAGTTATATTACGACCCTGCGACCTTCCGCTCTGCAAAATAAATGTAGTCTGAAAAAAGTAACCTGAAGCTGCGATTTTATCTTGTGGACAGACTCTCGTGTTGGGATTTCGTACCAAATTTGGCATTTGCAATTTCTCGGAGTAGTTACAAACCGGGTCTCCTTGTGGTTACGCCTCTCGCGCAAATCTCTCGCGGCTGCGTCACTCGAGCAAACAGGGACTTTAAGATCCAACGACGGGACGGCGACAAGAACGTCGCTTAAAAAGTGAATTTGCGTTCTTTCAGCGATTATTCCTATCCACTTACTTTGTCAATTGTAGGCGAACCCTCCTGAAGCTGAATTTCAAGCGACAATATTCAAGCTCAGAAAGAAAAAAAATTTCGTCGTTGCTTGTTTACGTCCTCCATAAAACGCGAAATGAGGCATTTTCACGTCGTAGTCGTGCAAAAACGGGAAAGAAATGTACAAAAAAGTGTGATGCACGTGCGAAGTTGTTGTGTTGCTAATTAAACCTGTTGTTTTTTGGACGTTCTTGTTGTCGTCCGTGTCGTTGGATCTTAAAGTCCCTAACCTCTCGCGGCTACACCACGCGCGCAAAACTCTTGCGACTCTACCACTCTCCCAACACTCCTTTACAAGAGAGCCTGCTAGCAGACTGCTGAGAGTCTTGCTGAGAATTGTTTTGTTGGTTACAGGTTTATCAGAAGAGTCAAAGAAGTAAAAAGTCAATTCACAAAGCTGTGAAACAGGCTGCCAAGTCGTTTGATCTTTACACGGATAACCCTCGCATGGTTCCTAGGCAGCTTGTGCCTACAGTGCTAAAAATGGAGATGACGGTTGGAAAATTTCAAGCTCAGAGGTTTGTTACATCTCCCCATGACGAGATTCCGCTAATTTTTCATTTATTCGCTCTTGGCAGCTCTTCACGTCTATAATCTAAACCAAACGCCATGTTAAACAGGGCATTTTTCTTCCAAGTTATCGCGCAATTCGTTTGTGTCGATGCGTTGGAAGATGCAGGAGACGTTGCTTAACAAACCCTTAATTAAATAAATATGTATCGCGATTCTGTTACTTCAGTGGATTTTTATTTATTAATTAGATGGCTAGTAAGTCAACTATTTTTTTCTATCAATTAGAAGATTTGAACTAAGTTGTAGACAATTCTGTTGCTTGCAGCAAAGGCAAAAAGAAGGGGCGGTCTTCCGACGGAGCTGACATCAAAAGCTTTGCTACTAAATCGGCGACAACAACTACAAAGAAAACCGATGGCTTCTTGACGTACGAAGAGCTAGTTTACTGGCAGGAACATTTTAAACTTCCAGATCACGAGGCAGGTCTGTCACCTCAACTGTCAGTCACAAAGAGGTCAAGACGCTCGTTATCAGAAGCGAAGAAACCTGTCACGCAACCTTCACTAGTAGAGTGGCTTCCCTGGCAAACAACGTTACAACCTGTTAAGGCTGTCACACATTCTCGCCGCACGCAACATTTAGTAGAGCTCTTAGAGTTTACGGAGCTTCATGGCGGTCACGGGCCAGACGGCGATGAAAGCTACGATCTGGAAATGTTATCTTTTTTGAACGAGGATGACGTTTTGAAACCTGGGCAAACAGATTGCGCTGTTGCTGAGGTTCGTGTTGCTGATGACGATGGTGGTTGCCAGGAGAACGAGGTCACAAGGAAAAATGTTAAGAAAGCAAAGAAGACTCGAAAGAAATTGCAAATGGAGGGTGAGGCTGATACCGGAGATGGCGGCCAAGACTTAAGTAAGGAACATGGGGTTGGTGGAGGGAAGAGGAATGTTAAAGGAGCAAAGAGGCGATCGCCCGAGAATAGAGCGCGTTGGAAGGAGTTCCTGAAACGGTTTGATAACAAAGACGAAGATTTCGAATCTGATGGAACAAGTGCATGCGCAGGACCAAACGAAGACTTGTCAGTGGAAGATGAATTACGAAACCCGGATGATGCAGTACAGGATAGTGACCTACCTGACGTAGGAGATCTCCATGAACAAACCGACAAAACTTCAGAGGCCGAGGCTGATAAAATAATGTTACGAAAAGGCTGCAATGAAGCTAACGACGAACCAGTGATGCTGAAGGGAGCCGGACGTGCTCACGAGTCTGAGGACGGCTGTGTTTCTGATACTGCTTCTGATGAACTGTCCAATCTTCTACCCACTGCAACGCCTGATTTTCATGGTTTTAATGAGGGTTTTAAGCTCCATCGGACACGTTTTGTCTCCGCAATGGACCCAGTCCCCACTCCTCCTTCTTTAGATGCTTTAGATAAGATAAGCCTATCGCCTTCAAGTGTAGAACTTGACGAGTTTCCAATAAAACCCGACGAGGAATCTCAGAAATCGTGTAGAAATAATCTAGGTGGAAACGTAGACAAGTTGTCTTCTTCGGAAAAGGCTTTGTCGGCTATGTCACCTAAAGCTTGCTTTGGGGGTGACTCACTGATAGAACCGTTTTTGATGGGTGATTTTCTAGAGGATGATGACACCAAAGCTGGCAAAGAGCTTAATAAAGAAAGCGTGTTAATAAATACTTGCCTAGAGAAAGAAGGTCGAATTGCCGAAATATGCACTGTCGCTACATCTGAGACCTTTGTGAGTGAAGCTGATCAAGAAGTGATCAAAAATCAAGGGAATCGCTCATATAATAGTTTGAGTTCTGCGCACAATGTTGATAGCTCTGTATTTAACCAATGTGAGGTTCAGACCTTATGTGATGTTCCTAGTGGAATGGATAATAACGTGCCTGGAATTTCAAAGAGTGGAGATGAGGACTCGAAAGTTGTGTGTCCTAACCATGACGCAGAGAGTGGTTTTGAATTTGGTGTGTGGTGTGGCAGTCCAATGAACGAGTTTAATGAGCATGTGGATGAAAATTGTTTTCCTCAAGATAATCCAGGCTTTGCTGAGGCTTTTTTCATGGACGAAACCGATGACGACGCCTTCACTGATTTGACTTTGCCTGAAGACGTTACCACTGAAAACAGTCAAAAGAAACCTGATTGCGAACAAGAGTTAATCACAAGAGATGAGTCAAATAGTTTACTATGTGAGTCGAAAACCTTGGATGAACGTAAAACTAAAACTGAGTTCCAAAGTTCCAAAGTTCTTGACAAAGAGATAAAAGTAAAGCCTTCTGCGAATTCTAAAGCTTCAGCTGGAACTGATCTGCAGGCGTCCATTAGCAAGCTAAGTGCTTTTCAGCGAAGCTCTGCAGATAGAAAATATTCGTCGAAGTTAGTCAGTGACTCTTCCGAAGCCACAGGGTCTGAATTAAGTATGAAGAATAAAGACGGCCAAAAGATTAAGGATTGTCTTGATGAAGGGGCTTTACCAGTAGATGTCGGACAAACTTTTCCTGAAGTCATCTCTAGAGGCGAGCACTCCAGTGCTACTGCTAGTGATACAGGAGTGCTGGATGACCGTAGGAACTTGGTAGCAGCTCCACCTGTTTCGTCAACACTTCCACTCAAACAAACGTCAAACAAATTCAAATTAAAGGCCAATCGTTTTACAGAAACCCCTCTGGTTGGGCTGCCTTCTCGGGTAAAAGGCCAAGAAATGCCCAAGAAAGAAGGGAATATAACTGTAGTGCCAACTAGTGGAATGGTGACGAATGGAAACATTGATACTGGTATCAGGATTGGTCACGATGCTGTTGGCAGTGCTAGTAGTAGTACTAGTACCAATGCTGCTGGTACTACTGCTAGCAATATTAACAACGATGAAAAAGATAATGTAGATAATGTTTGTAGATCGCCGCTGCCTAAAAAGCTTAAACTGAGCAGAAACCGTACTTCGCCTAAAGACAAAGGGATCCAGGCAAAGAAATCGGAGGGTCCACAAGCCAAGCCCATGAATTTTGGATCGACGAGCTCGTTGAAAATGAATTCCAAGGAAGAACTCCGTGTTGTGAAGTTACAAGGGACTTCAATAAATTGTTCATCAAGGCCAAATGAACCCATGAACTCGGAAACGGTGGCAAGAGAGCCCTCTTCCACAGACATGGTTTGTGACGTATCGTTAGCCAAGGACTGTGCAGCCAATCTGTCGAATTTACGAACTCATAACGGCACTGTTGTAGCGGTTATGGAAAGCGAAGATGAAAATGACAAAGAGGACGACGAAGAAGATGTTATTCGTCCCGTTAGGAAAACCATTTCACTAAGAAGGCAGGCTTTATCAAGTCCGTGCTCCCAGGAAGGCTTTAAAAGGCCGGCTGATAAGCAATGCGAGAATCAACCTCATAGTTTGTCATCTCGCATTGGTCGATTGGGGTCAGAGAGTGACGAGGAATTTGAAGTTGACAAATCAGGTCAGTGTAGTCTACAGTGATAGTGATACGTCCGCAGTCCATTGTTTGAGGCTTAACGGGGCCATGTCACCAGGATATGGTTGTTTTAGGTACTGTTTAAGAAACGAGCAGGAGTGTATTACCAGGTTCAAGAACTCGGACGGAAGCCGAGAGTTTTTAAACCTGATGATACACGACTGCGAGTTTTTTGAACGGCTTCAAAATCTCTGACATAGATCAGCTCATTCTTGCACTAATATTTCGATTTGGGTTATTTTGGTCAAAAAAAATGTACGAAAAGTTTAGCCGTATCCTTATCAGATATCAAGACAATCATTAAATATTAATTCCTTTTGTTTTTTTTTTCTTTATGAATTATTAACGAATTTTTGAGGTCAATTCTGTGCTGAAGTTATTACTTAGTACCTTTCATACCCGAAAAGACGCTGGGAAGGAATCAGAGGCTTGATGTTCTAGATACTTCGAGCAACAACAATTAGCCGTGTATCTCTTTGAATTGAAATCATTAGGCCATTTCCACGATGACGACATTTGACTACAACCCCCGGGATTCATTTCATTTTTGCTTTCTTACTTAAATTTATCAATCCCGCTGCTCCGCTGAGGATTAAAACCAAAAGCCTTAACTTGATTTTTGTAGATAGAAAAAAAAACAGACTGAAGGATTCTGGTATCTGTAATGCAATGACGTCATCATGCAATTGTCCTATACTGTGCATACTGGGTGAAAAAGTTTTGTTCTCCTACCCTGTTGTTGACTCAAAAGGATTCTAGTTCCTTTGGTTTGCCTTGAAATTTCCCATGGTGGCAAAAAGTTAGAGAATAGTGCTACACCAGGCTTTGTGCTGCCTAATAGGCTCTTATATTAAAGTGGCCGCAATTAATTCAGGCTAATTGTGTATGAGCGTGAAAATGATAACCAGTTTAAGCACAGTCATTAAGTCTAATTTTCATAACCAGAACGAATCCGGCCTGAATCATCCAGAGCTTGCCCAAGCAAACCTGGAAAGGAGAAAAGAAAATCTTTTGGGATTGGTGGTAAACACGGCACACGGAAGTCTGTCGATTCATTAAGAAAGGTTAGTAGATTATTGCCACTACTGTCATTTCTTAACCAGTTGCGTACCCGATCGGTAGTTTTTCATGTTTGCTTCTAAGTAGATGCATCATGGCTAAATTTCGTGGACTTTCCATTGTTCCACAAAACTAAATTCTGGACTCAAACTCAAGCCTAACCCAGGGCAGTGTCACGGCAGTCCAGTTCATTTTGTCAATCACTCACCCTCAATCGCTATGGAACTTAAAGTAAGCAAAGAAATTACTGGTAAATGACAAAATCAGAGATCCGAGACAAACAAATATGTCTCCTGAGCATTATTTTTGAAGTTGCAAGCAGCAGGGATCAACTTTGAAAAACTGTTAGGCTGAACAGTTTTCAAAAACCCTAATTTCAATCCGTTTCAATCTTCTTCAGTTTTGCCCATCCGTGGCATCTGTTGTTTCTGTTATGTTATTTTAACCTTCCTTTAAAGTTTTCGGCGGTTATTTTTATGTTTCTGTTAATTAAACGGGCATTTTGTAATTTCCTAATTTGGCTGAATTTCGTGACACAGCTCTTTTAAGCAGCGACGTTTTCGAGTGACTCTTGCCAACCTGAAGTGGACTTCTTGAATTCTTTGGCATTGGTTCTGCCCAAATTCTCCGGCGATTTGTCTCCATTAGAGTAAAGGCACTCAGCGATACAAATTTAGTAGCGTCAAGGCATGTTAAAAGGGAAAAAGCCTCACTTCCGTTTGACTTGCGTGGCTCAAAAACGCTTTTGCGGTCTCTATACAGTGTGGAGAATGTGCCTGTTGATATTTCAGTTCTCAAATCTGAATGTTGCTTTGTTACCTCAAGAAACATTTTGGTAGATCAAACATGATACCATTATGTAGGTGTCAACATTTTCGGGTAACACGGTTACCCTCTGACCTTATGGATTTTGCAATCTTGCCCGCTCAGCTACGTAAAGCAGTGTCTCGTCAGTTATGATGTAATGTGACTTTTAAAGGGGCCATGTCACGAGGATATTGCTTTCTTGATTAAATTATTTTCTGAAGTCATTACTTAGTACCTTCCTGTAGCGTTATGATTAAGATCTCAAACAAATTTCACCAGAGAGCACAAACCATTTTTTTTGGGGGGGTGATTTTTGCAGGCAGAGCATTAAAAGTGGGCCAAATTTTTTCATGTTCCACGTCTATTTTTTCCATCCATAACAACAGACGACTGGAAACAGTTTCAATGCCTAAATATAGTCTAAAGTAATAAAACTGGGCCATTATTTTTGGAATTATGCGGAGACACGTTTTAGCTTTTCAAAAAGATAGCAAATCGCGTGGCATAGCACCTTTATGTAGCCAGTGGAAGAACACGCTGTTGGGGAAAATTCCTAGCTATGTAGAAAAAAGGCCCTAAGTGGTTCAAGTATTATTGCAGTGACAATTTTAGTTGTTATCTTCCCAGAAAAACAAAAGTAAGCCTCGGAGAAACCATTTCCTCGACGACGAAGCAGAGCTGTCCGGCAGCGATATCAATGATTTCTCTTCCGACGAAGAAGAGGAGGAAAACGGGGAGGAACAGGATAGCTTTATAGACGACTCCACTCAAATGACACAGAGAACACCTTCTGCTGCAAGACCACGCCATGCCAGCTCACCCATGGACATGATGGCGGTTTATAGACAGTCTCTTCGGAGCCCACTTTGCAGTTCACTGAACTTTAAAACACCTTTGTTTCATAAACAGCGAAACAGGTACAAAATGGTGTATAAAGCAGTTGATGAGGGCAGTGAATCTCCGTCTGAAGCAGAGGAGACTTACGGGTCAGAGAGCGTGTTTGAGAACGAGGTTGAGGATGAGGACGAAATAGATGGATATCGACATGACAGTTTGCACGAAAACGAAGTCACGCGTTGGCCCCAAAGTGAAGGCGATTCTCGCGTGGACAAATCCTTTGAAGAAAGTCAAATTGGACGACCAGTTAAGAGTATGAAGAGAAAGCGAATTTTGGATGATACCCTTGAAGAGGAAGTTTCGCCGAAGTTAAGCAAACAGAGCAAAATGCCAGGAACGCACGACAAAGAGAACACTGTTGAACTGGGACCTCCACTGAGACCTCCACCACCACCACAGCGTCAAACTAATGCGTTTGGAAACTTCCCAGCTAAATCCAAGATTACTGGAAATAAACTTAACAACGACTTTGTCAAGTCTACTGACGTTTTAGCCGACAAAAGAAATTTCCATGACAACCACACGTCCCTACAGCGGTCAGCAAGTAACAAAGAGAGTATGCGCAATACGGGTTCTTTCGTTAGTGAGTGGAACAATGATATTAGTGACAGTGAATTGCTCAATGCCCTTGAAAGTGAAGGAGAAAACTCTTCAATAAAGTAAGTGAGCGAAATAAATTTATTTGAACTCGTTGAATTTCTGAAAACGTTTCTGCTCTTTTTTCTTGTTCTCTGCCATTATTTGTGCTTATTTTCTTGTCCAATCCAGGGCTGCAAATAGTTCTTTTTTTCTGTAAGGCCATCTGCTTGGCCACATAACTATTTCAGCTGCACAAATCAGAAATGTTTTTGGTCACAGATTTTGTTGACTTTTAATTTCCTTAATTACTTTATAGATCTTCAGTAATTTTCAGTGTGGAGCTATTTTGGTATGAGTAAGCACTGAGGGAGGTTTGCGCTCGTCTTGTAAACTTTGTCTGCAACGATTTGGTCGGTAAACATTTCGCGTTGATCAGCTCATCTTTGGACCAAGAGGATAAGCGCAGACTGGCAAAAATGAAGAAGTTAAAAAGGGATTGCATTCGGGTAATCTTGAAAAACGTCGGTCCAAGTTTATCTATCTTAATGTACGAGTGGAGAATAATTTACATCTGTTTGTGGCCTTTTTTTGAAATCTATTTTACCTTCCAGGAAAACACCAGGAATCAACATTTTCCAATATCAAGACATGAAAGAAATCGCGGTGGCTATGGAAATGACAGATGACGACGTTGTAATGGAACTAAAGGACCTTCCAACGTTCTCACTCGGTTTTGACTTTTTGTCGGAGACTTTTCTCACGGACAATGCGAGTACTGGAGACTGGAATTCTTCAAAAATCAATTCAGTGACTCTGACAGGACGGAAGAGTGAAAACTGTAAGAATACCATAAAGTACAGTTTTTCTAATGAATTCAGCAACGAAAGGAACACATCCACGGTTTCAAATAGGACGTTAAGCTCATCCAACAAAGACGACGGTATTTCTCGGAAAGCGGAAAAGTTTACAAAGATAGTTCAGAGTTCTAAACATTCCCTGGAAAGTTCTCATCAAGTACCGGATAATAACTCAGAAACAGAAAACAAGACAAGTGCTAAGCCTGTTTTAAGCAAGGTTTCTCAATCAACAAGAGTTGCTCCTCAGAATGTTGTAAAACCAATTATGCCGAACAGTAGTTCTCTTACTTCAAATGATAGACCTGGTTCCAAGAATCTGTCGACCATGGATACCCATAACGATCAGCGGTCTGTTTCTGAAGCGCATGCGAAGTTGCAGGTGGTAACACCCTCATGTCGTCCCACTCCTCTGGGTACCAGGCCTGCGAATAGTCCTCTTCTCACGGTAAGTCTGAAGCCAGCAGAATAATTACGTAAGAAGAGACGACATCATGTGTCTGATATGAATTTTCAATTGTTCGATGATTCCTGTTCTAGCCTGCTTCATAAATGGCCCGTAATTCAAAGCGAATGTTAACAAAAATGTAGTGTGATTTGCTTATTCCGATCCGATGTCCAAACCTCGTTCAAGTTAGAGATTTCGTTTGTTCTCTTCGTTGACTATTTGGAGCAAGGAGGCGAACGTGGATGGGTATACCGGAGGTTTGCGCCTAGAATAGGCTGGAAATGAAAGCGTATGATTTATGAGCGCTTTCGATGGCCTTGCATAGACTGTTTAAGGCGATGCGGAAACGCTGAAATTATAAAAAAAAGTGGGGGCCGTGTTGGGCTTTTTTTGTTAGAATCTCATTCATTTGACGACGCAGGGAAAACAAAACAAATAAGGAGGACAACGAGAACCGTAGGAATTAGGAGGAGGATTCTAACAGTAGAGAAGGTGGTGATGAAGGGAAAACGACAACAACAGCAAGAAAATGCGATGGTGATTGCGGTGGAGGAAAACCAAAAAATACTTTAAATTACCTTTCTTGTGACGTCGTCGACTCATCGACGTTTATGTGTTTCTTTTCAAGTAAGTAAGATTCCACCTAAAAAAAGGCCTAATCCATTCTTACTATACTACTAACTCTTGCGTGAAGGGTAGCTATCTATATGTTTTCGTTAAAGTTTACAAAGATTAAAAGTTGTGGATATTGCCTTATTTTATTGTAATAAGTGTTTTTTTATTCTAGTCATCGGACAAAGGCAAAGAAAAAACAATAATCTTGGTCGATACTCGCGAAATCTCAAGTTCTCAGGTGAGTTCTTATCTAACCATATTGTTTCTTTCCCTTGCCATGTTTAAGTAACAAATTCTTTTGGGGGTTTTCTTTAGAAAAGTGAAAATCGCTTTGCACCACTTTCAGTCGCTTTGAAAAATGAACGAATCTGATTATTTTGAAGTTACAATTTGGCTTTCAAAAAACGCTAACGCCAATTTGCAGAAAAAACACACTCAACCAGTCAAGCGCGGATAATTCTGCCTCTTGTTCGATGAGGAGCGTGTAAGTTTTCAAACAAAAGAAATTTGAGAATTTTACGTGAACCAGTTAGTCTTTAATAACTCTATAGAATGTTGCAAGTTTGATGTCAATAATTTTCAGTTTGATGTTTACTGATACAATCATTGCTATCCTTTCCTCTCAGGTAGTTTCCTTATTACGGTTAAAGCATAACATGAAGGCGGAAGTGTGTCAGCTGACCGGTTGTGACTACATTGTCAGTAACAGAATGGCTGTTAAGAGGAAAACAGCTTCCGGTAATTTGTTTGTTGTCTCTACGTTCTGTGAAAACCACTTGAGAAGAGTAACGGCTCAGAGACTTCGTGAAACGTTGCGAAAAAATTTGTGCAAAAAAAACTTGGTGAAACCTAAGCGCAGGGCGCGTCTTATCTTTTCCAGAGGCAATCAGCTATTTTTTTTTGTCTGGGCGGCATGGAGTGCTTCCTACTCGAAAACGTTGTTATTTCAGCCTTCTAAATTTACAGTGAAGTCTCCTTAATATGGCCACCAGAGACATGGCCAAGTGTCTGCATTATAGGGGTGTTCGTATTATAAGGGTTGGAATTGTATAAATTTTGGTATCCAGATTTGCCAATCCTTGCTCCTTTACTCGTGACATTGGGTCAGTGTTGTGTCGATTTCCACTTTGTTTTTCTTATGGATGACGAATTTTGACCCATCTCTCCGCGCAAAAAAATGCCCAAAAAAATGTTTGGCATTATCTTCTAGTTTGGCATAAAGTCGACTCCCTTAGAATAGTCTTTGATTCGCTTTTAGATGTGGCAAATGGAGCCAACAGTCCCAAGCTGGTAGAGTGCATGCGCAGAATGTGTGATCTGTACGACAGGCCGTGCTTAATCATCGAGAAAGATCGTGTGAGGCCAGGAGAAACAGAGAAAAAATTGTGAGTATATCGTTGATATGATGTCACTTAACGATGCGTGAAGTGGCTTCAATGACCTTCAAAGGTTAGTTCCTGGTCTTACGTGATACGAATATGTGTTAATAAACTTTCGCTTTTTTTATTTTCAGTATCAAGACCAAAGCTTATATGTTTACTCTGGCATGCATCGCTCAGACTCATGTGAAGATTCTGTTTAGTGACTCCCACGGTATGAAGCCTATGGCTAGAAACAAAATTTGGGAATATACCAAAGTTTTATGTAATGTTTTGGGTGGTTCTGTTTGGCTGCCAGCGTTGTTTTTCGTGCAAGTTGTCGCGCAAAAATGTGGCGCTAAAAGTGTGTGTTTTTATTGATCCCTTCACGTGTACTAGGTTCGCACGGAACTATTTTTACGTTGTTGGTTGCTGAAAATGGTAGTATACTCATAAAACAAGCTCAACGTTCAACGCAGCGCTTTTGCATGAAAAGATGCACGAACAATGGACACTTATTAATTGTGTGTCCAGGAAGCCGCCAATTCATTTCTGTCCTCGGGCACGATATGCAAAGCCTTTCTAAGTTAAGACTTTCACGGGTATCGTAAGTATTGTTTCTAATCAGTCTTAACAATGTGCTATTGTTAGAGATCAATTCTTTTGGGCCTGTTTACATGGACGTAGGGGAACCCAGATAGGTGAGGTAACATATGGTGGGTCACCCCACCTATCATATAAACGTGATCAAATTAAAATGAGAGATTATATGGACAGGCGGGTTACCTCAGGCCCTTTGTATTAGAGCTGATCCAAAAGGTTTTCGTACCGGAGACGGTTGATTTTATTTAGGATATTTCTTAACTTAGAAGGGTTTTGTGCTCTAGCCTGGTTTGTACCTCCGGAATTGGCAAATTTTAGCTCACCATTACGTGTCACGCCCGGTTAATTTAGGTAGCGTTTGTGATCGCAAAAGTGCCATTTCCTGGTTTATCCATAGCATAATTTGAACCGAACCAACGCTATAAACATAACTATTCCAGCCTACTCTGGGACTCATTTCAGACAGTGGGTCCAAATCAACCCTAGAAAAGTGAACCATATGGACGCTAATAAAGACAACCAAATTAGGCCCCTTATTGTGTACTGCGTTTATTTTGCAAACCGAAACAGCCCTATGTTCTGCATTTTTCTAATCTTCGAATTACAATGTGCAAGAGGTGAGGAGAGCGCATGAGATCTGAACGAGAGATGGACTGTAACTGAACCCTGTTTTCGAGTTACTAAAGGCGCAGAGAAAGTCAACTGTGAACATTATTCGAATTGATCGAAACAAACAATGATTTAAAAATCGTTTTTTTTCTACAGAGCAAACAGCAACACTCTTAGCGGAACTAGCCGCCATTGAGACCAAAAAGGGAACCACTATTACAGCACCCACCTCTCTCAGCAAAGAACGTGAACAGGTACAAATGAGTCTCCTCCAATTACCGACCTTCTTTGCGATTGTTTAATTTTTGTGGTATTGCACCATTTTAACAAGTGCTCGCTTTGGTGAACAGGTACAAATGAGTCTCCTTTAATTACCGACCTTCTTTACGATTGTTTAATTTTTGTGGTATTGCACCATTTTAACAAGTGCTCGCTTTAGTAACTTCAAAGTCTTGATGCGATTCTGTTGTGAGCGACGAACGTCAACCGGAAGTGAGGGTTTTTCTCTTTTAATATGTCCTAAGGCTACCAAATTTGTATGACTAAATGTCGTTAGGCCGATACACACGAGGGTTTTTGCTCCCGGAGCATGCTCCAGTCTCATTTTGCATGTGTCAGTACACACGAGGGAGCGTTTTCAAGTTCCCTCAATTTGCTCCCCGAGCTTGCTCCCAAATATTTAACCGGTTAAATATCGTGGAGCATTTTGCGGGGTGGAAATTCTGCTCCCGAGGAAGAAGTATACCCATGAAATCGTTGGTACACACGGAGGAGCTTTGCTCCCAGAGCGTGCCCCTGGAGCATGCTCGGGGAGCAAAATCCCTAATGTGTATCGACCTACGATTTGCCCAATATTATTTTCAAAATAACGGCCGAAGATTTCAAAAAGTTCACTTCCGGTTGACGTGCATGGCTTGAAAACGTCGTTGCTTAAACTCCCTTATTTTTTTTGATGGTAGAGGGGGTCAGAAAAATGATTACGCCTGTTTTCATGATTTATGAAGCGCAACTTCATTTGTACTTTTTATATATGATTTTTTTTCTTTTTCAGGTTTTCCGTGTTGTTCTCAGTTTTCCGCATGTGAGTTATATCACAGCTCTCAACATGTGTTCCTCTTTCAAAACGCTCCATGAAATCATCAACAGGTAAGGTTATTTCAACCCGCGTTGGTCTTCTGGCTCATAACGCAGAGAAAAACTTTCTCGAAGAATTTACATGAAAATAGCGTTTAGTTCCCAGAGGAGAGAAATGCTTTGGTTCTTGACCGCCAACATGGCCGGCGTGACGTCACGTGCTAACCAGCATATTCCATCATTTGTTTATACAAAAAAGATTGTTTGAAGTTCACTGAGTTCACTTTTGTTGCGTGAAGCTTATAAAAAATGACAGAAGACCTGAATGATGTCGTAGCTCGAAATGGGCGCTGTTACACAAGGTTAAGTTTTTAAGTCAACTTTCCAAGAGGTTCAAGCATAACAAAAGTTCAAGCTTAAAAGAATTTGATCGTTGTGTTTTTGTTTGCCCTTATTTTGCTGACTGATTGGACAAACCACTTCTTTTTCACGTGTGAAAAACATCGTTCATTCCTCTGATTGCCTAAAACTCGTTTGTGTATGTAATAAAATAATAACAACCAGGCTTAACATACTAGAGCGATAATTCGAAGTATACATTTTGAATTTGCAGTACTGCGGCTGAGTTGGAGAGTAGAACTCCCAGCCTGTCCAGGCCCCGTGCTGCAGAGATCTATAAATACCTTCGACACAAGTTTAACCCTGAAATGGTAGCCTCCAAGAAATAAATCGATGAAGAAAAGGAGCCACGCGGTTTGCGACTTGTTCATATCGTTGTTTTTGTTGGGTTTTTGTGAAAATGAAAGGTGTACATGTGTTCATGTGAATTCAGAAATAATAATGATAATAGCAATAATGAATTTTCTAAATAATAGAAATGTATTAATAATTAAGTATGTGAATTAAAGAGACGTATTGTGATCTGGTGACTGCATTTTCTTGATGCTTAATTTTAGATAGTCGTTGTTACTAAAATACCTTGAGAGGTGTACTTGACTACAATCCTTCCTTTTTCCTGTGCAAATTACCGTCAGCGTTCTTTGATTTATTCAAGAATTGTGGACGAAATGAATCCAGGGAGTTTTGGTCATATAACGCTATTACCCCGTAAAATGGCTTTGCGCACATAAATTACAGATGTCATTAGAGATGAAATTTTGAACGAGACGCACGGCGACGGCTCGACATCCGATGGAAATGATTTTTGAATTATTCATACTTGATCCTCCTTATTGGTCTCTCGATCTTCAAAATGGGTGCCACACAAGTGCAAGAGTATGTTTAATCTAGCTTTCCACCTTTTGATTTGTGTTTCAAGCACCAAATCTTTTTTTCGGGTTTGAAGTTTCGTAGAAGCTTTTTTTTCCCAGAGGCGACTTTACATAGGCTACCCAGGTGGCGTTCTCCGGCCGAGAGAGTCTGGAAACGTACGATTCAAAATGGCGGCGATCGCTGGCGATTACTGGCGTTTACAACTCATTTTAGAACTTTAGAATCATTTTTTCCTTTAAATTTTAACCGTGAAATTGAAAATGATGGCTGGAAATTTTTTCCTCCTGTTCGTTTTCAACGTTTTGTTCTCTTTCCACAACGCTTTTGGCAGAGACATGTGGCGGTAAGTCGTTTTATTTGTCCAACGATACAAAAAGTGGACCAGGACCTTCGCTCGATTTGTTGTTAAAGTGAATCTGCGTATAAAAGTATATGCTGCATCATTTTACTTAAAGATACAGGAGTCAAGAAGGCGATGGAACATTGTTTTCTACACAAAATTCCGTAAGATTTGCATTTCTGTTAACTTACAGTTAATGTGAGGTTGTCATTTAATTAACTCAGTATAAATAATGTCGAGCTTGTTCAACTATTTCATGCAACCTTGTCTTGTTATGAAAACCACCCATCAACTGCACCTTCAAAATAACCCGAAGTCCTTATTTTCCACTGTGATTTGCGGTGCTGTCAGCTCTTTTCAGACAATCCAGGAGACTCCAGATTTTGGACAGTTATCTCCCAGTCTCCAGATTAGAGTGTGACATCTTCCAGATAATTGCTGAAGTTTGCCATTTCTTCAACTTTTGGCAATACAATTTCAACTATTTTGCTTTGTTTGAGTTATTTTAATGTTAACATCAAATGTTTTCGCACTACCTCCAGTATGCCATTGTAACTGGTGTCATGTGATTGGTGGGAAGTAAACCAATCAGGACAAATGTGACAATGCCAACAACATCTTTTTTGCGCGTGTTGTGTCATTGCAAATTTGTGATGATCGGAACTTTAACAGGTTTTTTTTGCACAAATGACATTATGTGCTATGCGAAACGACATCATCTATCATCCCTTCCCTATCAATTCTCAATATTTGAAGATGTGGGGGGTTGACAGCCCTGTATTTGAGCTGGTGGTAAGCTATCTTTTGGCAGCTAAAATATGCTGTTAGTTACATCCCTGTGAAATATACTGTGGAAATAATTTTGATCTTTCCGAATCTATACATGTCTTAAACTCTTACTGACTTCTTGCTCGCATCATTCACAAAGAAGTACTTGACCTTCAACTGTTACCTCTTGTAGGATATCTTGTGTTGTAAAATGTTGAAGTTACAGCACTTTTACTTACACCTGTACACATGCGATTAAACCGTCTATGTCTATGAGTGATCTAATGAAACTAACAAGAATGTCCTGTGTTAGTCCAACTAACAAGTTTATATCATCCGACCATGTCTTCACAGATAGTTTTGGAGCATGTAGGAGTGAATGAGAATGTGGAGTGGTGTTATCCAAATGTCTGTTCTCTCAAGAATAAGAGGCAAGTTTATCATCAATTTTTCAGTCTTGTATAAAGTGCCTTGTAGTGTGATATGACTTGGTATTTCTCTTTTCTCATAGCTTCACCAATGCGATCTTACATTGTTCAAAGCCAGGATTTCACCCTGTTGCTTCCATCATGAATGACTCAGATGTCCGGGTTGGTGTTGTTGATGCTTCTCTGTTACATATATTGTATCTCTACAACATATTTTCTATTTCAAAAGAGTGGTATTTTTTTGTCGTAGAGTGTCACAAGTTTTAAAGATTATCCCTAAAGACAGCAGAAAAACTTACTGAAAGATGTTTCATTGATGACTTTGGTTTCTCCTTATTCAGTGAATCTCTTTGAGACCCATTTTCCTAAAAGTTTCATCAAAGTTTGTTTCCCAGAACAGAGAACTCTTGCAGAGTGGTTTTAGCCTAAGAATTCCATCAACTTAGATTTTGATCATGATTTAACTTTCTAATCCAAACTACTTTTTGTATAAGCACTGTCAAAATTGATCATTTAAAATGCCAGGAAGGCCTGTATGTCCTTTATAAAATTTTCTACCATTTAAGTCAGTAAACTCTCTGTTTGCTATTCTTTCAGAATGTAAGGTACATTCAAGTTGTCCACAGCCCATTTTACTATGAATGGTACCTTGCTTATGACCAGGAACTGAGAAAGTAAGCTATCTGACAGCCATTTATGAAAGAAAGTATAGTAATTAACACCTTTTAACACAGTTGTGTGCATGAGTATTTTGCTCTTAAGGTTTCACTTTGTTTTTGACTATCCCTTTTTACTTCAAGTTAATTTTTGCACTTACAATAGCAACTACACTAAGTTGTGTATAAGTGCTCACTGCCAAAACTAGACATGCCAATCCCCAAAAGGCAAAAAATGTGAGCTAGCCTAGAGCTGGGAAAAGTAGTGAGAAATAGGCAAAAAGTTGTGAGATGTCGTGAATTTCTGAGTGGAAGGACTTCTACCAGGGATTTAATGGGTCTTGATAGTCACTTATCACTTAAAAGCTGCAGCTGTAAACATCTCGATCAATTTTACAATTTAGGTTCTGTAATTTGTATGTTTTATTGGTGGCCACCTTGAAACAAGAGAAAAAACTTAGTCTGGAAATTAATAATGGTGGCAGTGGGAAGTCGTGATTTAGCTGTAAAATTAAAAAGTTGGGGCAGTTGTTATGATAGTGATAGCACGCTGTTTTAACTGAAGGACACATTCACATGTGATGTTTTCAGTTCAAAGCCATGTATGTACTGGGCTTTGAAGGGTTTAGCATATGATTTTAGTGAATAGCTAGCTTAAATTTCAACCACCTCCTCCCCTCCCTGCGTGACTCAGTAAGCAGGGGAGGTGGCTGAAATTCAGGCTAGTGAATAGCACTCAGAGTAGCATTGTCAATGACATTTACTGTGTAAAATTTACCAGTCAAAGTCTTGAGGACTTCAGGTTATGGATTATGGATCCAAAGCATGTGTCTGAATCTGAAAGGAACAGCACTGCTTCTTTCCCATCTCAGGTAGGTTTTCTATCAGATCAGTAGATGTATTTTTGTGAAAATCTGTCACACTGTCTTAATCAACCTTTGAAAAGGTGGATGGTGAAATTTAGATCCACCAAAAACAAATAAAATCTACAATAAGCTTCTCCTGAACCACAATGTGCCTGCTGTTGATCCCATGCTAAGCAACAACCAAAGTGGTTTCAGCAAAGGGCGGTTTACAATTTCCCACATGCTATCTCTGCGCCATGTAATAGAAAAAATGAAGAGGCTGAATAAGGAGTTCACAATCTGCTTTGTATACTTTTAGCTAAGGAGATGAAATCCCTTCTTATCTGTAAAGTGAACCCTGTGGGGTGCTCTTTGCTATCTGTGGCTCATAATTTGTTCTCTTATTTTTGTTTTGTTTTGCAGTTTTCAAAAGAACTGACTGGTGTTTTTGTTCAAATGGGACAAAGCCCCGTTTTAAAAGTGAAAGTGGGCCACAGATTTGTTAGCTGGGATGAGTGGAAGATCTTCAATAAATCCTATATCACAAATGAAGGGTGAGAGACTACACAGGACATTTCGCATTAATAAATTATAGACCACAATCATCAATATTGTTTTATCCTATTTTTCACCGCCACACCAATAAGGTAATGTCATGTGTGGATGAAATGGATGAAATGCTAGTGGTACCTTTTGAATGAAACTTTATTCAGCAAACCCTTTGAGTTGGGCTCTTTATTTTGTTAGGAGTTTACAAAAAAGAAATGTGAACTTTTATGAAGTTTTTCTTTAGCCACCATTAGTAGTGAAAGGTGGTTTAATTTTGTTTAGAATCATGTGCTTTTTAGTTGTTTATCTGTCAGTACAGCTTTACATGGCCACACTCTCTCCTTCCTGGTTGGTAACAATTTGGAAGGCTCTCTAAATCTTGTTGTTGGCAGTAAATAACTGCTGAAAGGGCTTGAAATGTTTTGCCCCTCCCTTCCCTCTCAATCCCAGACATGCTGCTGTGGTCTTAAGCCCTGTGCAAATGGACACAACCTTGTTGGATGTTTGCACACCCTGTTGCATGTTGTTGTGTGTTGTTGGGAGTTGTTGCCCAAAGTTTGGAACTGGTCAGCCTTTTAGCTATCTGCAAATGTTGGGAGTTGTTGGCCAACAATGTTGTGTCTGTTTGCACTGGGCTTTAAACTTGCAGCAAATCTTGATTTGTCATCTTTGCATTAGTTTTGATTTTTTCGGATACAACAGATGATCCTGTCCTCATTGTTCTGATTTGAAGATTTTCTTTAAATAGCTCTGCATGTCATGTTGATATTTTATAGGAATACTTCCAGTAAACATAGAGTTGATATAAATTAGTATTTATCCTTGATGCTGCCTTTTGGGGTAAAAAGGGGAGCAAAAAATTGTGAATTTAAGAGATCAGAACAACTTTGAATTTGAAAAAATAATCCATACCCTCACAAGCAGTGTAGTGCACTTCCATGGTAATAATAATTATTGCAGTAGAATTCATGCCATGGGTAAGGTATGTGATGTGCATCTGTCCATATTGTGTGATAGTGGTTTCCATCTATAGATCACTTGACATGCTTTTTTGTTTCCCCTAGCTACTGGCAATTTTCTGTTACCAGCGTACCTAATCACCAGCTGACTGTGTGGATAGATGGGCAATCAGTTGCCCTCCACGATCAGTTTATCAGGTGTGAGCATGCAACATTTTGGTATGAGTTCAATTCATTTGATTTACTGGTTAACAAAAATTTTTCGCTTGCCAGAAGTAGTGTATAAGTTATTTGTTTTGTTTTTCAGGAAAAGCTCATTTCACTTATTGAAAATAAAGTTTCCTTACTTGTTTACCAATCAACTAGAGCAGGTACAGATACTGTGTTAAAAACCCTGCTAAATATGTTATTTACTCTATTTTGTTGTGTTAGCTGACTGAGGTTTGATATTGCCACCTTTTATACTGGAACTTCGTTACATTCTCTTGAACACCCCTTCAAAAAGGAAATGAGTGGGCCAGGAGACATTTTTGCATAGGGACTTTCATATTATATTCCACACTTAACTCATGAATTTAAATTATAATACTCATGACTCAGTAATTAACCTATTCTTCCCTGAACCTTCTGGCAAAAACCCAGAGCAAATGGGTTAAGGGCTGTGTACCCTGCTACGCCATAATGTGGTTGAGCATAAATGTGTGTTTGGCATCAGTTAACCAAAAAAGAGTTGCAGATCAAGGATATTAAAATGTTGTGGAAGGAACGTGCAGGCCTAAATTATGCCAATGAGATTATCTTTTTAGTGTAAATAAAAGCTGTTATCGCGACACTTATTTTTCAGGTGGTGTTGAAAGGTACTTATCCAAAACAGAGTGTAATTTTTCAGGTATAAGAATTAAATTATTGATTTAATTTCCTTAAAATGAAATATTTTATGACATAAAATACAATGCCTTTTGTAACAGGTAACCCTGTTAACAGCTGTCATTTTCAACGTTGTCTTCTTTCCTGGAATATAATACCAAGATGTTAGCAATCTCTGTTTGACTCAATGATTTTTAACCAACATTTTGTAGAGATAACAAATTAAGCTGAGCCACTGACCTCTACAAGTTTGACTGAATAATTTTTACCCAACTTGGACCAAGGAGCAAGCATAGCACAGTTGGTTAGTGTGTGCCCTTCGGTGCGAGAGGTCCCAATTTAGATCCCCGGTGACATCACATCCTTGTTTCAACTTCTCTTCTTTCTGTGTTAAGCTTTAACTAGTTTTTAAATACCCTTAACATGGAGCATTGATGGAGGGAGGGGGTAAAATGAGCGCACCGCCGACCTTAAATTTTCAGTTGAATTACTGTCACGAGTTATTGACATAAAATATGGTTACATTACCTAAATTTTTTATTACTTTTACTGTTTTTTTTCTGGTGCAAAATTGACTCATAAAATTGCCTTTCTCTAATAGGATCCTTGTGCTTCCCATGTTGCAGTTCTCATAAGGTAGCTATTATGCTGCTTTTCATTGATGTCTAGCATGGTACATGGTTAATTAAATATATTGATATAAGATAATGTGTTTATGCCAGTTGAGGGTACCTCACAACTAAACATATCAAAGAATGATCCCAAATTTTAAGGAAAATGAAAGGCTTGCGTACTCTATGTTGAAGCATACAAACAAAAAGTGAGTTTTGAAAAACTGTGTTTATGCTGTTGATTTTGTTTTAAATTAAACTTGTTAAAGTGCGGTAAATATTTATAGCCTATTTCAGAACTTCGATTATTATAACAATATGATCTTGTACATACTTTTTGCCTAGCAAATTTCAATGTTCTTTTTAGCTCAATCTCTGTGTTAACTCAAGACAATTTTGCAAGTGCTCAACAGCTGAAAATGCCCTCAAACTTGCTTATGGTAAGCATTTATAAAAGATCTGAATTGATTAAATTTACTTTATAAAAGGTTGTCAATCTGTATAATGTTTGAACTCCATATTGCTGAAATTACATGACATTAACTTAGAGATATCAGAGCTGACATGTAGGGCTGGGGAATAAGATTCCCCACCCTCCCTCCCAGAGTTGAATGTGCAGGTGCTGGTACATTTAAGGGTGCTTTCCATTGGGATGATCTGGATCAGGATCAGTGATCTAAGATCACCCAGATCATTTTACATCAAATGAGCCAATGAATCTTTTCCCAAGCTAGGGTGGATTCATCATGCCAGTTCCTTTAAGGAACCATCTGATACAAGATCATCCCAATGGAATGCACCCTAAAGGTGTTAGGATCAGGGTTCATGGGGTTCAAGTTGCAGAATCTTTGGTCACACCTACACACCTGTAAATGAAACACTCTGAAATATTTTCCTGGGCCCAGTTGTTCAAACATTGGATAGCTCTATCCACTGGATAAATCACTATCCATTGGATGAGTATAAGGGAAACCAATTGTGCTATCCATTGGATAGAGATTTATCCAGTGGATAGCGTTATCCACCTTTTGAACAACTGGGGCCTGGTTCTTAGAAGAATAAGCCTCAGCTACCCTATTAGAAAAACAATACAGTGACTAAAGTTCATATTACTAATTTACTCTTTTACTTCCCCAAGCTACTACAATCCTGCCTGATATCTTAAACTGTTAACAAAACATGTTTGCAACCTTTTCCTCCTTAGCAATCTGAAGCATTTGTGAAGTCTGTGGTATTTTCTGCATCAAACCTCGTTGTCCTCTTGGAATCAGGCAGGGTCTTTGTGTTTAATGGAACAACACAAACTTGGGGAAATCCATCTGGTGAGTTCTGTTAACTGGTGCTTGTAAGCTTATTAAGACTCTCCTAAGAAATAAAATTTGTAACGATTGCTGTTGATGAAACAATTGACTGTCTTGGAGATTAAACTGACGATCACATTGTCATTGCGATAAACTTTGACAATACAAGTTGCACAATGAAGACAAAGAAATCTGCAAAAAGTGTGCTGCACGTTCAGTCTTTTCGTTTTCCTTATAAAAGCTCTTGTTTTTTATATTATTATTTTCTTGTTTCCATCGATCATCAATGTCATAGCAGCTCAAGCTCACTTATAGCATTATCTTAAAAAACAATTCTTGAAATGCGACAATTTGATTGAAAACGCGCAACAAAAGTGACGTCCTCGGGTACCCATTGAGAGTCTTCTTATTGAAAGACAGTTTTTCCCCTTCCACTTTTAAACTTTTGAGGCTGTGGATGCCCCGAATCCCCTGGTGTTGCCGTTCAAATAAAACCTTTTCGTAGTCAGTCTCACTGTGCGTTTTGTAATCCTTTACAAACAAGTTCTGTGTTTCGAGTGCATGGATGAAATCCTGTAGTGTGACCATTCAAATGAAATCTCATCTTACGTATGGTTACATTCGCTTGGTACTATCAATTAGCTGTATAAACAGATTCTGAATTCTTGAGTCTGTAAACAAAATCTTGTTAGTGTGACCATTGCTTGGTATCATCAGTTTAGCTTTGGGTAAATGCTTTATATTGCCATGCAACGTAATTACTTTTACTATTTCATCTCTGCGCAGGTTTACCTCAGAGGGGCCTCAATGGAGTGGCATCACAGAAAAAATGCTTGGAAGATTCAAAGAACGTGGTAACACAATTCTTGTTGTTTTTAAGCGTAGAAGTAACAAACAAAATGGTAATTAGTTTTCTCTTATTTTACAGATTATGACTGGTGTTGTTTTAGGGTGGACAAATGAGGTATTATCTTTCCTTCTAACTGCTTATCGTATTGTATATCTCGTCTTCAACCGCATGTCAGGGACGATCTCTGCCAAGCTAGTTTTCAAACTTCTGTTCGCCCAATAACTCAGTTAGAGACCCTTGCTATGCAGGATTAAAACATTCCATTTGTTTCTTTTTCACGTCTCTTTCTCTTTTCCCATTTATTTATCTTATTATTCTTACTTACAGAGTGCTGACTTTGTTATTTACATGTCAAAAGACAGTGGATTATCATTCCAGTATCTTCCAATCCAAGGCCTGGGTGTCACTGTCACATCTGTATGTAACCAGTTTTAATCTTTCTGCATTTTTAACTTACGTTTCTTGAGAAAAATATTCATCTGATAATTCCCTCAGGAAAGCTTCAGATTCACCTTACTTGTTTGGCGTTATTTTCCAAATTTGAATTGCAGTACATCAAACAGTTTTCACCATTTGATAAAAACTAGCAACTGGTTTTTTTCTAAGGATCTCTGCGAAGAATATTGTTTACTTAAACTGTACTTCACACCACGCAGATTGTCAGACCAGAAAAAAAATCAGCAAAGTGCAGGGAAATGCAAGAGTTATAAAAGAAAATCGTTTTTGTTTTTACTTTAGCGTTGTCTTTTATGTTGAGGCTAAATGTGAAACTGTTTGGACAAGTACCCTACATCAAGGATCTGGGAGGACATGAGCCTTTTACTTCTTTCTTTAGTTTATTACTTATAGAGTTCATAGTCTCTTAGAACATACCGTACAATTCCGAAAATAAGCCCCGGGGCTTATATTTTTCAAAGGCCCTTTTTGAGGGGCTTATTTTTGGAGGGGCCTATATTCGGAGGGGATTATGTACGGAGGGAAATGTGGGTTATAAAATCGGTTGGGCTAGCTTGTAGTGAAAAGGAAATTTAACATTTTTGCTTTGTTTTACCTTGCATTCGAGGGCAAATTCCAAGTACAAGTCCCCCGGGGGCTTATTTTCGGAGGGGCGATTTAACGGAGGGTTTTTTGCGTTACGATTTTGGGGGGCTTATATTTGGAGGGGCTTATAAATGGAGGGGCTTATTTTCGGAAATTTACGGTAACTTGGTTATTTCTTCTCTCAATTAGGTAGCACATGTTGAAATACATTGCTTGTTTCCGATTGTAACCTTTCTTGTCAATGCAACAACCTACAGCAACCAACATAAGGTAAAGATAATAAGCACAGCCGCATTGTGGTTTGACTTCTGAATAGTACAGGGTTCTCCACCACCTTTAGAAGTAGAAGGAGCAGAAAAGTAAGCAGGTTGCAATGGGTTAGATCTAAAGACGAGCGCCTTTTTGCCTTTTTGTAGGGGATGGGATACGCCTCTTTTCCGTCGGGCCATTCCCTGGAAAATGTTAGTTTTGGGGACCCTGAAACACTTTCCAGCGCTTCGAAAATGACAAGACAACGATATTTGCTTGTCGCTGAAGCTTCCAGAGAGCCATACATTAGCATTTTCTTACTGTGTGAATATGTGTACCAGCAATAACAGATCATAAGAGTTAAGGAAACGAACCTCCTTAGTTACGGTACTGTAGTAGTGAAAGGGTTAACATAAACATTGAAGGCAAAAAATAGCTTCTCAAGCCTGAAAAGGTGACAAGACTCTGAGAAAGAGGTCCTTTACGCTTCTCGAAACGTGTTTATACTTGTGAAGTAATTTATTTAATACTTGTTTCTTTTGTTTCTTGCAGATGTTGTTTATTCAGTATTCTTTTTTAGATGATGCATGGGAGGAAAAGGGGTTTCAACTGTCTGATTTTATTCATGGTATGTGAGCGACAAAATATTCAGGTCATATGACTTGTTTTAATTGGGCAGCAGTAGAATCAATATCGAAGTCAAGTGAAGATCATCGCAGTGAAATACGCAACTTATGCATTTACGAAAGGAAAGCCTGAAAAAGCTGTTTAGGCTTGCCAGAATTCGAACCCTGAGCTCTGCGATACCGGTGTAGTGCTCTAACCATAATTGCCATTGTCCTCGTAGCACACGGTGTTAATGCGTAACCTTCTGAGCAAAGGTTCGATACCTGCCATCGCCCATTTTTTTCTACGAATTCAATACATTCTTTTATTCGGGCTTTTCTTCTCGCAACTGTATAAGTTGCGTATTTCACTGCGATGATCCTCTTTTCATTTATTTCTTCTTTGGGTTGGTTTACGTAAGTGAAATTCATATTTTCGTCATTTACATTTCAAAACCAATATTTCTTTACACAAGATCGGTTTATGTGATGGATGCTTCCAAGTTACTCTGTTAACTAATTCTTTTCTTTGTGAAAGGAACCATGACATGATATCAGAGCTGTTCCTGGTTTTAAGCCCCATAACTGCCCAAAAACGCAATGAAGGCAGCTCTTTTGAAATACAAAGTTTTTTAATCGACTTGCACTTCAGTGCTCCGCTGCACGATGGTAACAAACCTATTCTCCGCAGTATCTTCTCCTCAGACCTTACTTTGAGTGACGTCAAAAACATGTCGACTTAATGGGCCCTTTGAAGCGAGACATTCACGTGGCATAAATTCGCCCTGCTCGAGCGCAAGAGCCGCACGGGAACAAGACAAACAAAGGAAACAACCATTTGAAATGATTTAAGTCTTTTGTCTGTCTTGTCCCAGCGTGTCCCTTAGTAGTATAGGGCGCACGGAATGAACCCCTTTTTGATGTGGAATCACATTAGTCTGAGATGGAAGACATCACTTCTGATGAGTAGAAATAGCACATCATCTTATCTTAATGAGATTCCACGGCATTTTGTTCATGAATTAAAGACAGTGGCTGTGACGTCATCTATCTAAAACCTGTCAAACCGTTAAATCACTTAAACATAGCACATCATCTTACATCTTATTTTAATGGGATTCCACCACATGACGTCTGTGCTAGATAGTAATAAGATTTATTTTTAAAAAGTGGTTAATTCAGTGCACTGTATACTACTTCCCTCACTCTCCTCCTGCATGGCAGTTTTGTATCACGTGAATGACTAGCTGCAAAGGGCTTTTTAGCCTATTCTTAGCAAATAGACACCTAGGAAAGCTTTTTTTTACTTTTTTTACCAGAACATACAACACGGTTATTGAAGGATATTGAGCCCTCTCCCGATCGCCGAATGATAAAACCTCTAGCATTTGATAACTAGTTTCCGCCCCTGACTACGACATTTTCGCTTAAGCCCTTCGTACAGCTACCCGGTAGAATGTCGACGGCTTTCACGTTTTCTCGCCAAAATGACGCTGGTTCACGCGCGAGAACTTAGTATTGGGAAAATCTCGTTCTTGTAGTCGTCCCTGTCTTAGTATCTAAAGGTCTATGCTATTCAGAACAGCGCCCACCCAGAAAGTCATATCCTACCTTCTCATTACCGACGCAACTATGCGGCGCAATGTCTCTCCATCAGTTTTCAAAACAAGTCATAGGCCTAGGGCAAACGTCGAACTTTTCATGAGTTTAGTTCATGAAAAGTTTAACGTCTTACTCAGTTAAGTTCCTCTGAATGTGTTTGGATCGTCCAACACGTTCTATCCGTCTGAACGTCTGAAGATCATCTCCAGGACAAACGTCGATCTTCATATGTGACGAACTAAACTAATAAATTTAAAAAGAATTGTGCCCGCTTTTTCAACAGGGCCGCCTGTTTCTTTCACTTTTGCTCCACCGAGTAGTCAGTTTGTGGTTATTTGGAGCCAGAAAACGATAGCATTTGGAAGACTGGACGAAACAGGTATATATGTAACAAAAATATTTCATAAATGGTAGGATTTGACATAGCAACAAGGACGGCGACGGCTGAGAAAACGTCTCTTAAAAGTTAATTCGCACTGTTTCTGAAAGCTCATCGCGTTATTCCATCTCGTTCAATTTATCAAAATTTGGCAAATTCTTCTAGAGTTGAATTCTGTAAGACTGTATCGAAGTTCAAGGAAAGAAATAGAAAGATGTTGTCTTGTGTTCACGTTTCCTTAAAGCGTGAATTTAGACACTTTTATGTGCTGAAGGCAAAGAGATGTGCAAAAAAGCGTGATGCACATGCAGAGTTGTTGTTTTGCTAATCTAAAATTACTGCTTTTTTGCCTTTCTCGGTGCCTTCGCTGTCGCCGTCGTCGTTGCTAATTATAAAGCTCCCTATTAAAACTCTATTGACGCTTGCAAGAGAAAGAATTTTTTCATTATTTGCAGGCTTCTTTTTCAAGGTGAAAGGCCACGGAAATCTCACCGATTTCACGCTTGATAACAATGAAACTATAAAGTCTGTAATACCAGGTGAGATAATTTTTTTGTGATTCCACAGGGATCAAAATAACGGCCGTTCAACGGCCAATGTCCTACCAGAATGGCGAATTGAGCGGCCAAAAACTCGCAGGTTATTATAGCCGGTCACGCATGCACACTCTCATTCTTTAATAACCAAGAGTGGTACGGTTGGTTAATGCGCTGCCTTCGGTGGCCGAGGTCCTGAGTTCGATCCCCTGTGATATCGCATCCTTTTTTCAACTTCTGTGTGGCTTTGAATAGCTTTAGCGCCTGTTTACATGGAGGTGGGGGACCCCAGATAGGTGAGGTAACATGTGGTGGGTCACTCCACCTATCATGTAAACGTGATCAAACTAAAATGAGAGATTATATGGACAGGCGGGTTACCTCACCTACCTGGGGTCCCCCACCTCCATGTAAACAGGCCCTTAAATACCCTTAAATCGGAGCATTGATAGAGATGGGGGGTGGGGGGAGGGTAAGATGAGCGCACTGTCGACCTCAAGTTTATAAGTTATTGCTGTCACGAGTTATCGACGTAAAATATTGTTCCCTTACAACAGTACCTTTTTACCTTTCATACAGCAGTTTTCATCCGTCGAGTTGTATTTTTGCTGTTCTTGCCGTGGTCTTAGACCCACCGGTTGACCTGCACCGTTCTAAACCTCTTATTTCGTTGGTCCCTATAACCTGCACTACCTTTTGTTTTCAGGGATAAGGGCATTGTTATGTCACAATCCTTGTTTTTCCCAGTCAATCACAAACAATCTTTCAAATAAGTGCAGATCGCCCCTCTTAGACATCAGTTGGACTACTTCTTTGCAAAACGTGTGAAATTTTACGCCATTTTCTCTTGCTTTAGCAAAACAGATAGAAACAGCTGAGCTAACGCAACCTCGTCTCCAGAGCTTCTAGGTTTGCAGCGTCGTTATCCTGCGCATTGAAGTCATTTTACCGGATATCGCAGACGTCTTGCAAGTCTGGTCAACGCTAGCTAGTTATGAAGAAATAGCCAGGGGATTTGAGCCAATCAGAAATGGAGAAATATTTTTAATGAATAACAACACACGATTCCTTGATTCGCTCTGGCGAGGAGCTAACTCGCGCAACATCAGCTTTATATTTTTTACGGTGTTGAATTGCTCCTTCAGTAACCAACTCAGTTGACAAAACCAAATTTTCATAATAGACTGGAGTCAGTTTGATAAAAATGTCCGAATCGAGTGGTTCCACTTTGGTTAATTTTGAAGCAACTGACTTCTCCCTGGCTTGTGTGATCGCCCATTTATCACAACTTTTTTATTATGACTCTCAGGAGGAAATGGTGAGTTCGCTGTTCATCTGTCGAACAACTGGATATTTTATGGAAAAGCGTTCATTCAACATATGGTTGAGGTAAATCTGATAAAATTTATAACTATCAAACAGAAAATCCCGAGCCCCGTTGCTGTTGATTGAGGCGAGCTAGAAAACTGCACCTTAGCGATGATAACTGAACTCGTAGCCCTAAAGTCAAGATATTGTATAACTTTAAGGTAGTCTTTCTCCTTTCCTCCTTCTTAGAATAAGTGATTTTCAGCCTTTTCCCAGTATTTATTGTGAACAAGTGTTCTTGCTTCTCCCTTCCTCTCTCAGGAAGCAGCGTGGCCGAGTGGTTAGAGCGCCGGACTGCAATTTGGAGGCCCCGAGTTCGCTAGCTGGATTTGTTCACGGGCGTCTCGTGTTCAAATCCTCGGCCATCCTTGTAAATAGCCAGCTGGTTTGCCTCCGGCTAGTATAGTTGGGATTCTTAACCCTGTTAAGTTCAATTTGAATTATTTGTTTCAGACATTTGCTCAGTCCCACAAGCGTTAGTGCTATGAATACTGCCGAAGATAAATAACGGAATTGTTATTATTATTAAAATTCAATTGACTTAGGTATTTGCTGAAGAAGATCCCTCTTCAACGATGTCAATTATGTTTGATGTTTTTGGCTCCTTACTGGTTATCACCAATAACAAGTACGTTTTTACTGCCCACTAGTACAATGGTTGCTTTGACCATGAACACCATTCAAGAAAGCTTTGATTTAGACGTCGTGTGCGAGGAATAAAACTGAATTATCGAGGCTTTAAGAACAGAAGAATCTGCCAGAAATCAGACTGCATGCCTACCATCAGCATCCAAGAGAAATGTTATCATAGAGGAAAGATAGGACTGGATGGAATTTGGATTGTATCAAGATAAGGACCCCCCCCCCCCCCCCCCCCCCCACATGAGAACGTGGGTAAAAAATGGAAGGCATTGGTCGGGGGAATGTGCTACAACCCGTGACCCCACAGCGGGTACACTGAATCATTTATTAACAACCAAAAAAACACCTTAACGCCTCACCAAGGGGTGTTTGTAGGTGCATGCCAGTGAGATCGGCAGTATCATGTTTTTTTTTTTTTAAATAACCGGCCACCCCCCAAATCTCCCCCCTTTCCCCCCACGGGGCTCTCCCGAATCAAAAAAAAATGTTTACAAAAAGGAAAAAAAGGACCGGAGGGAATTTGGATTGGAACAAAAAAAAGACCCCCCCCCCCCCTCCCCCGATAATAGGAACCTGGTTATAACAATGGAGATTATTGGTCGGGATCTTTACATACTCACAGTTCCCACAGCGAGGCTATATGAAATCTTACATTAACAAACATGAACTACTTTTAGACCTTACCAGTGGTATTCTTGCCACAAATTACCATGACTGTCACTTAAAGTTTCTTCAGGAGTGGGGAACAAACCGCAACTGGAAGGTCGACCGTGAATCCCACCGCGGGAAGGATGAATTACAATAAAATAAATCTCATGATAACATTGCTCTGTTTTTCTTTATCATTTCAGTGGAACAGTTCACACAAGAAAGCTACCTTTGGGGAATGAAATCTTGAATGCTCTCTACCCACATACAACATGTCCGGTTAGGAGTCGTCTGCGTAATTTTTTGTATAATAAGCTCTTTCCGAGTTCTAGAAACTCTCACTTTCAAGACGAGGTTAAATAAAAAACCTTTTCTTGTGAAAATGAGTTTTATTTTTGTGAGAAAAAAAATCCTATTCTTATCAATAACTTCGAATTCAGCCTTGCTTTGAAACAGAGGCTTCGAGCAACTCGAAAATGGCCAATAGTTGCAGTCACGGCTGTATGCAAATGAAAATTGGTTGTGGTGTGCGGTCTTATCAGATAGTTAACCAGGAGTGTTGATTTACGACTTTTTTTATTGTAGCTTATTAAGCCATATGGGTACTAATAGGCGAATCTTTGCTGATGTCATTGTTTACGTTTTTCCTTATTGGCATACGACTTAACTCGTAGAAGTTGTGGCCATATATACTGACGAAATTCAATAATTAAGAGCTGATTAACTTGAGCAATTCGAACAATTTTTAGCAAGCAATATTGAAGGTAATATCAGCCATCAAAAACTGCGAAATTACTGGGTGGCAAAAAAGTTAATGAGCCATACTTTCATCGTAAAATTTCGAGTTTTATTAGCTTCATCAGATAAAGATGAGCATTTGTTAATGAGGCAAAAAATGTGGTCAAAGATTCGCCTGAGCTAACCGACGTTAGTGCGGACGCTTCTAATGTTGATTTTTTTACTGGCACTAAGAAGACATTCTTATTTTTTGTATTACCATTACTGATGTATGACTTACATTTAAGTATCATTCAGCTGCTATGCAGACGATCGTAACAGTACCTTCAACTTCCGCTTATAACTCTTAGGCTTGGACATCTTCGTAGGGGCTTTTAGGAGGGTTTATTAACGGAGGGGCTTATATCCGAAATAGAACCGACGCCGAATATGACTTTTTATTAGGGTTTCCCAATGGATTACAACTTCATTTATCTGTCTCAAAATTTTCTTGCAGTTTCTAAAGTTTACGACCAGCGCCAGACCGGAATTGCACTTCATCGACAAAGGAAATGAACTGAAGGTTTGCTCTTAAGTCTACATGCCATGCGATAATAAAACCTAGCAACATGTGAATTTTCAACGCCTACTTAGTGCAAGAGAGTTTTTGGGAGTAATTCATGGACGAAGTGGAATACATATTGATAAACGGATTCCTTTATATAGTGGAGTGGGGAAAAGATTAGCGATACATAATACTGATATGTGTTGTATTTCGAATGTGGCCGCTTAAGGCTGTATTCTGATTGAAACATGCTTTTACAGCAAACTTTATGCAACACTGGTCAATTTGTATTTTTTAATAATTCCCTTTCCCGTAGTATAATTTCGTTGTGTTTTCTTTCAACCAAACAAAGATAATTAGTAAAAAACATTGGTGACATCTTTCTTTTATTTTACCATTGTCCTGAGGAAAAAAAATGAACGGTCTCTCTTAGCTAGACAGCCTTAATTTGCCTTCAATTGCCTTGTCTGACTCTGTTATCGTTGGTTCTGTTTTCAGGTATGGGCCCTTCTGATTCAGTCAAGGGTCACACCTAATGACATCAGAGTAAGTCAGTGTTTCGACATAACGGACTTTTATCAGTCCCTAATCCCCTCTTTTTAATCGCGTCATTAGGCCGTTGATATCTAAATCGAAGAAGTCAATGTCAAATCCTGTTAGCTGGCAACTGGGCGGAGCGTCCCCGTACAAAACAGTGCTGATTTCCCCCCCTTCACACCCGGGGTTTCAAAACGCCGTTTCCTTGATTAACACTACTTTATGTTGTTGCAGCTTGAAATTTCAAGTAGCGATGTTCTAAGAATCGAAACTGAAGACATCATGGAACATTATCCTGGCATTGTTACACTTAACAAGGTATTTTTACTGATGGATAAACTTTTTCAACCCCTCTCAAACATTTTTCCTACACATTTAAAGAGTTGTTCAATCTTGTTGCTCCTTCCTTTCCTCGCGTCTTGCGGCTTCACCACCAGCCTACACTGAGCCTAGCTTGCCTGAACGAAGTTCATAAGTGGAAGAGGAAGGGAGAATTCGGGTGCACGAAAACGCGAAGGGTGCGCGCTAACCCACGCGAGCCCGAATTCCTCCTTCGGGCACCTTCCACGCGGGCTAGCATTCACCTCTCTCATCTTGTGGTTACACGTACCCCTTCAGTCGAACTCAGGAAAGAAGAACAAGTCCCAGTTCAAACTTCGAACTTTCATGTACCGAACTTAAAACATAGTTATGTTCTCTCTAATGACACAAGGTGGACGGTTGATTCAGACGTCGAAGTTAATTAGTCAGACTCAATTCATTTTCACGATGTTCAATGGTCCACATTTCTTAACAGTCAAAGTAAGTTATAGGTAATTTATGCTTTAGGTTCGGTACATGAAGAGTTCGACGTTTGACACGAAATCTCTCCACAGTCGAAATTCCCGTGAGGGTCGACCCAGGTTAGATATGTCGGACTTAACTGATTCAAACGTCAATCTTTTCATGAAGTTAATTGAAAGGAAAAGGTTAGGTCTATGAAAAGTTCGACGTTTTAACTGGGTTTAAGAGACTGCTTGCAGTCTGAAACTGTTAATTACGACCTTTGTTAATCAAAGTTGTTTACGTTTAAATTTAGACCTACACCTTCATTTATGACTTAAGAAATGGAACCTCCAATACAGGAAGGTAAGCAGCTAATTTAAGAGCGCATGTTAAAAGAAAAGCACTCACTTAATCAGAAGGAGGAGGCAGCGTGGAAGAGCGGCCCGGGTTAAGATCCCGCTCTATCCAGCTGAAATGAAAACGGTTGTCCTAAATGCAGCACCTCGGTACCGTGGTTTGCCTCCGGCCAGTTGGGATTCTTATAGTTGTGTTGTTTTAATTAACAGTTTTTGTTTGGGTCCATAGTTGTAGGCCATAATGTCAGCTACTTGGTCAACAGTATAACTGTATCACAAGCTAATTTTTTCACATTTCTTGGGGAAATTGAACTCGGAATATTAATTGCTAATTCTAGTAATAATTGCAAATCCGAAAGGGATAAGTGATAAGGCAAGTGGGGAGTGGCGGGGGGTGGGGGGAGAGTGAGAGGGTAAAAGGGTGAAAGGAGCGGCAAGTATAATAGTTGCTATTGAGTGTTTCTGTCTGTAAATCCATCGAAAAAATTCACACCAAGCTTGTCATTTCAATTTACAGTGCATACAAGTCTACTGTAGTGTCTGTGACGATGTTTCCAAGAGTTAGAGAACTGACTTGTGAGAATGATTTACAGGTAATAACAGCCAACTCCCTCTTAACTCACCTTACTCGGGAATTTTTTTTCCTGCACCTTGTGCCTTGCTGTCGTTGTTATTATTAATACTGCGGCTAAGAAGAAGAAGAAGAGTAAGTGTACTTTTTGTGGCCATACTTAGTTAAGAAAAAAAACCCGACCAAAGTAGTCACTTTTCTAAAGGGCAGGAGCATATCTCTCCTTTGAATTTTTCTGTGAAAGAGACAATCAGCTGGTGTGCGAGAACAAACTTGTTGCTAAACTTAAAGAAGGTTAAATATCACAGAAAATGTTCCCTATTCATTGTGACCTAAACTGTGCTGGATGATAAGGAAGTCATTGCCTTTGTCTTCTGTTTAAACAGGTGCTGCACGTTAATGTTGGCTGTCCACCATCCAAGACCATCGTCATAAGGAACTGCACAGTGCCCTCTGGTGAAGGACCAGTACCTTATCTGCCTCAGGTAAATCCTGTCATGCGTAATAACAACTTTGTTAAAGTCGCAAAGTTTCCAGCTTAACACAGGTGCTCGGCTCAGTAATCGAGGATACTATGCTCTGTACTTGTGCACATGATTAGAAAATTATATTCCATCCCTTCCCATTTATATCACCTAATAGTAAACAGTCAACTCTCGATAACTCGAACCTTCTAGGGAAATCGAAAAAAGTTCAAGTTATCGGGAGTTCGAAGCTGATAACCGAAAAAAGGAAGTAAGCAAATGGGTGGGAAGGAATCCAAGTATCATGCACACTTCACTTCAAGGACAGCGAGGGATAAATTGATACTTTGAAAAAGGAATTGAAGCAACAAAGCTTGAAGAATATTCATGATCAGGGCTTGACATTACATTTGAAGTGGACTGACAAAGAAGTAGAGACAAACAATACACGGTTGTGTTGAAATAAATTTCAACACTGACTGCAGAACATTTCTAATTATCGAGGTTAAAATTATATAGAAATGATCTGAAGGAAAACAAAACTTACTGCGAGTTAACGGGAGGTTCGAGTTATCGAGGTAAAATGACAGTAAATGTATGAAAGAAATCCAGGGGAAATTGATTTTTGTTCGAGTTAGCGAGGGTAGGAGTTGACGGGAGTCAACTGTAAGTAACTTCAAAGCAAAGCTCAAAGTAAGGGAATGAGATTTTTGCCATTAGTCTCGTTGCTGATATCCGAGTCCATTGTTCAATGAGTAGTAACTGCCCTAATCCCTGTGTAAATCAGTGCGAGGCCCTGAAACATTGTTCGTAGCCTATTCTATTCTATTTCCATATGTATGGTCTTCCCTTCTACTTTACGTGTTACCTTCCGGTTTTCATGTTTGGTACTCCTTTTTCAAACGTCGGCGAAGGTTTTCTTTGAAATCGTTATTGGGCAACGTTAGAAAAACGAAGCAATATGTTCCAGCTGTAGCTATCGTTGCACCATCAAAGTTGCTCTTGCGGTGTACGATAAAAATCTCTGGCACTCAAGCATGTAGAGGTTCGCGATAATCCGGCAGTCTATAGAGGCTAAAGTTAGGTGTTACTAGAAAACTTGTAGAAAATTAGCGTGATTCAGTGTTGTTCTGTTACACATTGTTCTTCAGGTGCAAGGTTCAAGCGAGCCGCTTGCATGTCATTTGACTGCAGTCGTGTCAGAGAGTTTCAAGTTGGTACTGGACATGTAAGTGTTTGTAGTGGTCTGTCCGTTAAAACGGACGTAGGATAATTAAAGTGTGCCATTAGTCAATTCACGCTGCAGTTTGAAGCAGATTGTAGCTACGCATATGCATTATTGATCAAGTTTTTTCTCCCAAGATGGCTGGATATTGGCCAAGTCAGTTTTTTTTGCCTCAGTTTTTATGGACCAAGATCAACAAAGCAGAAACTGAATCCAGAGCGGCCAGGATTCGCTTGATCTTTCGTGCTCGCAAAGCCAGCCATATAATGACACGTGTTAATGCTTATTAAGGTATCTCTCTTCCTTCTATATTTTTAAAAGCGTTTATTTTAAGGTCAGTGCAAGGAAAAATTGAACACGAGAAGAGAAGTTTTGGCGGTTTATGTTAGAATAAGAGTCCCAAATACAAAATTATATTGGTGTCATTCGCGGTTAAAGAGAGTGATTAGCGGACTAGACCCTCTTTTAGATTCTTTTACCTGTACACTGTATTTGTTTTTCCTTCGTCGTCACCGAAAGGCCACCAGAAATAGCCGCTGTGTTTTGGTTTATGAGGTGTCAAATGCCATTCAAATGAACAGTGTAGATGTTAAGAATACTCCCAGAGACTTTGAAGATATACGTTTGCATTAATTTCTCTATCAAAGTGGTCCAATTGATCATAGATTGCAACTCAAATTTGAAGAAATCAGATGAGTGAATCAAGCTCGATACAAACAAAACGAAATAGAAAACAATACTGTACACTGAAACCAATCAAATAAGTTCGTCAAGTCACGTTTTTTAATGTAAAAGTCGAAAAAGCTGTGGGTGGAAATTCGAGGCAATCTTTCGCATTTCCGATGTCTGGCATGTTGGGTGGTGGAATTCGATTACAAGTGTACGGCATGTCCGTTTAATACAGGTTGGTAGCAATAGAAATGACTATTTCAGGTACTTTTTAGGTGTCCGCGTCCGCTTGATAAGGGTTTCATTTAAAGGAAATAAGGGAAATAACTTTTGGGCCTTCGGCTACTGTCCGCTTAATAGAGGGTGTCCGCTTAATACAGCTTTCACTGTAAACGCATATTCAGGGCAATGAAGATTTCGATAGCACCGAATTGCTTTCAACACTGGCTCAGCTTTCTGAAACTGATCATCCGATCCTTCATCTGTCATCCATATGAAATTTTAAAAACAAACTGCATTTAATTGTTCCCCATTTTATTCGTAAAATAAGGCAATCGTTACATCGTAAATTAACCTTCATGTTACTGGCACTTAATGTCCCGTTATGGATTTTCTTTCTTCCGAGCTGAGAAAGCTTAAGCAACTAAACAACTAAAATTTTTATGCTCCGGGGAAAGTTCCGGGTTCTTTACTACTGAACCAAGATGTAGCCCATGGCCTTGATGTGCTAGTCTCCGTTGTCTGGGGAATATGTAGCCTCATTTCCACACGTGTTTGTGTCGTCATGATGTCCTCCTGTACCAAATCCGATTCTGGAATCACAATAGACACAACTGTTCGGCAAACTACTCGTGATACCAATTCTTGCTCTGGAGTGTGGTGTATGGCCGCAGATTGCGTTGAACCCTTCCTTGTTACAGTTGGTATTTAAGGAGGCCTGTGGACCAATCAGCTTCTTCCAGGTGTTACGACCGAGTGAGGTTGCGCGGTATTGGCCGTCAGCGACCAGAGAGTACAACGAACTGGCGTACTTGTTGATAGTAACGAACCGTAATTGGTGGCCGATCTTCATACCCAGGCAGATCTTGGAGAAGTCTGTGTTCCAGTAGGTTGGCAACTTGGTCTCTTGTGAATCAAACCCAGTCCTTCCTCCGGCAAAGTTGTATGTATTTTTGTTGCTCCAGAAGTGAGAATCATAATGAAAAGTTCTCTGAAAACGGAAATCAGAAAATTAATATCCATATCACAAACATGGAATGAAAAGGTACTATTGAAGGACACTGTACCTGACAATAAAGTTTTGTGAGACTGTACACTGATTGTCTTCAGCTTCGACTCCACTCTCTTGAGGGCGTCCCCGCACGTCGCAGTAAGCTTTTCCAGCTTTGTTTCCAAGTTCTGTTGGAGCAGTTTTTCCAGCTTTGTTTCCAGCTTGTTAGCGATGAGTTTTTCCAGCTTCGTTTCCATCTTCTTGAGGGCGTTGTCGCAGACTCCAGTCACAATCGACGAGGGCTGTTTGCAGTCTGTTGGAAGAGGTGTTTGGTTATTGTGTAAGTTTGACGGTTTGGCGCCTTTCGCGGCATATGATATTATAACAGAAAGTGCGAGGAAAACCAACGAGCGCATGTTGAACCCGTTAAGCGTCTTCAATGAATACTTTGACTTAAGTGTCTTTGAGGATTCGATGGTACTGGATTATTGGTAACCAAATTTTTTTTCATTTCCATTCATATCAGCTCTGAAGTTATTGTTAGTGAAACGAGAAAATTATCTTGCTGGAGCTTCGTGACTAATTTACTAATTATTCGTAAACTCGTCTGATGTCTGTGTACACATTCCTAGGTCACAGCACTTAACAAATGTAAAGTTACCGACCTTTGGCAGCTTGTGTCAGTTTTTCAAAGGTTTGAAAGCGCTATCTTCCCTATAAATCACTATCCAGCGGATAAGTAGTAGGGAATCCAATTGCGCTATCCAGTGGGTAGAGATTTATCCAGTGGATAGCGTTATCCTTTTGAACAACTGAGGCCTGCTCGATAACAGTTGTTCACGTGTGTGAAGTGAATGTAGGTAAATATTTGGTCGAATTTGACGTAAAATGTTCATTATAAACGATCACTCAGTTTGAAGGTAACTGTCGTTTCAGTGAGGCTTTGATTATAATACTAAACTTATCGCGGTGTAAAGTTTTCGGCTAGACTACCAACTGAGTTCCTTTATTTTGTCAAACTAACACGCGAAAAGGGAAAGATCGCCGCGAGAGTGGGAAAAGCAGATGGACTCACACCGAGCTTCTCCACGCGCGTTATGCTACTCGCACGTGGAAGTTTTCAGCATTTATGGGTGTTTCCCTCGCTCAACAACTACTCTCCGAGAGAAAAACTGAAAACTGCTTGAAGCTTGCATTCGGATGTTTTTAACATCTTTGCCACTTGAGAAACAGTAGAAAATATAAGAGAAGTGATATATTGAAATTACTGAGGAAAGAGTGCCAGAAAAATTAATACCATTGTCACTACGCTACCACTTCCTTGTTGACCAAAATAAAACTTAAGAGACTGAACAGACCAGGAACATCATGAAAAAGTCGTCTCGCTATAGGTATTCTAATTCTAATTCTACTAAATTCCAGAAAAATCGAGAAATTAATGACCCTCGAAAATAAATCCTCGCGAAATTTAATACCCAAAGGCATATAGGAAATTCAAATAACAATTGACATGTAATAACAACGATATGTATCGACAAACACAAATTGCTTTCTGGTTTTACTTGTAAGCTCCATTTTATATTGTCTGTTGTGAAATGAAGTTAGTTTGCAAAGATTTCACACATTGCTTGTTCCAGTTTATCTAATTTTCTTAAAGGTTCATACTTTTTACCAAAAGACTGAAGGAGATGGGAACGCTTAAATCGCGAAATTTAATGCCCATTTTTCATGTTTACTTGTTAAAATCTCGAAAATAAAACCCCGCGAAATACTGTCGCGCCAAAAACGCGAAATTAAGTACCAATAAGGTAGCAGACGTCGAAAGTAGTATGGCACAGGCTTTTCATTTGGTAGCAACCAGCGTGCATACGCCTCCTATTTCTGCAACAAAGAAAAAAGGGGCATTTACTTCGTGCACCGGAGAAAACATAGAGGTCTTTCGTTTTACGTCGTTTGTGTCCGGTATACGAAGTAAAAGCGGAATTAGGAGAGATTTGCATGCAGGCTAGTTATTTGACCAACTTTGAGAACTGGAATTAGCTGTCGAAGCACCGAAAATTCTGACTTACAAAAATTTGAAACCACAATTTTTAAGTTGCCCTTTAAATCGAAGATCAAGCGTGTCGCTCTTAACCTTTTTCTTTATGCAAATTTACCCTGTAATTTTCTTTTTCGATTGTGAGAAATGAGAAATAATGCAATGTACTTCATTATTTACGAAACGCTTTTAATCCTTACTTCACATTCGCTGTCAGAACGCAGTCCATTACTCCTTGTACATTAAGTATCACTTATTCATTTGAATGACAGTGACAAGTTCAATTCAGTTAGCTTTTCTTATTCAGTTTATTGTGATCACGCAGCAAAAAAATCAATGGGTTTATGCGCCCTTATGAATTTTTATCTTCTGAACAACTAGCAATCTACATAGAGACGAGACTTCTCTTAATATATAATGGGCAGCGCTTGTGACAAGTTCAGTGCTTTATTAGCTTTTATTACTGAACCAAGATGTAACCCATAGTCTTGATGTGCTTGTCTCCATTGTCTGGTGAATAAGAAGCCTCATTCCCACATGTATTGCTGTTATCGGTGCTTCCGCCAGTACCAAACCCGATCCTGGAGTCACACCAGACACAATTGTTGTCTTCATTACTGGTGATACCAATTCTTGCTTTAGAACTTCGTTTAGGGCTACAGATAGCGTTGAACCCTTCCTTGTTACAGTTGGTCTGTAAGGAGGCCTGTGAACCAATCAGCGTCTTCCACTTGTTACGACCGAGTGAGGTTGCGCGGTATCGCCCGTCAGCGATCAGAGAGTACAACGAAGTGGCGTACTTGTTGATAGTAACGAACCGTAATTGGTGGCCGATCTTCATACCCAGGCAGATCTTGGAGAAGGCTGTGTTCCAGTAGGTTGGCAACTTGGTCTCTTGTGAATCAAACCCAGTCCCTCCTCCTGCAATGTTGTATGGATTTTTGTCGCTCCAGAAGTGAGAATCGTAATGAAAAGTTTTCTGAAAACGGAAATCAGAAAATTAAGATCCATATCGAAAACATGGAATGACGTGCTTGTAAGACATGTACCTTTGTGCCGTCAATCTTCATGGCCAGTGTCCATCCTCCATTTCCGCATCCAAAGTCTCCCATGTGACAGTAAACGGGGATCCCTTGTGAACCAAACTTCAGCGGATACACACGACTTGTCTTTACCCTGTTGGAGAAGAAATCAGTTGATAGCCAAAAATATGTGTCGTAAGCCTTTGTGAATAAACGTCAAGCATTGTAATCTTGTCATTCAAATGGAGCGTGTTCACAGCAGACTAACTTGTCGGTTTTCTACTCCCTAATTCTCTGAAGTAACTACCCTATTAGTACTTAATTTCGCGTTTTTTGCGATCGTAAAAAAACCGCGATTTTTAATACCCATATAAAAAATTTAAAGAACAATTGACATGTAATAGCAACGATATGTATCGACAAACACCAATTGCTTTCTGGTTTTACTGGTAAGCTCCACCTGGTATCTTCCGTTGTGAAAGGATTCTGTTCCAGTTTATCTCAGTAATTTTCTTACAGGTTCAGACTTTTTAAAAAAAGAAAATGAAGTTGAGACTGACGCTTAAGTCGCGAAATTTAGTGCGCTTTTTTCATGTTTCACTTGTTAAAATCGCGAAAATAAAACCCCTGCGAAATACTGTCTCGCCAAAATCTCGAAGACAAGTAACCGCGAAATTAAGTACCAAGGCATTCAAAAATCACTATGTCCATTGAACTGTTTGTTTTGTTTTTGTTTTTTGTCATTTCGCGCGCAGTTCGATTTTTCTCACTGGATATAAAAGAAAATTGCAAGTTGTGTAATGATTTGGATTATTTAATCTTTTTGCCATCATGTTCTACCATCTAGCTGTAAATTTACTTGGTTAACTCTATACGCCTCTATTTTTGTAACGATATTTCGATTTTTCCCATTAACTAGAATGGCTTTTAATGAAAAGCTGGGATGAAAACGTTAACCACCGACTAGTTTTAATATACAGCAAAATAAGCCTTGACTGAAATGAACCTACTTGTGTACGTCGTACAGTTCCTTGCAAGAGGAGGCAGAGGAAACGACTGCAAAATATATGTATATATAAAACGACGGTTAGATTATAAGACAAAATTCACCGATATGCCAAACTTTCTTTAGAAATACTAAGGTCAGTTTTACCTGACAATAGAGCTTTGTTGATCATTGCACTGATTGTCCCCAGCTTCGTTTCCACCTTTTTGAGGGCGTCGTCGCACCTCGTGTTCAGCGATGTGGTCACAGTGCCAGGAGTTGTAGTCTTGTTTATTAGCGCAGTGAGTGTTTCCAGCTTTTTTTCCAAATTCTGTGCGAGCAGTTTTTCCACCTTGGTCTCGAGCTTCTTTAAGGCGTGGTTGCAGGTTTCGGTCTCGTTCAACGATGTGGTTTCAAATTCTGTAGTGGCAGTTTTGTTGATCAGTAGACTAATTTTTTCCAGCTTTGTTTTTAATTTCTGTGCAAGAAGTTTATCCAGCTTCATTTCTAAATTTTTCACAGCACGGGAGACTTGAGAATCTTGATTTGTCAGGTTACAGTTACAAACAGCCGGAGGCTTTTTGCCGTCTGTTGGAAGAGGTGATTGGTTATGGCTTAACTTTGAGGGTTTGGCGCCATTCGCGGCATATGATATTATAACAGAAAGTGCGAGGAAAACCAACGAGCGCATGTTGAACCCGTTAAGCGTCTTCAATGAATACTTTGATTTAAGTGCCTGTGACGATTCGATGGTACTGGTTGCTGGTTACCAACTTGTTTTTCATTTCTTCTCATATCATATCAGTACCGCAGTATTGTTAGTGAAACGAGAAAATTATCTTGCTGGAGCTTCGTGACTAATTCACTAATTATTCGTAAACTCGTCTGCTTTCTGTGTACACATTTCTCTTCCTAAGTCACCGTACTTAAGAAATTTAGAGTTACCTCTGACAGCTTGCCCCAGTTGTTCAAACGTTGGGAGGCGCTCTCCACCGGATAAATCACTATCCAACTGGTAAGTACAAGTGTATTAGGGAAAGAAATTGAGCTATCCAGTGAATAGAGATTTATCCGCTGGCATTATCCACCTTTTGAACAACTGGGGCCTGCTTGAATACAGTTATTCACCGGCGCAAAGTGAATTTAGGTAAATATTTGCGGACGAATTTGGCGCTAAAATATTCATCATAAACGATCACTCAGTCTAAAGTAACTCCTCTTTTCACTGTAATTAGTTTGCTTTAAGTATATCGGTTAAAATACTAAACCTATCACGGCATAATTTTTCGATTAGACTGCCAATTGAGTGTTTTACTCGGTCAAACTAACACGCGAAAAAGGAAAATGTGGGAAGTGGGAAGAACAGAGGGACTCACACCCAGCTTCTCCACGCTCGTCATGCTACTCGCACGTGGCAGATTTTTAGAACACACGCGTGTTTCCCTCGCTTCACTGTACTTCTCTCCTTGAGAGAAACCAGAATACTTCTTGAAGCGTGCATTCAGATGTTTTCAACATCTTTGCTATGTGGGAAAGTCAGGAGAACTCATATATTTAAACTACTAACGAAAAAGTACCAGAATAATTTATACCATTGTCATTTCTCTACAACTTCGTTGTTGACAAAAATAGACTGTAAATGAGACTGGAACATCAAAACGTCGTCTCGCCATAGATATTCTATAACTGCTGAATTCCAGAGTTGAATTCACGTCTTAGATCAGTAAATGTAAATCCGGCTGCTTTTGGGATTGGTGTAAGATTTTGTCCGAAAAATTTAATATGTCAACTGTCTACTGTTGATCTTTGAGCTCTGATTTCGATCAAAAGCACACATTTCCTTTCGGCTTAGTAAATATTGGTCTAAAATATTTTCTGATAATTGTTGGGAGTTTCATCTTCAACTGGACAATTGCCTGCCCGTGTTTATTCTCCTTTTCAACTGTTTAAGACAATTATTTTTGTTTCTCTTTAGTAATTAGGGAGTTTAAGCAGCAACGTTTTTGAGCGACGCACTTCAGCCACAAGTGAGCCTTTTTCTTTTTAAAAAATATGCCTTGATGCTACCAAATTTTTAATTACTAAGTGCCTTTGTTCTTATAGATTCGCTTTGCTCGAAAATTTGTGCAAAACCACGTCCTTAGAATGCAAAACTTCCACTTTTGGTTGACGTGACTCGCTCAAAAACGTCTCTGCTAAAGCTTCCTATTATTTTAGCCTTATTACCTAGACTATGTTTACAGCTCGCGCTGTCTACGTAAAAAAACCGAAAGAAGCTTCGCCTCAGTCCTCTCGGGATGAGTTTTCTATCGCACACATGTGTCTTGATCGCTCTACTTTCCACGAGGAAAATAAGGGACTAGTTAAAGGCCGCTCTTTATAAAGTGGAACCTCACCTTACGATTAACCGGAACTGGAGCCCGTTTCTCAAAAGTCCCGATAACTTTTCGGGCCCGAAATCAAATATTCAAATCGAAATAAAAAGAATTAAAGCGCGGGTCCTGGCTAGCAAAATACTCCATTTTGTTTCAGTAACTGGTAGTTTTATCATGTTAGATGTAAAACTATTGAAACTTCTATCTTGCATGTAAACAACAACAGCTTTACGGGCCCGTTAATTATCGGGACTTTCGAGAAACGGGCCCCTCGACCCGAAATGCGTCCCGCAATTGTTTCTGGGATCGTTACTAGGGACGCGCCCGTCAGCCATTGGTCAATTTTTTCCCTGTCCCAAGTAACAGTCACAGAAGTCTCGGCCCAGTTCCTTTCTCGTTTTTTGAGTATTGAATTTATAAACTAATTGCGGGCCTGTAACGTGAGTCAGGATAAGGAAATGTGTGGGAGCCAAAATTTGTGACGCTCACGGTGCTTCAGAGTCCGCCGGAAGTGGTCGATGGCTACAAAGCCTAAAATCTCGCGGCAGTAAGGTTACGTTCGCAAACTCGTGTACAGGGTTATTCTCTTAAGACATCATCAAGGTGTTCCGTGTCCTTGTTCACTTATCTCCAATTAGAGGAAGGCTGGAACGTAAACTAAGAGAATTCGCTCAACTACCCAGAAACGTGCGCGTTTTTCTTCAGTTTATCTAAAAATTTACGAAGTGAAGTATTTTGTGTATTAGTGTTCAGCAAAATCGATTTCAGGCATCTTTGCAGTCACAGAAAGTTAGCTGGTTTGGCTCAACTCGTACATGAGTCTAGCTTAGCTATACTGATAGATTACACGTAGTCCTGTATCTCAGGGCTAGGAGCGCGAGCGTGCGCGAAAATCACCGCCCGCGAGGAAAGACGACACGCGGAAGGAAGAGAGGAAATAACAAAGGCTCGCTTATTTGGTGTTTCTTGCTGATGAGAAAACTATTGATGGTTGGCTTTTTTGTTGTTCCGTGTCTTTCCAACGCGTTCACAGATTTTTTTCATCTGCTTTTTTGCTTCTTCATCTACGAAAGGTCACCAGAAATATCCACCATTTATTTGATTTCGCTGATGAGGATTGTGCAAATGTAATTTCGACGCGAAAATAACTGGAATATTTTAAAGAATACTCAGAATCTGTTATTATAAGGATCCGATTTAGTGCATCATAAAAGACGTCTCTCTTATTCATATCAAATTACCGAAAATTAAAACAACCATGTATTGAATTGTTCCCCACTTTATTTAGAATATAAGGCAATCTTTCCAAGACCATCTAACCGATATTAGTGACACCTTCAGAGAGAAAACTTGAGTTAAACTACTAACCGACTAAAAATTTTAACGTTCATTGAAAGTTCCGGGTTACTACTACTGAACCAAGATGTAGCCCATGGTCTTGATGTGCCTGTGTCCGTTGTCTGGTGAGTATGTAGCCTCATTTCCACACGTGTTTGTGTTGTCATGAAGTCCTCCTGTACCAAAACCGATTCTGGAGTCACACCAGACACAATCGTTCGCTTCATTGTTTGTGATACCAATTCTTGCCTTGGAATGTGGTTTATCGCTGCAGATAGCGTTGAACCCTTCCTTGTTACAGTATTTTTGTAAGGATGCCTGTGGACCAATCAGCGACTTCCACGTGATTCGACCCAGTGAGGTGGCGCGGTATTGGCCGTCAGCAATCAGCGAGTACAGCGAAATGGCGTGCCTGTAGATGGTAATGAATCTTATCTTGTGGCCGATCTTCATACCGAGGCAGATCTTGGAGAAGGGTGTGTTCCAGTAGGTTGGCAACTTGGTCTCTTGTGAATCAAACCCAGTCTTTCCTCCTGCAATGTTGTGTGGGTTTCTGTCGCTCCAGAAGTGAGAATCGTAATGAAAAGTTCTCTGAAAACGGAAATTAGAAAATTAATATCCATATCACAAACATAGGGTGACGCGTAAGACATGTACCTTAGTGCCGTCAATCTTCATGGCCAGCGTCCATCCTCCATCTCCGCATCCAAAGTCTCCCATGTGACAGTAAACGGGGATCTTTTGTGAACCAAACTTCAGCGAATACACACGACTTGTCTTTAACCTGTTGGAGAAGAAATCAGTTGATGGCCAAATATATGAGTTCTTGATCTTTGTGAATAAACGTGAAACAATGTAATTCTGTCATTCAAATGGAACGAACAGACTTAAAGTTGTTTTTCTACTCCCGAATGCTGTCAAGTAATTGAAAGTACCTTTATAAATCGTGAAAACAAGGCATTCAAGTGCATCGAGTCGTGGCGAATTGTAGAATAAAGGCAAACCGAAAACAAACAACATTTGAATCGAAAATCGATTGGCTGTTCGTTTAGTGTGCGACTCTAATAATCTGACAACGTCCATTGAAGTGTTTTTCTTTTTTTTTGCCTTTTGTTTTTTAGTTGCACGCACAGTTTGATTTTTCTCACTAGATGTAATAATTGTGTAATGATTTAGATTATTTAATCTTTTTTTCATCATGTTCTGGTCTCTATTTGTAAATTTTACATTGTTCGTCTCCATTTTTTGTTACGATGTTTCAATTTTTCGCATTAAAACTACTTACTCGAATGTCTTTTAAATGAAAAGCTGAAATGAAAACTTGAATCACACTAATTTTAACATGTAGCAAAATAAGCCTTGTCTGGAATGATTACTTACTTGTGCAAATCAAACAGTTCCTTGCAAGAGGAGGCAGAGAAAATGGCTGCAAAAAAATAAAAACATGTAAATATAAAAAGCGCCAGTTAGATTGTTAGACAAAATTCACCTATATGCCAAACTTTCTTTAGAAATACTTAGGTCACTCTACCTGACAAATTACCTTTGTGGGTCAGTTCTCTGATTTTTTCCAGCTTCGTTTCCATTTTCTTGAGAGCAGCGTCGAAGGTACCGTTCAACAATTGGCGAACAATGTCTGGATCGGCGGTCTTGTTTATTAGTGTAGTAAGCCTTTCCAGCCGCTTTGTTTCCAAGTTCTGTTGGAGCAGTTTATCCAGCTTTGTTTCCAGCTTGTCAACGATGAGTTTTTCTAGCTTCGTTTCCATCTTCTTGAGGGCATTGTCGCAGATTTCGGTCTCGTTCGACGATGTCGTGGTCACAACGCCTGTAGTGGCAGATTTGTTGATAAGGCCAATAAGTTTTTCCAGCTGTTTTTTCGAATTCTTTTCGAGGTTTTCCACTTTTTTATCCAAATTTTGTCCAACAAGTTTATCCAGCTTCACCTCTAAAGTTTTCATGGCACCGGAGACTTGAGAATCTTGATTTACCGTCAGATTACAGTTACAAACAGCCGGGGGCTTTTTGCAGTCTGTTGGAAGAGGTGTTTGGTTATAGCGGCCCATGTTTGACGGTTTGGCGCCATTCACGCCATATGTTATTACGGCCAGTGCGAGGAAAAACAGCGAGCGCATGTTGAATAAAGCGTCTTCAATGACTACTTTGACTCAAGTGTCCGTGACGAGTCGATAGTAGAAATTACTAGTAGCCAACTTGTTTTTCATTTCCACTCGTATCATATCAGTACCGAAGTTATTGTTAGTGAAACGCGAAAATTATCTTGCTGGAACTCCATGACTAGTTCACTAATTAATTATTCGTAAACTCGTCAGTTTTCTGTGTAAACATTTCTCTTTTTATGTCACAGCACTTAAGAAATGTAGAGCAGCCTTTGACAGCTTGCCCAAGTTGTTAAAATGTTGGGAAGCGCTATCCACTAACTATTATAAGTACTTAGGGAAACCAATTGCGCTGTTTAGTGGATAGAGATTGAGAGAGTTACATCCAGTGGCGTTATCCACGTCTTAAATAACTAAGGCCTGCTTGATAACAGTTATTCACTGGCGCAAAGTGAATTTAGGTAATTATTTGCGGACGAATTTGACTTAAAATATTCATTATTAACGATCACACAGTCTGAAGTAACTGGATTTCAGTTAAAATAATAAACTTATGTCAGTATAATTTTTCGATTAGATTGCCAATTGAGTGTCCTACCCTTTCCAAACAACACGCGGAAAAGGGAAAGATTACCAGGGGAGAGGGAAAAACAGAGGGATTCCTACTCATCTTATCCACGCGCGTCATGCGTTTTTCCTTGCTCTACTACTACTCTCCGTGAGGAAAGCAGAAGACTACTTGAAGCTTGCATTCGGATGTTTTTAACATCTTAATCCCATGTGAAAATGGAAGAATAATTGACACCATCTTCACTTCGCTACAACTTCCTTGTTGACAAAAATAGAACAATATAACTATATATGATATTTGAACATCGACATGAGGTCTTCGCTGTCCGTATTCTATAACTGCTGAATTTCAGAGTTGAATTTACTTCATGGAGAAGTAAATCTTTTGAGTTGGGTGTATGATTTTGTTCCTACGACGACGACGGCAGTGAAAAGGTCACTAAAAAAATGAATTTGCGTCCTTTCAAACTTTATCGCTTCTATTTGGAACCGCTTAATTCGTCAAATGTAGGCGACTTTTGCCGGAGTTGAATTCTTAAGGGCTTTATCCATGTTCAAATAGAAAAAGGAGAATTTGTCGTCGTATGTCCACGTCCTCCATAAAACGTCACATTGGGAGGTTTCAAGTCGTAGGCGTGTAGTGGACGTCAAGGAAATGTACTAAAAAGCGTGATGCACTTGCAGAGCTGTTGTTTTGCTTATAAAACCATTTTTTTTTTTGCGTTGTCGTTGTCGTCGTCGTTGCTTAAGGTCTCTAATGTGTCAACTGTCTTCTGTTGATCTTTAAGCTCTAACAATGATCAAAAGCACAGAGTTACCTTAGGGTGAGCAAATATTGGCCCAAAATATTTTCTGACAATTGTTTGGGAGTTTCATCTTGGAATGGAGAATTACCTGTCGTGTTTATTTTTCTTTTCAACTGTTTAAGACAATTATTTTCTTCCTCTTCAGCAAGCAGGGAGCTTAAACAAAGCCGTTGTTGTGCAAAGCACGTGAACCGGAAGTGATTCCACTACCAACACGGTTTGCCCAAAATTTGGCTAAAACACTGCCTAAGAATGCAAAAAGTCCACTTCTAGTTGGTTAAGCTCCCTAATATTGTAGCCTGATGACCTAGACAATGTTTATTGGCGCTGCCGTCTCTGTAAAAAACCGAAAGAAGCCCATAGAAGGGCCGTCACGTTAAGAGCAACCCCATTGTGACTAATTCTGTAAGAAATGTTTTGTCGAACACAGTCCTCTCGGGAGGAGTTTTCACGTGATTGCGCCCGTGTGTTTTGTTCGCTCTAGTGCTCTACTTTCCCTGAGGAAAATAAGGGACCAGTTAACTTTAGCGGAGTTGGTGCATAAGAAACACAACTGCTCTTAAAACAATGGGACCTCGCTCAACGACCAGTGTGCTCATACAACCACCTCGGTATTAAGACCACATTCTTTCGACCCAAACGTAAAAAAAATGGAGTCATTTTTGTTATTTTCAAAACGAGCACCTCTTTGTTACTCCCAGGATATTTCATTGCCCAACTGTGGTGGCATTAACGGTTCTCTACTGTCTAGCTCGCTAATCTGCACGCGGTATATTTTTATAACCATTTTAACAGAGATTGTTGTCGCAGCAACTTACCACTAAACTAACTGCGCGCCTATAACGCGAGTCAGGGTATTGAAATGTGCGGGGGCCGAAATTTATGAAGCACAGAGGTACTTAGTCCGTCGGAAGCGTCGTTAGCTATAAAGCCTAAAGCCTGGGTGCAATAAGGCTCACAAACTCATGTACCAGGCCATTCTATGAAGACATCATCGAGGAGTACCGTGTCCTTTTGCACGCATCTTCAAGTGAAGTTGACTCCGCCACGGACGGAATCGAACTTCTCGTTCGGGGTCAGATTAGGTCTGTAACGCAGGCTATCCCTCATTCCTTCCAAAAATTAACAAAGTGAAGTATGCTGTATGCCAGTGTTCAACAAAAACGATTTTAGGCATCCTTGCAAACACAGGAAATTAGCTGGTTTGGCTATAATCGTGGCTGAGTCTTGCTCAGCCTACGAGTAGTCCTGTATTTTCCTCAGGCGACCGTAGGTAAGCGCAAGCGCTCACGCAAATCACCTCCCGCGAAAAAAGGCGACTAGCGGAAGGAAGAGAGAAAAAAGGGTTCCCTTACTGGGTGTTGGAAAGACTATTGTTGGTTCGCTTTTGTTTTTCGGTGTGGGTATTCTTGCATGTCCGTTTCAACGCTTTCTCAGATTTTTTTTGATCTGCTTTTTTCTCCTTCTTCATCTACGAAAGGTCACCGGAAATATCTACCATTTATTTTGTTCGTTAGATGAGGATATTTTATTATAAAATTGTGCAGAAGTGTTCTTAAATTGTGCAAAAGCCTTTCCGACAGCAGGAATGGCTGGTAGATGGCCTTCTACGCGGGAGGTCCCGAGTTCGATTCCTAGGTGTTAACCACAAATCCTTCTTTCAACCTTCTTTCCTTTCCGTGTATCTTAAATACCGGTAATGGAGATTGGGGAGGGAGGGGTAAACTGAGCGCACCTTCGGCCTCAGGTTTGTTTGGCAGATAACTATTTCGAGCTACCGACGTAAAATAAGGACTCTTTACCTTTTTCCCTGTATTTGAAGAAAACTCAATGGTTTCGATAACACCAAATCGCTTGCAACTCTTTAATTATTTGATACTTTACAAAGCCTGCTCTGTTAGACTTTTTATCCTCAAGGTAATCTGTCATCACGAGGATCTGATTTAGTGCACCATAACAGAAGTTATTCTTATTGCCCCCGCAGGGATTTCGCCCAGAGGCGAAATCCCGAGGAGGCACCCTAGTAACTCGCGCGTATATTAAGGACAGTACTTACAGTTCAAATATACAGTCAGTATACTAGAAAAAATCTCGATTTGCTCGAACTGGGGCCGCGAGGAATCGGTAGGTAATGATGACGTTTCTATTGTTTGCACCCGCAAGTACGAAATGGTTAGGATGACGTAAAGACAGAAAATCCCGAAGGGACCGCTCAGGTAGATTTTGTGACAATTATTGTGCAGTCACACTTCGATACTCTTTTGCGTTACGCAATGACATTTTGTGGAGCAGTTGTTTTGAAAGTTATGGACCAAAAGACACTCGTTAAGCGCAGAGGAGGTTATAAGGTGCGTTTAACTGTGTATGTATAAACACTTGGAGAGTTTGCCAGACAAGAGTTCACAAATCTTTGATTTATATTGGAAACCTTGCCAGACACTCTTTCTCTCTCTTTGACCGGAATGAGACTCAGCCCCAAACAAGCAAGACGAGTGAACAACGGCTAGCTTATCACTAGCAGACTGTGATGGACATTTACAGAAATTCGCCGACAATCAAATTCTGTGCTGACTTATTCTCTGCTCAGAGATGTCCTTCCGTTATAAAGTTTCAAATAAGACTAGAATGCGCAAGCGTGAATCGATCAAACGTCTTTCTAATTTCTAAGGTTTACTTTCCGGCAAATAAAATGAACTGAATGTAAAAAGGAGAAGAGAAGTAGCGAAAAATTCAACTTTTAATTAAATCTTTTCTTATGGTTTAGAATAAACTATTTTCGAAACTGAGAATGTTTTGATGAAAGCTGTGTAAATCGAGCTGGAACTGTGCATGGAATTCGAACCTTGCGTTTCCTGTATTTATCATACCTATTGTATGGAATATCTGTGAAAATCTTCATTATGAATGGGTATATTTCAAAGAGCTACACAACCAGCAAGAATACTATTGACCGACAATATACAGAACAGGGGCAGCTGTAGTGTCTACTATTACTAGTTCATATCAAACTAAAACGACCATCAATTTAATTGTTCCCCACTTTATTTAGAATACAAGGCAATCTTTATAAAATCATCTAACCTGAGTGGCACCTATGTCCCGCCGTGGATTTTTGTTTCTTTTGAGAGAAAACTTGAGCTAAACAAACCGACTAAAATCTTAATGCTCATGGGAAAGTTCCGCGTTCTTTACTACTGAACCAAGATGTAGCCCATGGTTTTGATGTGCTTGTTTCCGTTGTCTGGGGAAAATTTGGCCTCATTTCCACACGTGTTGGTGTCGTCAGAATGTCCTCCTGTACCAAATCCGATTCTGGAGTCACACAAGACACAATCGTTCAGTTCATTGCTTGTGATACCAATTCTTGCTTTCGATTGTAGTTTATCGCTGCAGATAGCATTGAACCCTTCCTTGTTACAATATTTTTGTAAGGAGGCCTGTGGACCAATCAGTGACTTCCACGTGATTCGACCCAGTGAGGTGGCGCGGTATTGGCCGTCAGCGATCAGCGAGTGTAGCGAGTTGGCGTGCTTGTAGATGGTAAAGAATCTTATCTTGTGGCCGATCTTCATACCAAGGCAGATCTTGGAGAAGGGTGTTTTCCAGTAGCTCGGCAGCTTAGTCTCTTGTGAATCAAACCCAGTTCTTGCTCCTGCAATGTTGTATGGATTTTTGTCGCTCCAGAGATGAGAATCGTAGTGGAAAGTTTTCTGCAAACGAGAATCGTAAAATAAATATTCATATCACAGTTAGGTAATAAGCTGAAAAACTTGTACCTTAGTGCCGTCAATCTTCATGGCCATCGTCCATCGTCCATCTCCGCATCCAAAGTCTCCCATGTGACAGTAAACAGAAAACTTGTGTGAATCAAACTTCAGCGTATACACTCGGCTGGTAGTTAACCTGATGGAGAAACATTTATGGGACAAAAATGAACAATCCTCTTGATCTTTGTCAATTAATGTCAAGCGAGAAACATCGTCTCGTACCAATTCAAGGTGCTCACTAAAAAAACTAGAACTATGTGAAAATTACAAAAATTGCCGCAAAATTTCCTTTCCTTTATTTATCTTTGAACCCGGCAAGATAAGAGGCTTCGAGCCTAATCATTCATTTTTGACCAATTTCTGACTATTTTTTTGTTGTTTTTGGTTTAAACCATCTGATTAAAATTTTAGGAGGATGAAGCGTCTTCCATTCTCGCTTCGCTGAGGTGCGCGTTCTCGAAACTTTTGCTGCGTGCAAATTACATTTGTTTTAAAATATTTTGCTATCTCTCTATTCCCTCTCTTTTAGCCCAGCAGCCATATTGCGCTTTTTACTTTATCTCCTCTCTTGGAGGTTTTTTAAATACACACTTCGGGTGAACTGGCAAAAGATAAAGTACTTGTAACATGCATGTGACGCATCATATAGCCGACCGGTAAGCTTACCCGTGATTATCATACAGTTCCTTGCAAGAGGAGGCGGGAATGCCTATAAGGAAAAATAATATTTCCGGTAAGATAGGGAATAAAATTCACTTTTAGCCAAAACTTAATGCTGAAATATTTTAGGTCAACTCTTTACCCGGAGTGGAAGTCTTTCTGATCAGTGCAGTTAGATTTTCCAAGTTCTGTGCAAGCTTATCAAGTTTCTTTTCCAACTTCTTGATGGCATTACAAGCTTTAGGGAGAGTTGTTTGTTCCTTCGCGACAACTAATAGTATGGCCATATGGGCGAGAAAAACCAACAACGAACGCATTTTTTGGAAATTAGCTCGTGTAGTTTGTTCCGGCAAGGAGTCCTATGGCCTAATAGAATAATGACACCCGCACGAGTTGGTAATAATAAGATATTATTAACAAAAGATAGACAAGAAAATTATCTCGTCCGTATAGCCGCGTCATGAATTTGTGAAGTTCATTTTTCACTTTACAATTTAGTTAGCGTACTAATCTGCTTTGCCTTGAAGTGTTTTCTGTTGTACACATTTCCTTAATCCTTAGGTTTCGCAAATTTAAAGAACGACCTTATATTTGACAACTTTGCGCCAAATATAAAGGCAAATTGGACGGACAAAAGGCTATTCTATATAGTGTGAAATAAAGAATTGAATTGAATTGAATCGAATTGAATTGAATTGAATAATAATTGAGATGAAGTCGGCATAAAAATCGCTTAGACAAAAGGCGAATGAACAGTTTGGATTCATTTTCTACCTGTCTTTTCTTTCCTAGTCCGCAGTCGCTTACAAAGGAAGAACCGCTCACAATTCGAAAATACATTGCATCAGAGAAAATTCAAGAACGCTTGAAAACAAATCTCAATTTAAAATTGTAGACTGAAAAAAATCTAACAAACTTCTGGAGTCAAAACAATCAAATTAATATCGATTATGCAAATTTTTTTCAAAGGTAATGTTCCGGTTTGATAGTTAGCATATTATCATGAGAGACGACTGGGGACGGTTCAGCCCTTAACATCCCCTATCATCCGATGGTCAGTTCAGTGTTGATTTAGCCCGGGAAAAAGCTCTCAATTTCGAGTGGCGCGTAAAGCGAGCCGCGAGAAAAAGCGCAAGCGAACGGCAAGTTCGCATCTCCTTTCAGGTGCCACCGGCCTGCTTGCGTGTGACTTCTCACAATATCTCCAGAGAGTCCCGACTAGTTCAATCGATAAAAACCGATATCGGAAAACCGTTCGATAAATCGATAACTATTTTATCGATCAATCGATAGAAATCGATACTCACAACCATCACTGCTCTTGTAAGGTATTGAATTTATCGATTTATCGATTTTATCTTTTTCATTAAGTTCCGTGTATTGTTGACACTTGTAAATGCAAAATGCAGATTCTTCCCGAGACAGCGTTTAAAAAACAAGCTGTGTTTTTGCCGA